TATTTAAAACTGTGAAGAAGCAAAAAAGGAGAGATAAACCCACAAAGCAGCCCAATGAGGAAGAAAACCAGGGAAGGGGGCTTTTTTATGGAAAAATCCATTAAGAGTCACAGATATGCTGACAATTTGTTTTCACTACCAAGATCTGCCAAATTTTGTTTAATAACAGCAGCAAATGGAGAAAAGTACATTTCCCACATATTACTCCAGATATGAAAAGCACCCAGATTTTTTTTGGGAAGCATAGCTTTGCATGAAGATGCAAACATGTCAATGCAGGGCACAACTGGAATAGTGCAACTTTTGTATAATTTTTCATTTTAGTGTGGCTGAACATTTTAGAGTGGCTGGTGCATCCCAGTCAGATGGGTGGGGTATTATTATTATTATTATTATTATTATTATTATTTCCTGTATATACATCACTGAAGTAAAGAGAGGTTCATAGAAGTAGCACTCTATGGCTTGTGCCGTTAGGAGGCCAAGATGCAAACAATTCCTCATAGAACCTAAACCTACCAAGCCCTGTACAGCTGGACTAGTAGTTACTAAATGCTCAAGTGACTTGATTTGGGTGGGGGAAAGAACAGTTCATAAATCAGTAGGTAAACCTAATTCTACTACAAACTGCTTGCCTAACATTAATAGTGCCTTTGTTGTCAATAAACCTATATTTGACTTCTCCTATTTTATTTATAAATTACTAATGCTTTTCCTGGGGCAAAATGGTTGAAGCAATAGTCTACACTAAGCTATATCTCTTGTCAGCTAAAGGGGGAAAAACACAGTACAAATTGACTCAATGAAGGGAAGCTATTAGCTGCAAATAGACCATACCCAATTCTGCACAGTCATCACTAACTACACAGCTGAGCACTTACCATTTTACCTACAACAAAACAAAGCAAAACCCAAGGGCTGCCTAACTATTTCACAGGCAGTCTGAATTAAAATATACTATGTGGCTGGAAGCAACAGTTGCCCATGTGTGTGCAAGAACACACAAATAACTTTTGCACTTAAAGCAGTTCTCGCTCCTTTCTTTAAAGCCTGATTTATCAGGCTACAGTTTACTCCCTCATCCATGTAAGTATTCCCCCATCATGTTGAAATGCCCTTAAAAAAATGAGCTGGTCCATTCATAGGAATGTGAATGGTATGCTTGCAATCAATAGCCTCAACTTGTACGAGTGAAAAGCAGCACAGAAATAAAATAATGAAATGAAATGAAATTGCTAGCTGATATGGTAGATACAATTAAACATAAAATGAAATGCATGGAATACCTTTACTGCTTTGGGTCTACCCTTATAGAATCAGGCCTGAATTAATAATAGAAGGGTGCCACACCTTCTTCCTCTTTGCAATGGCTACCTGGACAGTGTTGGTTCCAGGTTTTGGGAAGACATTGGGCAATATGCTCTCAATGGGAAGCACATTTACCACTACCCCTTCCTCGTTCGTCTCTAGTCGCTTTCTTTTCCTCATAGATCGCGAGGACAAGGCATGCTAAGACTACAGCGCCTCCTTCATAAGAGAAATGCAAATGATGGGAGTATGCAAAGGCATTTCTCCCCAGAGTTAGCTGCACATTATCCACTCAAAATCTATTATCTCATTCTCAGAACAGACCCACTGAAATTAATGGACCTAAATTAAGTCAATTGATTTCAGTGGGTCTGCTCTGACTAATGTTAGATGCCACCTACAGCATGGGCATAAAAGACGGACAGGTCAGTATTTACTTGAAAAGTTCCCTTGTTTCACTGTTCGGCTGGATGAAATTTAGGTAGAACCAAACTCTAAACCAGTATAGGACTGCAGAAAAATGACCCTGTCTTCCTCCTCAGAAAACAGAGGCATTAGTAGTTCACACTGTAGATGTTTTGAATAACATTTTAAAGGGGGCTAGCTATGTTTGCTTTGCAACAAAACGAAAGAGTTGCAGCATCTTAATAAATACTTTTCTATACAAACAGGTAAACTAAGATATTTGTAATGTGAACAGATTCAAAGCAATAACCAAATGATAAAGAGTCTTGCAGTACCTTAAAGACTAACAAACTTTTATCAACTACAGTAGACTTCATCATATGCACAAGATGTTATCCTCCACTGCATATAACATACACACAGATTATAAGCAGTGAGGTCTGAGAGAAATGAAATGCAAAAAGTACAGACAGTGACAATTCAATTAAAGCCTGAATGTATACACGAAATAGCACTATGGCCCCACCTGAGCCTTATTCTTTAACCTTTATTGTTTTCCTACCAGCATTAAGGGGCGGCTGATATCCACATTTCATCTCAAGTAACCAAGATGAACACTCCTTGCTACAGCACAGCAAGAGTAGATGCCATAATTCACATGAATGTAAGCAAACATACAGGTACAAAAATCTTCCATTAAAGTTTGCTGATAATTTTGTGTTCTCTCACTACACCAGTTTCATTGCAAGAATTGTCCTGTATCACTGAGTTTGCCTTTTCCAAACATTTTCTCTTCATCCGAGACAATCTTTTTTTTACCAGAATGTGTACTGGGTAACTCTGGTGTGCCTTCAAAACTCTTCAGGGTTCTTCAATAAGGCTAATAATAATGGCAGATAATCTTCTGAAGAAGCAGCTCATCCACTCTTCCCTGCACAGCACAGCTACAGGTGAACACTAAATGTGCTCTGTGGTTCAGTGTGAATTCACTCAAGGCAAAACACACAGAGGTGAAATAGGTCTGACCAAGAAACCCTGTGAACTGTAAGTGCACCATGGAACACACTGCACCAGAGTACTCTGAAATAGATACAAGTTCTGTGGCAGATGCCTTGTGTAATAGTTTACTGGCAGACAGGTCAGTGTGGAAAGGGCTCCTTGGAAGTATGAGAGCAAGGGAGCCACAGTGCTGCCAAAGACATGCATTAGCAGCAACCAGAACTGTATCATCAACAATTTAACTAGTGGGCTGCGGGATCCCTTGGCAGAAGCTGATATATTATTTGCGTGTCCTTTATACTGGTAGTTAAACCATATGTTTTTGACCTTGATTAAAAAAAAAAAAGTTATCCATGATTCACTAAACTTCAGCCTTGATTATGTCCCAGTAGTGCTCCATCATCTGCAACAAAGTTCTTCTTGTTGTTTTTTTCACAAGCTTGACTTCCTGGCTTGGGTGAGGTTTCAGCCAACACAGACTGAAGTCATATACAAGCCACATATAGATTAAATGCAGATTTCCTTCTCAGCAATAGTATTGAAAGTTTCCAAACAATATTATTCAAAAAGCATTGGCGGGGAGGGGGTAACACTGAACATTTTAGAATATTGAGATATCCTTGCTTTACCAAAGCCACTGGCACCAGGGTAAGGTTTCTTCTTGTTGCAGTTGATGGCATAATACTCTTGATTCAGATCAGGCAATGCAAAGGATTAAAGCTCCTCCCACACACTATGGGCCTGATGCAACAGATGTGTCTTTATTTATCAAATCATGCACACCAGAGCTAGACATTATCATTATGTCTATAGTTAGTCCCACTAATGCTATTCAATTTGTTGCAATCATCCTCCAAGGTGAGAGAGGGGATGAGTCATAGTTCAGTGTTAGAGCACATGTTTTCCATGCAGAACATTCCAGGTTCAAGCCCTGGCAGTGGCGTAGCATGGGGGGTGCAGGGGGGGGCCGGCCGCACCGGGCGCAACATCTGGGGGTTAGGGTTAGGGGGCGCAAATCCACGGGTTAGGGGGCGCAAATTACTTGCCTTGCCCCGGGTGCTGACAACCCACGCTACGCCACTGAGCCCTGGCATCTCCAAGCAGGGTGGACAAAGCCACTGGAGAGGTGAATGGCAATATGTATCCTCCATTTTTAGAAATAGCATGCAATGCCTTGTGCAAATAGGGCTGTAAGTGCAAGTCTGTTGGAGGTGCATCCAGTAAACGCAATCTTGATTTTTCTCTCTCTCTCAACATATTCATTCTGTTTTGCAAATGTCTGCCTAGTCTGCCTAATTGGCAAACCCTTCCATCATTTGGAACTGGTTGGTGCCCAACATATGAAGAGACAGCACTGGCTAGCCCTGCCTCTAGACAAGGGCACCAGCCATGCCCTTGGCCATTGCATGTTCAGCATCAGTTTGAAGGGGGGGGCACGTGAATACGTTTGTATGAACATAGGCCCCTTCAGGCTGATGCTGAACATTCATCAGCATTTAGAGCCTCAGGTAGCTGATACATTCTAGAAAGCCTCTTGATTCACTCACTATCTCCTTCCTTTCTCTGCAACCAATTTATTTGCCAGAGGGCTGGTTATTACCCTATGACTGGTATAATCAATTATAACCATTCCTGGACAAGGATAGCTTAGCTGTTGTAATCCGTACTTTGATAAACTCTGTGCTATTTTTCTAGAAAAAGAGGTGTTGGAACTCACAATGAATAATGGCAATGGTGCCTACCTGAGAGGTGCTGAAATGCTGAAAAAGCCCTGGGTAAACTCAAAACTGGACTATAAGGCCCAAACAGTTTAGGACCAAGTTACTCAAATTATGCCTTCTCTTGTAGAGATTACTGCATCTACTCTATTGAATACGGTCATCTGACAGTAGTGCAGAGGAGAGCTTTCTCCATGGTGGGACCCTGTGGAACTATTTCCTCTTGGATATCAGGCAGGCATCAACTATGGAGTTCTTCTGCTGCCTATTAAAAACAGATCAAAATACCTGGGCATTTCAATATACTGGCTCCTGGTGTTAAAGTGTTTATTGTTGTATTTTGTTATTATCCAATTGTCTTGTGAACCGCCTTGGTCCTTCTTTTGAACTGAAAGGAGACATACAAATGATTTTAATAAAAATATAAATAAAGCGGAAACGCATGCAGTGCAACACACACCAAGAAAACCATATTTCTTATAATGGCAAAACAACAAATCCTTTGTAAGTCATCCCTTCACTGTAATAAAATGAATCTATGCTTCTCTTTTACCTTTTCTTAACTTTTTTGTGGGGAAGGGGGGATATGTACCTGCTCCAGTCATTCTTAAAATCGTGAAAACTCCAAATCCATGCTTCCAATTACTCTGTTCATAATGCATATCTGCCACATGGGATTCCAAAGTCCATATTAAATCTGAGGTGAGCGTGGGAGGAAGGAAGTGACAGCAAATGCAACATATATTCATGTGCATAAAGACTAAACAATGACCCTTCTCCCTTTGGAAGTTTCTTAAATTAAAAGCTCTATTTTATCCAAGGAGAGGCACAGATCTAAAATCTCACAAAACCAAACAGCACCTCCCTCTTCAAATCCTGTGTTTAGAGAATATCCAACGAGCACACACATATAGCAGCACACTATAAGAATTCAATTTGGAAACCATCATCTAAAGCACAGAGGAGAACAGGAAAGTCATATTGCTATAATGCTTAGATTATCAATCATCTTGACAGCTTATTGGCTTTATCACCACACATACCATTAAAATGATGTCTGGCCTAGAATGTCAGGAGGCAAACATTAAACAGACCCGGATTAAAAAGCAGATCCCAAACAGCACTCCAGTAAAGTTTCCCTTCCACTCTGAAATTAGTTAGAGCTGACTAAGTAACTGGCGCTAGACTTTGAAGAAATATACAGCCTAAAAGGCTCAGAGCCTACACAGGCTTGACAAGCTGATAGGTAATGTCATGTTGTGGCAACTCTAAAGCTCCTCCAGTTGATTTATCACATGCTGCGTGCAACAGAATGATTGCTAATGGAGGGTTGGGGGAAGGGGGGGACACATAATTTGCCTCTTCTGAGAACTAAGGACTTGCATCAAAAGGGCCAAGGAAACTCCTTTAAGTCAGGTAGGAATGGTAATAATTTCCTATTACTGAGCAAACATTAACATTACACTTGGCATTAAAGCAAAATTTACAGACTCAGGAGAATTTAATCGGGAAGAGAAGATATTCATAATTCAATAGCTTCCGACATGGAAAGAGTAAGAAAAATACATTTTAAAAAACCCATAAAAATAACTACACAAGCCAAGCCAGCAAACTGAATCTTGACACAACAAAAAACATTAGCCATCACTAGGTAGAACAGAGAATCAAGCAGCAGTCATATGGCAATTAATTTGTGCTAGAAAGACTTTCCAGCCAAAGATAGGAATGAGTAGTGCAAGTCAATATTAAACTAAGAGCTTATACATTACTGATTGGCCCTTCTGGTCAACTGCCCTGTGCCCTCAAGCTTCCTAGTCACCAGATGTCCACAGACTTTGGCAGCAATCAGTAGTCAACAATTATTTGTGGTCTTCACCAACCCTTCGCCTCCCAGTTCCTCTGGCACAAAGGAAAAGTTGGAGGAGATAAACCTCCTCTCACACTTCTTATGTCATTGCCTCCTTCACATCCAATTTTTCAATTTTACCACATGGTCCCTATCTTGCTTCCCGGACCTCTTCCCATGAAGGCAAGGCAGAGTAGGGTTGATTCTGGCCCTTTTGCCACCCTGTGCAACTGCAGTTTCCAGTCCAAACTTTTGCTGTGTTCCCTGAAGGCAAAAAGTTTGAAAACCATTGCTCCATGTGTTCCCTCCATTCTCAACAAGATCTGCAGGTACAGTCTTGCTGAGTGCTGTCCCCTTATGAAGAGGTCAATTGTCAGGGCAACATGCAGTATGTCCTCAAAACCAGAACTACTCTCTTCCCCATCCAGAGAGAAAAGCTGGACATACACATTCCATAGTTTGGGAAGGCTGCCTAATTCTGACAGCCTTTGGAGGTCAACCAACTGGTATTGTGTCCGATGGTTTTATTGCCTTACCGTTTTATGATGTTTTTACTTGTGGTGTTATTGTGGTTTTATGGTTATTGGTTTATTGCAAACTGCTGTGGACATCCCTCTGGGTCGTAAAGGCGGTCTAAGAAGTTTCAGATAACATAAATCCCATGTTACTTCATGCACATTTGTGAAATGCTCCCTGTATTCTTTCAGTTGCTCAGATGCAGCCATAGGATTGTGGAACTTGAAGGAACTATAAGACCTCCCAGACAAACAGCCTGCAAGGTACTAACTTGGCCCTCCCTTCACCATCAGTTTATGCAAGCAAAAAGTTTGTGCACCACAAGTAATGAAAAGGGAGAAGTAATTAACTATAATTAATTGCTGTTACCCCTAGAAATGAGAACTTAAGACTCAACTCTGCAGAGAGAGTCTATGGCTAAAGTTGAGCAGTGCAAGTCTTGTAAGCTATCTGGATAGGAGAGCTTCTGAGAATTACATGGAGCCTGTTTTGAACACTTTGAAGGAAGAGCTAGGTATAAACCTAATGAAAAAGATACTACAATGATTTTTTGGTTTTGATTTCCTCAAAGAGCCCTCCAATCCATGCTCCATGGCAAACCACTTCTGGTACACATGTGTGTATATGCATATACACACATGCACATAGAGACAAAAGAGAGATTAAAGAAAGAAGTTTACAATGATATATAACATCTGAGGAAGCAACTAATCAGTACGATCCATCTGTACAAACTATTCATAAAAATCAATCTCCAATCAGAAAGTTAACAAACAGAGCACCCTTCACAAGGCTGAACAAGACCGGAAACAAACTAAGCTATCATAAATAACCCACAGTATTCATATTACCATAAGCACACCTAATATCCAGTACAATAACTGTAACAGTTACCACAAAATGATAAATATCTCTAATACGCAAACACTATGAACCAATTTTATTTCAGAAATTCCACCCAGCAAGCTCCTTGTACAAACTTACACAACTCTTTGAATCCTAACCTGCGTTACCAATATTTGTGCCTTGAACACCCCCCCCCATTTCCCCTCCATCCTACCAGGTTGTCTTGTGCAGGCCCAGACTCATGTGCTATAATGCTTAAAATAGGTCTCTCTCTATGAGGACTTTGGAATTATTAATCTTGACTCTCCCCATCTATCAGACAGCTCAGTATTATTTCTGTTTATAGATGGGGCTCTCCAAACCGCTTCTTATATGACTTCCTGAGCAGGAAGTTTGTTCACCTTTCCACATTGCTTGCTCCAGTACCTTAAACTTCACAACATGGAGTGCTGCTGGTGGTGGTGGCAGTAGTAGCAGTAGCAGCAGCAGCAGTTAGAAACACTGCAACACTGTACTAAGATTTCCAACATATCATTAGCCCAAACATGTATTTGGGGACCCACTTAATGTTTTACCAGTGATGGTTCTGCTGTTGTGACCCACCTTAGGTCAGGCTATGATTCAGCAGCAGGTCCTGAGCAGTCAGCTGAAGATGACTGTCAAAGAGAGTACTGTATAACAACAACAGGAAATGCAAGTTGCATCTGTATTTTTATAGGTGACAGAACAATGAGCGACAACCCAGGAGTGAGACTGAGTGATAAGAGGAGTCAGAGTAAGCAATGTGGCACAAAAAGGGGCAAAAACGCCCCTTAAAGGAGCATGGAAATGGCACAAAACCAGCACCTAGCAATTACACCAACATTTGCAAGTGCAATCCCAGGAGCCCTTGCACCGATCTTTGAGGCCAGTGGGGAGTTGCAGTTTGAGCAAGGAGATTTTGGGGGAGTGATTGTGGTGGAATTTAGTGGATTTTTGGCGCAGTTTAGTGGAGTTTGGAGGGAGTTTTGGAGGAGTTTCTGGTGTTTTCTGAGCTTTTGTGATTTTTTTTTAGATGGCACCTAAACGCACAGCATCGCCATTTTCCTTAGGTGATGACAAACCCAAGAAGCAGTGATTAGTGCCCATGCTGGAGGAGAAACTGGACTGTTTACAGGAAGGCATGGCCCTGTGAGCTGTGGCAAACAAGTCTGGCAGGAATGAGTCCAGGATATGCCACTGAGATACGGAAGGAAAAAATCCGGGCATCAGTGGTAACAATGAGCACTTCAACCAGCCAGCTCCAAATGATTGGTCCATTTCAGACATTGCTTCAGATTGAAGAACATTGGCACCAGTGGTGAAGCTGCATCCACAGACCAGGCAGCTTCTGAAGTATACCCTGACCAGCTAAAGAGACAAAAGCACCAGCTGCCCATTACCATGTTCCTTTGCAAGATACCATCAGCCCTACCAAAGACTGGGTGCCATCACTGCCACTATTCCTGCCTGTGTGGTAAGGGTTTTTTAAAGAGTTTCCAGTAGCTTAGAGGGTGTTTGCAGGCTTTTTCAATGAGTGTTCCCAATATATGTGAATTCATGTGGATGCACGGTGCCTCGGAATATAACCCCTGTGTAAATGGGGAGTTGCCTGTACAAATAAGCTCAAACAAGGGAAACAGGTTCATTTTCCTTTATGTAAATTACAAACCACTTCCAAAAAATGGTGATGGTGAGGATTAAAAATGCACAATACATTTTAAGCTTGTAATTTTTGGAGGATTTCCTAAATTCTGCTTGCAGAAATAGTTCCTATTTAAAAACAAAACAAAGCACCACAAAACTCAAATATTGGAAAATACATAATAAAAGCGCACATCAACCAATGCAAAAAGGAACAGCAAATATTTATAAGAAAGCAAGTTTCACTGCTGCAAAGTATTTAAATCCTGGCACATTGCCTCTTCTGAAAGCCACATGATTTTAAAGTCACTGACTATCCTGCATGTGTTTGCTTAGGTTAAGGAGCAAATAAAATTGTGATGACAGATACATCCAAGAACTAGTTAGCCTACTAAATCTGGAAACAGAAAGGAAGAAAAGAAGGGAGGAATAGAACAAAAAGAGAATCTAGCTATATAAGATGCTCTTTGTTGCTTGCTGCTTGTTAAAGAATCCCCCTGGTACAACAGAGGGGATTATGAATTCACATGTGAATTTATCCCCTATTAAACTTTTAGCAAAAGGGTCAGTTAGCAGGAATGATAAAGCTCACACACAGCAGTCACATGCTGGCAGCTCAGTCCTCCAACTTTGGGAAATGCAGACAATTGGACACATTCTGTTTTAACAAATTTTCCCACCACATTTTAGATGTTACTAACCTAAAGTAGGAAATACTTTGTTACACTGTACTGAAGTGAGACTCCGGTTTTGGAACACTGCATAAAATTGTGAACATCAACTGTGCAAATATGCCTACTATATGCAGAATTTAGGCTTTGAGACTCCAACATCGGCATTAATGCAAAATTCTAGATGTTCCTGCCACTAGTGAGGGTATATTATGGCAAAGGATTTAGTTTACCCGTCTTCTGTGTTTAATTGAGGGTGAACTTTTAATATTAACTATTTCAAGACTTGCATATATACATCTCAGAATTACACCTACACCATTCAACTAAGTACAGAAGGTCAATGTCTAAGAAATTTATACCCCTTTGAGACATGATAAAAGTACGGTTCAAACCTTTACAATAAGTTATACATGAATAGCTGCTTAAAAATATTAAATGACTGAAATTGTTCGGGCCAGAGTATAATGACCCATTCTTTACTCTCAAAATAAAAGGCATGGCAAGCTGGTTTCCAAACAGTGATTAAAGGGGAAGTGTTTTCAAGGATGTTGGAACTGGTATCTGAGGGTAAGCAGGTACCAATCAGGTTGGCAGCAGAGTTAGGAAGCAAGTAAGCCATCAGTCCAGTCAGTCAGAATTTAGAGCAGCTCAGTCTGTACCACAGGCATAAGTTGCTTAAAGCCAAGCAAACACAGTGGCGGAGCTTCATGCTCTGGCACCGGGGGTAGAGAGCAGGTGGGGCTGGCATACATCCTGGGGGCGGGGCGCCCAGCGTGGGCGGGGGGCAGCCGCGATGGCACCTTGGGGATCGTGCTGCTGGGGGTGGTGCACTCCCCCCGCACTCCTCTTCCTCTGCCAGTGCAAACAGAGATGCCAGGCTAGAGTGCAAAACATTATAGACCAGTGGTTCCCAATTAGCTAAGTACTGCAAACTCCGTTTTTCAGAAGCCAAGCCATGGACTCCCTACTTTTGAAAATTTTGATATCTCTATGGTAGTTTTTATTATGTGAATGGTGCTACAGGCCGCCCCCCGCCCCCCAGGTAGGTTACATGGACACCCTGAGGTCTGCAGACCACCAATTGGGAACCACTGTTATAGGCAACCTGATGCCCCCCCCCCCATGTTGTTGGGCGGTAACTCCTGTCCTACTGGACCATTACTCATAGCTGAAGTTGATGGGAGCTGAAGTCCAACAAAATCTTCAGGTCACCACTTTGGCTACCCCTGCTTTATAGGAATATGCATTGGACCTATTCTGTTGCTTGCGAATTGCTAACCTACAGCTGCACTGCTATATAGTGGCCAGCTTCATTGGTGGGGCAGCAGAGAACAGACCATCATTTTCCTTATCTAGCAAACCAACAGGATAGAGAGAGAAAGACTACCACTGTAAGAGTGTTTGGACACCTAGTACCTTACACGAAGATGTATAAAGTAATGGGTGAAGTGCTACCACTTGTACAGTGTGAGCAGCTCTGCCTGCTTACAGAATACACGACAATGTTTTTTTTAAAAACCCACTCTTGCATCAGCTATCCCTGATGTTGCAGATGCCACCATTGTAACAGCCACCATTTAATAACATCCTTATTTCAAGAAGCTCTGAATAGCTGCAATTCCCTATTATTGAATATGCCCACCAAACAGGTTTTAAAACTCAGCGGGATGGCGTGGGGTGGAGAGAACCAATAAATGTAAACCTCTGATTAGCCAGTAATATTTTGTTGCTGCTGCTGTTGCTGTCCCCCTAATTCATTTAGGAAGAAGTGTACATGGAAGAAGAGTGGTTTTATCATAAAAAACAATCAGGGCCAACAGACAAATGGCTGGCAGTGGAGCAGTGGGGGGGGGGCGGAATCATCCCTTTCTATGAAGTAAATATGCATGAAGCTTTCAGACTATTTTCATCTAATGTTGTGAAGCAGCTTTCAGTTCACATGAAGGGAAACAATTGCAAAAGGGCAGGAGAGAAATAAAGGAAAAATCACATCAGGTGAGAACATGCACACACTGAAAGTTTCCTTAAGAGGATCTCTTTAAGTTGAGCAGCCCTTCTCCACTTCAGTTGTGCCCAACTGACAATATATTAACGGTGTGCATTGCAGCAATTGTGCAATATATTGGAAGTGTACATGGTAAACCAGGGATGGCCAACATCTGTATTATTGGGGACCATTCTATCCCCCAGATAAACACTAGTCCAGAGGCTAAAACTCTGGAACTTTCCATTTATCAGCATCTTTAAAGGAAAGTGGCATTTACTCGAAGTAAGAGTTTCATATGCACAGTACAGCTATGCTTAGATAGAAGTTCGCCACCAGAGTATGATAATGAAGAATGGAGGTGCTTCCATAAAGATTCACACACACACACACACCCAGTGTTCGAAACTCGCATTGTTCTAAGCACATTTTGTGACAGGGAATTTCATTAGCACAAGCAGTTTCTGAGTACTGGGCACAGTACTGCACCTAAGGTTGCAGAGTAAAACTTCAGAGTGGAAGAAAAGGAGGACCTTTTTCTGCCTCCCCACTTCCAGCTACTCTCTGAAGACTGGAGAAGAGACCCTCTTAAAAATATTATGGGAGTGGGCAGTGGAAGGACAAGAGCATGTAAAAAATGAACATAATATTTAAGCTGCAGTTCATTCATTTTCAGCTTTGTATTCTTATAAAAAGCACGCCTAGACATCCCATTGTTGCACCTATAACCTAGGTTTAAGGTACCATTTAAAAAGGTAAAGGTAAAGGACCCCTGACAGTTAAGTCCAGTCACAGACGACTCTGGGGTTGTGGTGCTCATCTCGCTTTACAGGCTGAGGCGTTTGTCCGCAGACAAAACCAGTTTTTCCAGGTCATGTGGCCAGCATGACTAAGCTGCTTCTGGTGCAATGGAACACCGAAACCAGGGCAGCGCATAGAAATGCCGTTTACCTTCCCACCGGAGTGGTACCTATTTATCTACTTGCACTTTTGGCATGCTTTCGAACATCTAGGTTGGCAGGAGCAGGGACTGAGCAACAGGAGCTCACCCCGTCATGGGGATTCGAACAGCCGACCTTCTGATAGGCAAGCCCAAGAGGCTCAGTGGTTTAGACCACAGCGCCACCCGCGTCCCCAAGGTGGCATTTAGTTCCTAGCTTTCATATCTCAGTTTCTACCACTGACACACACAGACAAACATACACACCAAAAGACACAGTCAAACAGCAATGCTTTTCCTTTGCAGAATGTAAAATATGATAAAACATTTATGAAATAAGCGGATACTTGTTTTCAAAGGGAAAACTATGTTGGTCAGTTTTGCAGCAAACACAAAGTTATGTAGTACTACAAAGCCTGACATATTTATTATGGTATAAACATTTTCCCCCTTACAAGTAAAACTAGAATTCAAACTAGGCAAAATTTTACATGCTGATTAGATTTTGGTAGCTCCACCAAGGACAGCGGCTTTCCAGGATTTCAGATATGAGAACATTCCCAGCTCTATTGGGAGATGCCAGGGATTGAACCCAGTGAACCTGGGACCTCCTGCATGCAAAGTAGATGCTATACCCCTGAACTACAGCCCTTGCCCATCTGCTCCCTCACTCCATAATAGGAAGGCACAGGTCTAAGGACACAAAACATCTTGGGTCATTATAGGGCACATAAAGCCCGTGCAAGTCTCCTATATTCGTGTCCTCCCCTCTTCCCTTTAGTCAAGGTACACTAAACCAGGAACTCATGTTCCTTAATCAACTGAAAGCAGGAGGGCTGAAATGGAAGGTGCACACAGGCCTCACATTCCCTGCAGTGGGCTTGTAAGTGTCATTTCATGCACATCGGCTATGGAAATCTATCCATACATGAATGCTGGACGAAAATGTCTGGATTGTGCCTAGCGTTTCCCAGCCAGGTTATCCTAAAAGAGAGCTTTTTGACCTTGACAAATTCCCCAATGAGATTATTCTAGTATTGGCGTCTAAAGCTTGCACTGAGATGAATGTCTTGCAGCTCATAATAAACTGTGCTGAAATTATGCAACATACACAGAGATTATGCTCAAGTGAGTTCCAGTTAACGTTCACCACAAAGCCACATTCAAGTCTCATTACATTTTGAATTGCATTCCAAATTTACTTTGGTTTCAAGAATGAATCAGAAGTGCTAATATATTTGCAGTATTGGGGGATTTAAAAGTGTGTGTGTGTGTGTGTGTGTGTGTGTGTGTGTGTGAAGATTAAAGCAGCCCTGCAATTACACAACTGCCAAGAATCTTTGCTTTCTAGATTAGGAAAAAGCACTGTAGTTTTTCCATAAAGGGGTTCCCTTACTTCCTCCTCCTCCCACAACTAAGGCATACCTTTTCACTGATACAATTACACTTCAGTGGCTCTGAACCCCCAGTTCAGACTAATCTGTCTAACGATGGAATGCACCTTTCAAGTTTCCATTTGACAGAAATCCATCGTTCATCGTTTGACAGTGCGTATGCTTTTTGCTGACAGAGCTCCATTACTGGAAAAAGCTCAGTAAGTAACGCTGATCTGAAACAACTATATATTGTAGGTGGCCAGCAGGAGATGTACTGATTTTTAAGTGAAGAAAGTCACTGTGAGGAGAGGCAGCTGCTTAATTATTTATGCTCTACCCAAACTGATTACAGTGTGGTTACTGGCGCTGATTTGCAGAATTATCACTTATGTCCTCTATATAAGAGACAAACAAATATTGTGTTGTTAGAACCAGTATGATACAGTGGGCAGGTGTCAAATATGGGCTGAGGTCACCTCAGTTCAAATCCTAATTTAGCCATGGGGAGCTCACTGTATCTCAGCTAAGTCTACCTCACAGAGCTGTTACACAAATGAAACTGGGTAACTCCTTGTACTGTACTCTGTTTTGAGCACCTTAGTGGAAGGGGGTGGAAAATACCAAACGTAGTAAAATGGTTAAATGAAAAGTTCTCAAATATTGCAACAAAGTTATCAGTTTTAAAATATCAAACAGATGCAGATATTTTTTTTAAAAAAAGATACAAATACATGTCAACTATATAGAAAACTAAGCTCACTAAAATATTGTGCAATTCAGTCAGAAGTAATACAATCCCTTTATCACAGTTTCACCAGGTCCTAGTTGAAACTGAGAATTTAAGTATTCGAGTATCCATCTTATAAGTTAGTTTAGTCAAGTTCTGACCTTTGTTACATCTCCAAAGCACTTCATTTCCTGTATAGCCTGATGGGTAGGCCTAGACCTTTCAGCCCTTTTAAGGAATAAGCCATAATACTTTTAGTAAATAAAGCAAAACAAATAAAAATGCAGTTGAAAAAAATCATCTTGAAAAGGAAATAAATCCTCTTAAGAAGCAGGGTATTACCACTCATAAGTAAGGCTCTTGGGAAATGACAGTTTGCATCAACAGGACCTAAAGCGAAAAGCAAGGCATGTTCAGACTGGCAATCAAAGAGGCAGACTGAAGACAGTCATTTAAAAATAATTCTGCAAGCAGCAAACAATCAGAAAATGAGAACATTTAAGAGATTCCACCATGGGATTCTTCTTAGAAATAAAATAAACTTTGATATACTTGTGGAAAGGGGCAAATAGGTTGTACTTTCTTTCTTTTTTATAAGATATTTATTAAGATTTTTTAAAATATTACAATAAAAGTAAAAAAAAATAACAAAAATACAAAATAAAAATGGTTAAAAACACCCAAATTTTCCATTACTTATTTTCCTTTAGCTTGTTTCCCGGACCTCCTCATCCCTCCCTGTTTTGTATTCCACGTCAATCTGTTGGTTCAGCAAATCCTTACCCTCTTTAATTATCCTAATCCTTGATCTTAAAAATAATAGCATTAGATTTTTACCTATTTATAACCCTTTTTTCATATTCCCTTAAAGCATTACAGCTGGAAACCACTTAATTTCTATCCAACATCATTCTAACATTCATTAATTTTACAATATTTCTGTAGGTAATCTTTGAATTTCTTCCACTCTTCTTCCACCGACTCTTCTCCCTGGTCTCGGATTCTGCCAGTCATTTCTGCCAGTTCCATATAGTCCATCAGCTTCATCTGCCATTCTTCCAAAGTGGGTAGATCTTGTGTCTCAAATAGGCTGTACTTTCAGAACCTAGAGACCTAGGTACCTCCCAACTGAGCAAAAGGCTTCAGGTGTTCTAGGTTAAGCAAAATTTGTTTTATTCAGATTTTTCTCATGTACTTATTCAAGAATACAATTTATTTCCCAAAAAAAAACGTATAACAATTGGCTCTGGATCCATTCCAGTCCGGCTTCCGCGCTGGTCATGGGACCGAGATGGCTCTGGTTGCCCTAACAGATGATCTTCGTAGACAGCTGGATCGAGGCGGGTCGGGGCTGCTGATTCTTCTAGATCTGTCAGCAGCTTTCGACATGGTCGATCACGAACTTCTGGACCACCACCTTGCCGACGTGGGGATCCAGGGCACAGTCCTTCAATGGCTGCGCTCATTTCTCTCTGGTCGGGGACAGAGGGTGGCGCTTGGGGGGGAATTGTCATCGCGCCACTCCTTGGTGTGTGGAGTACCTCAGGGTGCGATACTCTCCCCGATGCTTTTCAACATCTTTATGCGCCCCCTCGCCCAGCTTGTCCGGAGTTTTGGGCTGGGTTGTCATCAGTATGCCGATGACACCCAACTCTATCTGTTGATGGATGGCCATCCTGACTCGGCCCCAGACACACTGACCAGATGTTTGGAAGCTGTGGCTGGATGGTTACGTGGGAGCCGGTTGAAGCTAAATCCTTCGAAGACAGGTCCTGTGGCTGGGACGGGACGATATGGGATTGGGGGGGGGGGCAAATCCCATCTCTCGCAGGGGCGCAATTAGTGCCAGCACCGTCCGTTAAGAGTTTGGGTGTAATCTTCGACACCTCCCTTTCCATGGAGGCGCAGATTGCAGCTATAACAAAGGCGGCATTTTTCCATCTCCGCCAAGCTAAGCAGTTGGCTCCTTACCTCTCTCACCCTGACCTAGCCACTGTGATCCACGCGATGGTCACCTCCAGACTGGATTATTGTAACTCGCTCTACGTGGGGCTGCCCTTGAGACTGACCCAGAAACTCCAGCGGGTGCAGAATGCTGCAGCAAGACTCCTTACGGGGTCTTCGCTGCGAGATCACATTCACCCGGTGCTATACCAGCTGCACTGGCTCCCGGTGGAGTACAGGATCAGGTTTAAGGTGCTGGTTTGAACCTTTAAAGCCCTATACGGCCTAGGACCCTCGTACCTACGGGACCGCCTCTCCTGGTATGCCCCACAGAGAAACTTACATCTTGAAGGTCCCAGGCCACAGAGAAGTTAGGCTGGCCTCAACTAGAGCCAGGGCTTTTTCGGCTGTGGCTCCGATCTGGTGGAACACTCTGTCACAAGAGACTAGGGCCTGCGGGACTTGACATCTTTCCGCAGGGCCTGCAAGACAGAGCTGTTCCACCAGGCCTTTGGCCAGGGCACAGCCTAACTCCCTCCCTCGGCAATCTTCGCGGAGCTCTGGCCCAATAGCTGCCAGTGGCTTGAATTAATTAATTTTATAATGAATGATTTTAGAGTGTTGTTTGTGCTGTGCTTTTGTACTGTTTTATTGTTGTTAGCCGCCCTGAGCCCAGCTTCGGCTGGGGAGGGCGGAATATAAATAAATTTTATTATTATTATTATTATTATTATTATTATTATTATTATTAAGTAAGCAGCAAGGGTGTAATTTTCTATACAAATTAGGGTTAAATTCAAATATAGTAACGTGAGCAGATTTAAAAAGCATACTAATCAAATTATAAGGAATCTTGTATCACCTTAAAGATTAAAAAAAAAAAAAGATTAACACATTTCTTATGGCATAAGTTTCCATGGAGTAGAACCTACTTCTCCAAATGCATTAGCTGGCAAGATGTATGCGTGTGTGATACGTAAACACACACAAATATTTTTGGAGGAAGAGGGATTGTAAAAAAGTAGGATTAGTAGGCAATGGAAAGCACGAACTAGTTTGTGACAGTTCAGTTAAAGTTTACAATGTACAGTGGTACCTCGGGTTAAGTACTTAATTCGTTCTGGAGGTCTGTTCTTAACCTGAAACTGTTCTTAACCTGAAGCACCACTTTAGCAAATAGGGCTTCCTGCTGCTGCCGCGCCGCCAGAGCATGATTTCTGTTCTCATCCTGAAGCAAAGTTTTTAACCTGAAGCACTATTTCTCAGTTAGCGGAGTCTGTAACCTGAAGCGTATGTAACCTGAAGCATATGTAACCCGAGGTACCACAAAATAAGTTCCATGACCATTCTCAGCATTGCAATATGTAATCGGTAACACCAGTCATCTTAGCATGGCTGACTAAATAAACACCTATAGCAGGACAATAAACCATTGTTTCTCTTCAGATCAAACTGAACAGAATCAAGCACCATTATTAGTTCCAATTCAGCTATTTCCCACTGGAGTCTACCTTTGAAATTCCTTTGTTGGAGAATGTCAAGGGAGTGCCCAGGGAGACTGGTGGTTTAAATACAGTATTGCATATAGCACTTTTCAAGGAATTTCATCCACCTCCTGCTCACTCTGACTGAACTCTGGTCATACAATCATTCCAGGCCTGCTGCAGTTCCCACCCCTGCTGCACTCCATTGTTTTTCCTTCAAGGCAGTTTGCTACATGGTCCAGACTCCCTCTTCAGCAGTGCACCAAGGCAAAAGCTCTCATAGCTCTTTCAATGCCTTCTTGCCGAAAGCAATAAGGAAAGAGTCAGGCAGAGCTGCTACCCTGGTTATGTACTGCCAGCCTCTGCATTCTCCTTCTAATTTGTCCCTGCCAGTGAGGGAGGGGGAAACCTGCCTTCGTTCGTGACCAAGTAAACACAGAGGAGTGTTCCAGGGACTGGGTATCACTATATTAGGCTGTGAAATGGCTCTCCAAATTCCTCCTTCAAAGGGCTAGTAGCCATGAAGGCAATGGAAACCCGGAACCATATGTTCATGATTCTACGTGTATAGTTCTGTCATGACATAGACAGCCAGTGACATAACTTGTTTGGCCATACTCTGGTTTCACCTCAGATCGTATAAATCTTTCGCCTCATAACTTGTTTGGCCACACAAATGGCTTGCAGAGTTTGCCCACTTGGGTGCTTGGACTGGAGGCAACTGCTGCTCACCACAGCTGAGCAGGAAAGTATACGCCTGTTTTGATGTTTGTGCATAGATGAGAATCTTTGCATTCTTTACCCCGGGGAAGTTAGTTTTACCCTGGAGTCCCTGCTGTTTTATGTTACTGGCAGGCTACAGTAGCCCCTCAGGAGACAATCACTTACCACTAGTAAATTACTATCTGTCACTTTGTAGAGACAGAGCTTGCGCCATACCTTGAGGTATACATTGCAATTACCTCTTAGTACAGCAACAAGAAGTAAATCATATTGTGTACTCAAGCCCTGAGACTGCTCATTTATGGAAGGAACTTCTTGGAGGCAAGGGAGTATCTTGTTCAGACTGCTCATCCTGTAAAGCCACATGTGGAGCATCGGGCTCACATTCAAGCCCTCAGTTCCTCACAAATGCAAAATACACTGTGGAAAAATAGTTTTGTCCTTGGCCCATGTTCAACAGCAGTTTGCATTTACTTGGAAGCAGAAGGGCTGCTCACCCTCTTTAGGGAAAGGCATAATATGGCAACTCACCACCATGACAATCAGGTATCATGATGCAAAATTCACAAAGGGCACTAATAATTATCATGATTTGAAAACTAAGCCTTCCTACTAATTTAATAGGAATTAAACCAGGCCCTCAGCTTCCTGTGCAATCAGCAACTAGTTTTGCAGGGAAATACACAGAGGTAGGAAGACAATCGTGGATTGCGTTTCATTTAAAAGCCTTCCACAACAGAAAGGGTATGTCACCATAGGTACAATGCAAGACATCCTAAGAATTGTGGTCAACCATTAGGAGATAGGCTTACACCAGTGGTGGCCAAACTTGGCCCTCCAGCTGTTTTTGGATTACAGCTCCCATCATCCCTAGCAAACAGGACAAGTGGTCAGGGATTATGGGAATTGTAGTCCCAAAACAGCTCGAGGGCCAAGTTTAGCCACCACTGGCTTACACACTATAAGGTTTGTCAATACAGTGGTACCTTGGGTTGCAGATGCTTCAGGTTACAGACGCTTCAGGTTACAGACTCCACTAACCCAGAAATAGTACCTCGGGTTAAGAACTTTGCTTCAGGATGAGAATAGAAATCGTGCTCCGGCAGCACAGCGGCAGCGGGAGGCCCCATTAGCTAAAGTGGTACCTCAGGTTAAGAACAGTTTCAGGTTAAGAATGGACCTCCAGAATGAATTAAGTTCTTAACCCGAGGTACCACTGTATAATATTCTATCATAAGTCATTTTATGGAAAGACAGGTTGTGTGTGTGTGTGTGTGTGCGTGTGCGTGCGTGCGCACACATTATACACAAAAATATAAATATTGTACACATATGCTTGCGGGTGGCGCTGTGGGTAAAACCTCAGTGCCTAGGACTTGCTGATCGTAAGGTCGGCAGTTCAAATCCCCGCGACGGGGTGAGCTCCCGTCGTTCGGTCCCAGCTCCTGCCAACCCAGCAGTTTGAAAGCACCCCTAAGTGCAAGTAGATAAATAGGGACCGCTTTATAGCGGGAAGGTAAACGGCGTTTCCGTGTGCTGCGCTGGTGCTGGCTCGCCAGAGCAGCTTCGTCACACTGGCCACATGACCCGGAAGTGTCTTCGGACAGCGCCGGCCCCCGGCCCTTTGAGCGAGATGAGCGCGCAACCCTAGAGTCAGTCACAACTGGCCCGGACGGGCAGGGGTACCTTTACCTTTTTATGCTTGCCTTTGGGTTATCCATTGTTTTATAGTTTATATCAGGGGTGGCTAACATAGAACCCTCTCTGGCTTTTGGACATGCTGATGGGGCTTGGATGGGTGGGGCTTGGAGCCCAACAACTTCTCGGTGGCACCAAACTGCCTATTCATGGTTTATATCATCAATAGTGGCTAGAAGAGAATGATTCCCTGGATTCCAGCCAGAGGAATCACATGCAATCCATTTTTTCCTCTACCCTTTTGCTGTAACTGAAAAAATATAGCATCATTTTCTCTTGGGTGAGGGTGTTAGGTCTCCCTGCTAGATGGCTTGTCTAGTTTGTTACCATAACGAAACAACACATCAAAGGCAGGATACATAATTAGAGAAAAGGAATAATAATTACTTCTAACATGACAAGGCTGACCACAGTAGAAGGGAGCTCTGTCAAAGTCAATTACTCTTTTAAAATTAGGGGCAAGGCAATTATTCCAATGTACTCCTCATGAATTATACTGTTCATTAATGACGGCATGCAAGCAAGTGCTTCATCTATGTGTTGCTCAGACTGGATGGAGGTGTTAATGCTGCAGCCTTACATTGTTCCATATGATTTTTAAAAATGCTTGACACATTCGAACAGCTGGAAGGAACACATTACAAATCACAGAGAAGACCATTTTCTAAAAGAAGCCTTAAAGGACTGACCCCAACATTAAGTTTTCAGCACAGCATGTCAATTTCATGTAATTACTTTTTTATGCACTTAAATTGCTTTTATAGGGATTTTTATGTCTAAAGCCTCAAACTTTGAACCATGAGCACCTACCAAAATATATTTCAAAAATAAGCCTCCATAGGGGCTTGCTGAACATTCCTATCATGAAAATATTTATTATTATTATTATTATTATTATTATTATTAATCTATGGTTCACAACAGAAAAATAGAACCTGAGAACACAAAATGCATAATAAAAAAGGAAACACAACAAAGAGCTTCCAAAGAATTGGAAAACCATGGTGGTAGCATACAAAACTAAGCGCAGCCATTTCAGAGATAGAGTAAGCCTGGTTATACCCTGCTTCTGGCTTCATTTTATGTTAACCATTAGGAAAATACGTGTCATTTTTACAGTACCGTCTCCTTGGCTTATTGGAGAAAAGTGATTGGGCCAGATTCAGCAAGTAATTGCACTAGTAAGAGCTAGCACAATGAGCCTCACTAGAAGAGGGGAGATAGTTTCATCAGGCAAACAGAAATCCTTAGCACTATGTTAAATTTCACCCACTGTCTCCGTTTTGTTGTGCTTAGTCCTCATACACCAAATTCTCAAAGGACCACCCCAACTTCCCTGGCAATCTTTGAGATGAGTCTATTTTTGTTCCCTACATAGTTCTCCATATTCTGCCACATGTAACCCAGACTAGGGACACAGCTATACAGCTGCAAATCAAACGTTTTAAATGTGTTATAAAGTGCAATATACATATGTGACACTAGATGATGACAGTGAGCTATGCAAAATTCGATGTATTTTTCAAAACTTTTTAAAAAGTATTTTCACAGCTTTTTTTATATGTGTGTAGATTTCACCTAGTTGAAATTACTGTTACCTTTAAAGCCCTTCATGACTTGGGAGCCAAATATACTTTAGAGACCACCATTCACCATATGAGCTTGTCACTACTCACAATCAGCAGGTTAGGTTCTAATACATGTACCAACACCATGAGGCAATGATGGTTGTTGTTGGGCCTTTGCAGCAGGTGCTCCAAAGCTATGGAATTATCTCCCAGATACAAGTTCCTCCTTTGTAGTGTTTCAAGGAGGAGGCAAGACTTTGCTTTTTCAAAAAGCCTTTGGCTGTTGAGCTTTTAATTAAAGCTCAATATTGCTGCTGCAGAAATTTACTGGTTTTGTTGCTTATGGGAGGCATTTATATCTATTTTTATGATTTGAAATTAATGTTGTAAGCTGCCTCAAGCCTGGGAGAGACAGCAGTTTTGTTTGGAGCCTAAGACTCACTTTGCATATTACCTTTAGGACTGTTTGGAGTCTTCCCCCACTTATGGGAGTCCTTAATTTGCAAGTGTGTGCAAACCGGTTGCTCACACATCTCTACCACAGCAACTTCCATGATTTTGGTCACTCCAAAATACAGCTAAATTGGGCAGAGTTTTCAGGAAGATGGTCAACTACTGTCTGGGCTGTACCACAGCAGAAGTGAAAGGAGAGGTCTTGTGTGATTAAATGTACTTTTGTACAAAACAAAAAACCTTGCATAGAGGAAAACAAGCAATGAGGAAAATTGAATGTCTTCTCCTATACCAGTCTATCCTGTCACAGGGATTATCAAATGAGGCTTTCTTCCAGGTACCCTTGTCTCAGCTTGAGTGGCAACTGGAAGGAGAACCTTTCCAGTGCTAGCTACCTGCTTCTAAAACATCCCCTTCCCCAAGGAACCTTGACTGGTGTTTATGCTGATGTCATTTAGGTGCCAGAAGAAGATTGCTGTTGTTAAAAAAAAACAAAAAAACCCACCATTCCTGAGGAATTGTACTGCTTTTAATGACCTTATTTTATCTGGAGTTTTGCTGTACAAGCTGCTGCTGAAACTTATTCTTTTTCCTGCTATTGTGTCCAATTCTTATAGCTTATTTTATATTTTTGCATTTTATCATTATAGTCTGCTCTGGGAACACCTGCTCTGGCAAGTGATGGGTGGCAGAGCCAAAATGTGCTTCCCCTTGCCAATGCACAGTCAGGAACACACTTTAAGACTCCCAATAGGCACTGGCAGCTGTGTCTATACCTGCCCATACCTGGCATCATATGTGTGTGTGTGGCAGGTAGGTGTGACTTGACGGAAATGGCTTCATGGGTCAAATTTGGACACCTGGTTGGTCAAGTTCGCCCCATGGGCCAGACATTCCCCAACCTGGCTCCCGATGGCTTTTTGTTCCCTGAGCAGCATATATTAGCATCCACCCCTACAAAAGTCTGAAATGGTACAGCCTACACACAGATTTACTACCCATGATAACTATGCCCTAGGCCAGGGGTGGCTCAGACATTGCTAAACCACAGCTTTCATCATTCATGACTATTGGCCCTGCTGGCTGGCACTGATAGAAGTTCTAGTTCAGCAACATCTAGAGGGCCACAGGTTAGCCACTCATGTCATTGTTTGGATTTGATAGTCGTGTGTAGTCTCCTTCCCCCAATAAGAACTCATAGAGAAATATTACCTTCTGCATTTACTGCTCAATCCATCAGATTTAAGTAAAAAAATGTTTTCAAAAAAATATTCTCTATCCCTCTCACACACCTATCACAGGCACAAAGAGAAACTCCATACATATTTTTCTTTCTGCTTTAGAGTTTTTTGTTCTGTTGTACAGAAGCCACACATTTTAAGATCTCCAGAGCAAATCTCATCTTTCAACATTTGTTGTGAAGTAACAATTCCTCTAGTAAAGAAGTAGGATTAACAAGCCATGCAGGAGGTGTTTTTTCTGAGAGATTTAAATTACTTACAAAATGGGAAGAGGGGGGCTGCTGCAGGAAAGACTGGTGTTGCTTTCAGTGCATTTTAGAAATGAGATCAAGTTCAAGTTCAGCTATAAATATCTTTCCAACTGCACAGAAAAAAATATTAATGGCAACATAGTTCTGCTTTAAATAAAAACCGATGGTTGCATATATAAACAGAAATGGAATTCCACAAAAAGCAACTTTAGCCAGCAAACCAATCCACATCAAAGTCACCATCAGCTGTTTTGCATGGCTACACCAAAATATGCAGATTTACACATAAGAAGAGCAAATGGAATTATGATTGTTTGAAATTTAACTTTTAAAAATGTCAAGTTTCTAGTCCTTATAGCTGCAGAGAAAGCCCCCTGCAGTCACATATCTTAGAAACTAACAAGGTGTTTTGAGGGTCGGGGAAGAATCTCCAATGGTCGGGGTAAACCTACTTTTGCCTTTTCTGCTTCTAACCAAACTACAATTATATTCCCATTGTGCTCTTTTCACCACCAGTGCCGCACTTTTCAGTGTACAAAAGTACTTTACTGTTCTTATTTATAGTAGTAGTTCATGGGGTCAATGGACAAATCCTTACAACCAACCATTTAAAATATGGTTGACACAGAGAAACAGAGAAACAGATTTTTAAAGCCTGCCCCAATACACATAGTATGGGGGTCAGAAATGGAAGCTGAGCCACTGAGCAACATTTCTGTGGAAACAATCATTACAACTGCATTCCAATAACTTTGAACAAAGATGTTTCAGTTAAATAACTCTTTCAGAGTGATTCAGTACTTCTTCACTGCATCATCCCATAAAAAGCTACCCCCCCAAAAAAAAACCATACGGTTTGCTTGGATAACATGTGGTGTCATCATAAATCATGTTTTTTCTTCTAATAATGTCAACAGTTTTCTTGGAGTTCAAAAGAGAAGCAGAGCAGAACCATTACCTAGTTCTGGCAAGGAAAAAAAAAATCCCCAAGATGTTTGCCTTCACTTTTTCCTCCTCCTGATCTCCTGCAGAAATTGTGCAAAGACAAAGATGTCACACAAAGCACACAAAGCCACAAAGCCAACATGAGCAGATGTTTCCTTTCTGCATTTTTTTCTCTCTCCACGAGTCTTTCCCCATCAATTCCAGTTTATACCCAGAAGGATTAAATATAAAACAGCACACATTAACAACAAAAAACTCAACAGTCCCCATTTTGTTAGTTAGGAAGCTAGCATCATTGATAAGAGTATGAGTGAAAGTAAGCAACTTTCTGGGTATAACAAAATGCTCATCACGACAACAGAGGTGTTAGCATATCACAATGTGAGGTCTCTGTATAGACACACATTGCATTTCTCCACTCCACAATCCTTGCCAACAGGACCAGGGTGCCAAGCAACAGGGCTGGCTTGGCCTTCATCATAACAACATTCACAAAATGCTGGAGTAGATGGCAACCAATCACATACACAAGGAAGAGGTGTACTCAGGGACAGCACCAGGATAGAGGTAAAACCGGCTGTCTCCCTCTGGTGATCCCAGCTTGAGAATCCAGACTTCCCCTAAATCTGTATGATGCCATCAGTTCTGTATGATGCCATCAGTTCTTGGTCACACTTGGGAGTGTAATGGAATGTCAGAAATTGGCTTATCTCACTCTACAGAGATGTCTACTGTTTCATCTGTTCAAATTTTGCTGGTAGGTAAAAATGCTTTGTAGATATGAAGGCTATGAAGAGTCACCCCTACAAAGTCAGGTACACTGGCCAACTTATATATACTAATAGCTACTCAAATCTTCATGTGCTCCTGATAATGTTAGCCAGAACTGTACTACTAACACACACAAAAGAAACACTGAACAAGCAGATCTGGGGTGCTCCAATGTACAGTGATATCTCGGGTTAAGTACTTAATTCGTTACGGAGGTCCGTTCTTAACCTGAAAATGTTCTTAACCTGAAGCACCACTTTAGCTAATGGGGCCTCCCGCTGCTGCCGCGCCGCCGGAGCACGATTTCTGTTCTCATCCTGAAGCAAAGTTCTTAACCCGAGGTAATATTTCTGGGTTAGCGGAGTCCGTAACCTGAAGTGTATGTAACCTGAAGCGTATATAACCTGAGGTACCACTGTACAAACAAGCACAACACATCTGCAGGGGTGAGGAGCACTGGCAGGTTGGAAAGAGGGGGGAGTAGAATAAAATGACTAGAATTAGACAGAGAAACTACACACGAGAGAGAGAGAGAGAGAGAACTGCCTGCAAACATCAGTGGAGAAATTAAAAAAATTAACAGAGCTTGGATTGGGCACAAGCGCTTCCATCCCTCCCTCCCACCCTCCAACAAACCCAAATTGGAGAAAAAACAAAAAAAGGAGGAGTGAATCCAAGGAAGACGAAGCTTACTCAGAGAGCATGAAGTGCTCACTGACTGGTGGCAGTGGAACTGAGGAGGAGGGATTCCGCATTGACACATTTTTTTGCAGGGCCCTGTGTGTGTGTGTGTACGTGCATGCATGCACACACACATTATATGATTATATCTCGGTCCTCAGTGAAAACTGAAAAGGAATATTCTGCTCATATGACAATGCATAATGTAATTTTCTATGTTCTAGGGCAAAGTTCCTTTCCAGTCCTGCATCTGGAGACCAAGACATTAAAAAATCAGTCTGGGGCCTCATATGCAAAATGCATGTGTCCTTCCCATAAAAGACCCTTTTTAAAGTTCTACTTTAATTCATAGGAAATTATTATAACAAATAAATTAATGTTCCTAGTCAAGTAAAGCGGAAAAATTCAATGAGAATGAAGAGTTGCATACACAATCAAGAAGGGGGAAAGGGGGAAATCAGTGTTTGCACCAAACGCAAGAAACAAAAGGCTTCCTTATATATAGGACAGCCTCTGTACCACAGTCTTTATTAACTCACTTAATGAACATTTATAAAAAGGTTTTGTTTCATGCAATAACGACTGGGAATTAAAAAACAACCATTGTTATAATATATTATTCCAATCAAGTGTTCAGCAACAGCAAAAAGAATTCCATTAAATGGTTAACCTTCAGGACCAGAAAAAAACAACTCATAAAATTTTGAAATTTAAGTTTTCAAAAGTTTCCAATCTTGATATTGAAATCTGACAATGTTCAAAACTCACCCTCACTGAATACTCACTGAATTAAATGGCGTATTCTGCCAAATACTCTCTATTGCTATTGCTATTCTGTGCAAACTGTCAAATATTGTCAAATTTTGATGGCTGTTTCCGCTGCAGAATCTTTGTTTCCTACATGCTGCCAGACAACAAATATTTGCCAATTATTATCACATGCTGAAAATATACTCCAAAAATTGTGAGCTAATTTTGTGGAAAATTATGGAACACAATTTTGTTTTCGCTCTTGTAGGGTAGGCCTGGATAATTTTTGTCCCCTCACAAGCAATGAATTATATCAACAGGAATTTGTGATTTATTGCTACAGCATGATTAGATATTTAAACCCAATTGTTGCTCACTTCCTACCATGACAATTGACAAGGAGGCACTGTTTGAAGAATTACACAACTAGGGCATGTCTGAAAACATTCAAAACCTCTCCATCAATACAATGCAAAAATATAATTTGCTTTTGAGATTAACATTTTCAAATGACTTGGAGCACAAAAATAGCAAAGGGAAAAAAACTTTAAAATCCCTATAGTCAACCCCCGCCCCAACTTCAAGTCTTGTTTTTCTGCAAAGGAGGTACAAGTAAATTTAGCATGCACTCTATTATGTTATATGCAACGAAAGTGTATCCAGATGCATTCAGGACTGGGGATAGAGGAGAAATTCAATTTGGTAAGCAATTAAAGCCAAATCTATATAATCCACACTTTCCAAAACATGCAAACTGAAATACAGCTATCCTTCAAAATCCACACTTACCTGAATTTTGAGATGTAGTTCTCTAACCCAACAAAATTTACAAATAGTAGTGGGAAGTGTGAATAAAAATGAAGATACTCGTGAAAACATATAAAAATGCATTTATATTAGGGAAATTTCCTTGCAAAAACATGTGCCTTAGTCAAAGCCACATATAAAAATCTGTTTATTTTGAGAAATTTGCACTAAAATACTGATATTATTATTATTATTATTATTATTCCACAAATTGCTGCTAAATGCTAAATGAAGGAACTGAATTTAAGATTGCAAAAATGAAAAACAGTGAGATCCAAAATAGACAGATCTTTCCATCCCTACTCTGCTTTTTATGTTTCATTTCGTTTCTACTTCTGGATGCATATCCTTGAATGCTATCAAACTTTCACTCACGAAGGATCTACAGGGTCAGAAGAGGTTGCCATGGGGAAAAGAAGCCAAAAGTGTTTTAGTGCAAGTGGAGAAGCAACCTTGCAGTTTCTGAATGCACAGTATTAGAACTCAGTGCTGTTTTGAGCCAATAAAGATGTGTGAAACATCTTCATTCCATAAGTTCAAAGCTTTAGAAAGATTCAAATGTGTCGAACCACAACAGCATTATCCAAGCAACAACTCTTTCTGTCTGCCCCCAAATGGATTTGGTATAAGTTCTGAAGTTTCAAAAACAATTACTTTGAACAATCTGTCCTCTGTACCAACACTGAAGGACATGATTTCAGTTCAAGTGTCCTCTCCATAAATTCCAGTATTGCCATGACACTAGCTGGAAATCAAAATGTGGAGTTTCAGAGCTATAGGTCTGAGACAGCTCTTTCAAAAAGTATTTTTCTTGCCAGCACTAAAAACAAATGTTTCTCTACATAGGGAGGACTTTTTTAAAAAGAAGGCAGAAAAGTAAGACCTAAAGAACACCTTTTTTTTACTGTTTGTGTGGGATAGTCTTGCCATGAGCCAGATGTGAAGGAATAAAAAGTGAAAGGCAGCAGCCAACAAAGCATTAAACTAAAAAAAGCACAATGCAGTCTCAAATTTTTGAAACGTGATGTCAAGCCCATTCAGGATGCCTACAAATACATTACATTAAGCCTAGATTTAGTAGGTGATAATTGAAATCAGAGCTTCAGCTATTACCACCAACATGTTTCTAAATAGTACCCAATAAATTTGCCTTCTGTTACCATTTCTTTATGACAGCTGGCAAAGTGCAACAAGAGAGTCTACACATGGACATTGTACTTATTTTTGGTAGTTCTTGTCCTGTATTGACCACTCCACTTGCATAATCTTATGTAGTCATCAGCCCAAAACACTTTGGAATCAATTTTGCAACATATCACTTGACACTCAAACAATGCAATACCTCTCTTTAAATACCCCTCTTCCCATTTCATCCCCACCATCTCACCACCAGTATAAATTCCTGGCCCTTACCTTCATAAATTTCCATGGGCCTCATATTTCTGCCTTTTCCCGATATATCCCTGCCTGTGATATTTAAAATGGCAATTTATAATCCACAGCCATACGAAGGTCTGTTCTTACAACTGATTCTTGCTGTCACTTATGTCTGGTACCTTATTCCTGAACATGTATCTCATAGTTGCCTCCTCCAGATCCCTCTTCAGAACTCAGATTTTCTACAAAGCCCTTGGGTTTAGATATTTAGTTCTCACTCTCAATGCTAATCCAATTCAAGTATGGTTCAAAAGAAGTCCCTCACTCATAAACTGAATGAATGAACAAATGAATTAATGAACGAATGAACAAGATGGTAACAGGACTTCCCCTAAATTGTTTGCTGTCAGAAACAGGACGCTGACTAGCCAGGCGTTTAGTCTGATACAGCTGTACTATGCTTATGAAAGTGCCCATTGGCCATGCCCCGCACATTCAGTGGTAGTGAGGAGTGACTGTAAGTTCATGCAGTTGAAGAGGGCTCCAGCTGATCAGAAACTGATTTACTGGGGTTTCCAATCATGTGGAGGAGCTGTACATGTGTTGGGCTCATTTCTCACTAAACAATGAATGTGCACCTGCAAGGTGGGCACAACAGATGGTTGTGTTAGTTTGAGGGATGTGTGGGCAGTGGGCACTCTCACGTTAACTATGAAGGTGTGCCTTTGGACATCCTTTATGTGTAACTGTGGTTTTGCACATCTATCACATGGTTCTCTCTTCAACACCCACTGTTGTTGTCTTCCCTAGAATCAAGATTCGCATTAATGGGCCCATTCCTCTAGCAAGCTCGAATTCTCTTACCAGAGGAGGAAACTTCAACCAATGTGCACCTCTGCTCGCTTTTGAAAACATGCTTGTTCAGAAAGTCCTTTGGTTTCACATAGGGCTAGAATTTTTTACTGGCTGCCATATTAATTAGCAAGAATCTATTGAAACCACACATATATCTGCAAGTTTAAAAGTGTAATAAATTACATATTGCTTTAAACTCAGAAGCATATGGGAGATCCAAAATGATAATTTTGGCTATTACTGGATTATCTTTCCTAGCTTCATAAGCTTTATGAAGCTGAGAATGAGCTTTGAGATCAGGCATTCCTTGCTTCGCATGCTAGCTATGATGTTTCATTCCTGGCTTAATGCAAACCAGGGTTCACTGTTTTGTCCAAACCAGAGAACTCTGGCTTAATGTCAGCTAACAGAGCAGGAAAATTTGCATGGTTTGCGCTTAACAGGGAACTCTGGTTTGTATTAAGCCAGGAGCAAACAAAACTGGCATGCGATGAGGCAAAGGAGGAATGGTCAGCCTCAATGCTCACTCTTGACTTAATAAACCATGGTTTACGAAGATGGGAAAAATCATTCAGATCCAACCATTGTGGAAAACTTGTATGTGTAAGGAACCAAATTACAAAGAAGTAGGGTGTTAGTCTGTCGTAGCAAAAAACAGCAGTCTTGAGGCACCTTAAAGCACAACATATTTATCATGGCATGAGTTCATTACTAGAATCCAAATAATCAAATGCATGAAGTGTTCTCCTAAAATTGGCAGATTATATACGAACAGAAGTATTTTTAAAAAACACTATAAGTATTGATGTCAGAGCAAAAGACCATTATAAGTATATTAAAGCTTAAATGTATGTAAAAAAACTGTAATTTCAGTGACCATTCACAAAACAGTGTTTATGACAACGCAAACATCATGGCATTGATCAGCTAACTAACACCTGTAACAGTCCACATGTTTCTGGACTTCCTACTGCTACAGCATAGAAGAGCTCTCATTCATCCATCCATCCATCCATCCATCCATCACATCTTAAGTCGCTCTAGCCTTCCTCCTCCCTCAGGCATCTAGTTTTGCCATTTGCTGGAAACCAAAGTCCTGTTTTGTACCAAGAACTCAACCAGAAGAAAATGGAATGTACCACAATTTAAATGTTGTTAATTAATACCCCCAAACAAGGGCTTCTTTACTTACCAAAAAAAAAGACAGGCACAGAAATTTATTTATTTGTAGCATTTGTGTTTATTTGCAAGTCTTACTTTTAAGCCTGTCATCCAAGTTGACCATTTCTTACTTTTACACTACAAAATCCAAATCCCACTCTTCAGCACAAAAGCAAGCAACTCTGTCATAGTTGTATGTGCAGATGTATTCTGTATGCCTTCAATGGTCCCTCCATTGATAACCTTCCAACTCCCATAAAATCCAGAAAGAACCCCTTCTTACTGAGAAGCATTGGTTCCCAGTTTACTGAGAAGACAATGATCAACTTTTGATCAAAAGGTACATAACCCTGTTACTTCCTGTCTACCTTCTTAGGTGTCCCTCCTGTTCATTTCCTTGTTCATTCAGATGCTTTTCTTACTCTACATAAAACCCATGTGTTACCGGTATATGTTATACGTTACCTTACAAATGAGATTTTCTGGTTTCCACAAGTCCAGATTCCAACTCTGTCCCCATATTTGCTCATGCAACAATATCAGTGGACTTAATAGCATAAACCATAGCATCAAGAGTTCATTCACCTGCTTATATTCAAAGGTGTTATATGCTATAACACTTGTGTTCTATATAGGGGGGAAATGGACATAAATCTTACATCACAACTGGCAATATTAAATAATAAAAAAAACCAGTGGGAGAGTTCCGTCTCTGAAAGGCCAACTTTGCCCCTAACCTAAAGGTGGCTATTTTTAAAAGAAAGGGATTTGAAAAGCAAGAGTGCAATGTGAAACCGCTAAATTACAATGAATCCAGAAGTTCAATTCTATCACCCGTGGTTTGAATCAAGCTAACGGGTTTTTAATCACACTATATGCATTGATTAGCTTACCAATGCCACTATGTACAGTCTGTACTGTATTTCTTTTCACTCTGACCTCCTGGTTTACAACCAGGTTTACAACCTCACCCTCCAAACCGTGTGTGGTGGCGTGTGGTGTGTAATCAGGATTTGAGGGTAATATTTCATGCATATGATGTAGTGGCCTCTAATAAAAACCTTAATAAATTTGTTTGTTTTTAAGATGCTGCAATACTTTATGTTTTAGCTGAAAAAGCTAACATGGCAACAAATACTATGTATTTTGATAACTTTCATACACTAAAGAAACAAAATTAACTGTTTCTTCCTTTTAATTGTTGTATCAGCATGCAACCAGGTCTCTAGCTGTTATTTTTTAAGCTTCATTATATTATATTTCAATGTCCAATTGACGAATAATAGGACAAGAAATTGCAGAAGAGGCAATTTCAAAAAATAGATGCAAATCAACAGGAAAAAAATGCTTCAAAGCATGTCTTTATTGGGATGATTCTATATATATCTGATAATAAATGAGCTTGTAACAAACAGGAATCTGCAAAGGTTCCCTCCCATCCTATATAGCTAATTATGCCAATGCAACATTACATTTTCCTAAATGCCTTATAAACTGATTTAGCTACTCAGAAAAAAAATATTGTTAAATAGATGTGATAGATGCAAGTTGAAATATTCAAATTTCAATTCTGGCACCAATTCCCAGACCCCTTTCTCCAAGTAATTTAAGGACTTCCTGAAGATAGTTTTTCATATTCCTTTAAACTGACATTTTATCTTTCTACAGTATCTCACCAGAATGAGCATGCTCTAAAACAATGACAGGCCTTCTTTGGCTGTCATCTCTCATTCTGGCAAAGACAGATGTCTTACGCTGGCTTATGCCAATAATAGACCCGACAGGAAAAAAACAACAGAGACTACCTGCCTCTGATGTAAAGGCACCAATTCACATTTGTGACACTCATTTGTCAATTAACAGATTTCTCCCATTGTTGACACATGGGACTTAAAAGATGTGGGCTAGAAAGTGATGAATTAAAAAAGACAGATGAGTAAGCTATGAGCTGCAAAGTAATACTATAATGTGCTTTAGATAGGAATATCAACTGACACCCCTGACAGGCCATACACGGTTTTATTTCATTTTCCACTGTATCTCAGCTTCATACTTTGTCTTCTTTGTTCTCTTTTCATCAAGCTCCTAACATCTCATTCTGACAGCCAGAGACATTTAAGGCACTTTCGTTTCAAATGCAAGTTAGCGTACTTGATTTGTCATTAAAATGCAAAACGATTGCCATCCGCAGGTAAAAATGTAGGTAAGCTTAAAAGGTTGTATCTGCAAAGTATAAAAGCTGAAAGTGGTTTCTGGCTGCTTGGCTTAACTCTTTCACTCACTGTTCAGAATTTAAGGGAAAGAATGATTATGTGTCTGAGAGAGGTCCAGCAATGCATGCACTTTTAAACTAAGTGCAATTTTGTCAGTGGAACCACTCTACAGAGCTCGATAACCACTTTGGCCACCTGTACTACATACATTATACGAAACATTACCACTAAGGGTTTGAATTGGTAACAGAATAAATTCATGTGCAACCCTGTGCCTCATGCCCAGATATTGTGCCATGCTATATTGTTCCCTTTTAAGAAGTGGAACACAGATTCATGGAGGTCAGGTCAATCACAAACTATTTCCCATAACAGCTAAATAGAACCACTGGTATGCACCTGAATACCAGATGCTAGAGGATGGCCAATGGGAGAGAGCCCGTGTTTTCATGCTCTACTCACAGACTTCATGGAAGCAACTGGCTGGTCACTTTGGGTACTTGACTACATGGATTCTTAGTCTGATTCAGTAAGACTCTTGTGTCCTGGTCTAGCACAATGCTTTCACTGATGAAGCAATGTGGTACCAGTTCTCTACGGCAGAATATGAATATACTTATTATGCATATCTTCCCCAAGATCACCAAAATCAGTTTTGATCTTCTGTTGGTATGGAGTTACCATGAAGTTACTCCAGGACCTCCATCACTCTTACAATTTTTTGATACCTTCCTCTTCTTCTTCTGCAGTGTTCCCCACCCGACCCTACTTGCAACAGAGCCTCTTCAGGAGCAGGTGTTCAAATCCCACTGCAGTTAGCACGGCTCAGTCAGTGGATAGAATGTCAGATTTCAGCAGCTTTCAGGTAGGTGGTTCCTTTCACTAGTCACTGCTTTTCCACTGTAGGTAACAAGTACACTGTGATCAACTTCCCAAACCACTGGGTATTCTGCACTTTTTGTATACGTATCTTCACTCTGTTATGTTCAGCCAATGCCATAGCTGCTGTGAGTGGTGAAGGTCCAATTCACATAAGCAGCCATTTTAAGCTCAGCACACATTCACTATGATGTTTGCAGCTGCTACCAATTTATTACCTGATTCACTTCTTGGTGTTTTAATTAGCACTAAAACACTCTTCCAGTTGTTGTTGCTGTTCAGTTGTTTAGACGTGTCCGACTCTTCGTGACCCCATGGACCAGAGCACGCCAGGCACTCCTGTCTTCCACTGCCTCCCGCAGTTTGGTCAAACTCATGCTGGTAGCTTCGAGAACACTGTCCTACCATCTCGTCCTCTGTCGTCCCCTTCTCCTTGTGCCCTCAATCTTTCCAAACATCAGGGTCTTTTCCAGGGAGTCTTCTCTTCTCATGATGTGGCCAAAGTATTGGAGCCTCAGCTTCACGATCTGTCCTTCCAGTGAGCACTCAGGGCTGATTTCCTTAAGAATGGATAGGTTTGATCTTCTTGCAGTCCATGGGACTCTCAAGAGTCTCCGCCAGCATATAGTTTTAAAATACTGAAATATTAGAAAAATGCCACTTTAATGAGTTTTACAGTGCTGTAACACTAAACCACAGAGCCTAGGGCTTGCCGATCAGAAGGTCGCGGTTCGAATCCCCACGACAGGGTGAGCTCCTGTTGCTCAGTCCCTGCTCCTGCCAACCTAGCAGTTCGAAAGCACATCAAAGTGCAAGTAGATAAATAGGTCCCGCTCCAGCGGGAAGGTAAACAGCATTTCTGTGCACTGCTCTGGTTCACCAGAAGCGGCTTGGTCATGCTGGCCACATGACCTGGAAGCTGTATGCCGGCTCCCTCAGCCAATAAAGTGAGATGAGTGCCGCAACCCCAGAGTCGGTCACGACTGGACTTAATGGACAGGGGTCCCTTTACCTTTACCTTTACTAACACTGCAATACTATTCTTTTCAAAATGTTGATAAAACCTCTCCAGTCAAGATGCTTAAAGGCCATGACCTGAAAAGTTTTTTTCCTCAACAAGAGCGTTATAGCACTACAACCCTTTAATAGCTATTTCAGTCTTGTAAAAACAATATAGCTGGGAAAGTCTGTTAGCACTAAAAGATTGATTTAAAATAAAACAAGGTGGTAAATTGGTGCCAACTCCATAGGCTGAGTGTGCTCTGAGCTGCAATAAGTTCACTTCTCCGATTATGTCACTGTCCATAGCAAAACCCCACCCTCTTTAAAAGACGAAGGAGCAATGTTGTAGGAATTTATACCTGTGGGAAGTACACTAGTCTTCACTCTCTCTAAAAAAAAGTTGAACTTTTTGTGTCGTCAAAAATAAAATAAAAGAACTAAAGGGAAAATACAGGACAACAATTAATGGATCATGGCATCATGTGGCTTGCCCTGTAAACAGTTGGTGAATACAGCATGGCAACTCCAGACTAAATTTTTGAAGTGCTGCAATATGGAAGCATTCTTAGAAAAAACATGAAGCTTACATTACACACCTTAACTTTTCACAGGACTAATTTAAGAATAAAAGGAGACTGGTGCATGCATGTCATCCTGAGTTCCATAGAAGATGTGGGTGTTTTGGTTTGTTTGTTATAAGTTATTCCTAATACTATGTGAATGTGTTTGTGTTGCTTTTTCCCTCCATTGCAACTGATGTTTCACTTCAGCTTTTGATTAAGGAAGCAGGGAGGAAGACTGATGCAGAGTCAAAAATGTTAGCGAAAACGCAAAAAGGTTAATGCACTTTTAATTTAAGAACTCTTAACTACACAGCCATAAAAAGAGAGATGAATAGCTCTAAGCTACAGATTGGGATGTGTGCAAATTTTAATTTATTATGATACTCAGTGTCCTATAGAGCAAATTACTATTTCCAGCTTAACTTCATTTAGACAGGCTGTTCTCATTACACTTACACACACACACACACACACACACACACGTTGCAACCATGGACACACACAACTAATATTGGCAATTTTCATTTTCAAGAATACAGCTGGCAGTATATATTTGCAGCTGCAGGTAAGTGTCTTGAAAACAGCAACAGGCTTCTGAATAGTTATGGCAGATTTGCAAGAAGAAGCTGTGCCTTTGTTGCAAACGATGTTACACAATTAATCTTAGTTTGTTGAGCAATAGCCAGCACAGTAGAAAGCTGATCAGAGCTTTGAATGAGGAACTAGACGTGCATGAGTAAGCTAAGCCCTTGTAAAATGAACCCTATACAGATAAGTCACATCTTCCTAATTCAGGAAAGGGTTCAATTTTAATTTTCTTTAACAAGAGATATATGTGTGCATGTTTGACATTCAAGAAGAGCCCTTGTATTAATTGTGCACAATGTGCACAGATGCTAGGATCCAAAGTAACACACAATTGGGGCGGGGGGGGGGGGAGCCACAGAAAATCATGCCCTTTTGAAAATTTCACCGCTGTTTTTGGTGAAAAGTACCAGGATATACAATGCCACTTTTCAACTATGTGAATAATCCATGAAAAAATAAAAATAAAAATTTCACACATATTTACACTTCAAATTTACACAACCTTGTTGATAAACAGATTCAGCAGACGAACTCTTAGTAATCCAACTGCCATGCAAACCCAATTATCTGTTATCTTGACAATGTTGAGGTAGTAAAGGTAACATTACAGAGTTCTCTCTTAGATTGTAGAGCAAGCCAGAAAAGAGACGTAGTTCCCAGTAAAGTTTTGTTTTGAAGCACAATGTGAAGTTGGAATTTGCTGTTCTTTGCACTAATTTCCATTGGAATATATATGCCATTTTTATATCTGTTCATCCAGAAGAGAACATTCTGAAGCTCCTCACAGGCTGCTTAAAATGATGCCATCTTGAATAGTTTGGGGGTCATTGATTAAGTTAGTCTATCTACTATTCCCCCCCCAATCCTGACCATCTATGAATGTTAAATGCAAGCCATCCAAATAAAGATATTTGAGAGAGCACACTAACTGCTTCTAGACATTGTGAAAACTCACGTTATGGCTACCTTTCTCTGATGAGCAGTTAGGTCCTATTTTATCCCATGACTACTGAAAAAAACATTTTTTTCTTTTTTTGAAACTTTTGCCAACTGATTATGTCAGGCATAGGCAAACTCGACTCTCCAGATGTTTTGGGACTACAACTCCCATCATCCTTAGCTAACATGACCAGTGGTCAGGGATGATGGGAGTTGTAGTCCCAAAACATCTGGAGGGCCGAGTTTGCCTATGCCTAGGCTATGTCAAAGGCTTTTTGAAAATTCAAGTATTTGGGGAGAATTCAGCTAGTGAATCCTGTCAGCAGAAACTCTGCACTCTTCCTCTCCTTTCTCTGTGCACCCCCTGAAATTGGCTCTGCTGGGAGTGGTCAGGATACCCTCAGAACAGCACACAGCAGAAGAAGAGGGTGGATCATTCTGTTTGGGAAGCTGAAATGCTTGTCCTGACAGAATAATCACCTTAGTGTAACATTCAATTACTTTCATATTGACTTTATAGCGACTTTACAAGTTTGCATACCACCCTTAAAATACTCTAAGTTGGTGACCTGATATATCCTTTTTTAGAAACCATACTGATCCTCTGTGAGCAAGGCTTGGTCTTCTGTGCTGGATCATTTATAATGCTTTCCTCTAGTTTACCTTTGACACCAATGTTGGGTTGACAGCTGTGCTGGAACTGGCCTTTTTTGCCTGGGTATTTTATATATGTATATATACAGTGGTACTTCTGGTTACATACGCTTCAGGTTACAGACTCTGCTAACCCAGAAATATTACCTCGGGTTAAGAACTTTGCTTCAGGATAAGAACAGAACTCGTGCAGCGGCGGCGGCACAACAGCAGGAGACCCCATTAGCTAAAGTGGTGCTTCGGGTTAAGAACAGTTTCAGGTTAAGAACGGACCTCCGGAACGAATTAAGTACTTAACCCGAGGTACCACTGTATATATAATATCTCTCGTGTTTTAATGGTTGTAACCTGCCCTGAGGCCTTAGGTGAAGAACTGGTAATATAGTGTTATAACGACAACAACACTCAGTGTACCAAGCCTCAAACAAGCAGAGTGCTTATAGTTTGAAAATCAACAATATCACATATATCTGACAAGCATGTTACCAGAAATTATAAACTGCACACTACATATGAATATGTTAAATGATGGTTCAATGGCCCCCTTCAAATAACGAAAACCCTCTTCTGGTGAAGGCAATCAGGAGTGAAGAGGTGGCAGATGGGGAAGGGGGCACAGTGCCATTTCCCCATGCCAAATCAGTCCTCAAGCAGCTTAACCCCAGAGAGCTTTAAATGCAGCATTTAAAATCAAATTGCATGTCAGTGCAGTCAAGAAATCCAAACTGAACGGTTGAATTCAGGCTAAAAGTTTTTCCATTGACATAGAAATTTCAGTATAGCACAAAATCTATCAACTGCTTTTTAAACATGTTTTCCTAACAATTCTCTTGTCTTTTGTTCACAAGCTGAGAAAGGAATTAGCAAGGAGGAAGAAATGCAAGAAGGCATCATAACATCAACTAAGATCTTGGCCAGGAGTCCTCTCACTATTGCCAAAATAACACTGAAATAAGAGCAACCAAGACAAAAATAACTGTTCAGCCACCAACTGACCACATAATGGAAACCAACCACAAAAACTCAAAGCACAAGCCTTCCCTGGTTGTCAGTGTCTCTTCACTGAAAGAGACTCTAACTTGAATTACAAACCTATATTAACTATGACCTGGATGACAGCATAATTACTATATATGCATGTCTAATCTGACACACTGGCTCCTCAGCCTGAGAAAAAATGCACTGGTCTTTGATGCTGTCATGATAATCAGGTTTTCCTCATTTTGCTCTATGACAATCGTCTGCGCCACTTCACGTAATAGACAGAGTGACATCAGAGTGGCTCTTTTTAGCATGGCTAACACACACAAAAATAGCTACCAAATTGTATTGTGCCTGCAATGTTACTGAGGCTGCCACCTCCTTTTTGCAGCACATTGGGTACTTCTTCAGCACCAAGCAGGGGGAGCAAAGTACAGAGTAAAAGACAAAGGCTTTCATGATGTAGCAGTTTCCTGTTCCTCTTATCATTCTTTACTGTGTCAGCATCTTGAATGGTGATTTTAGAGAGAGCATTTAAGTGTGTCTGGACCAGTACCCTTGTCACATTTGATTTCAGAGTTACCCCTTGCTGTTCTAGAAAAATCTCTGTGCCTTTTCAATCTCCTCCTTCTGCATATACTAGGGATGGAAGAGAAATTCTTTCAGGTCACATTTTAACATGAACCCTACCTATTCTGCAATTCCTGAACCAATAAACAAACCAAAACATTTATCCTTTGAAACTCACAGTTCTCTTCTCCAACTGAAATATTTTAACACAGAGATATGCATATACACATACCATCACATACAGTATGCTAGAAAAATGCCTGAATTAGGGAAAATGTGCAGATTTTTTGAAAGAAAATTTTGCAAATTGATGCAAAAATGGGAAAAACTGGGCATTTGGCTAGGAAAAAAAAGAGAAATCAAAAGCTTTTCCCAACCCAAGTTGATAGAGCCAAAAACATTGACTGTTTTTAGATGTTATTGTTTTAAAATGCTTTAAGTGTGTTTCTAATGTTATTGTTTTACTACTTTACTGGGCAACCTTAGGAAAAGGGGCAGGATAAAAGTTTGTTTATTTGTTTGTATTTATATCCCACCTTTTTCTCCAAGGTGCTGAAGGTGACATACATAGTTTTCTCCTCCTCTTCATTTAAACCCCACAATGTTGTGAGGTACATTAGGCTGAGGGGCGGAGACTGGCCATAAGTCACCTAGCAATCTTCATGGCCAAGTACGGATTTGAACCCTGGGACTCAGCTAGATTGGTAAAGAAAAAGTGTTTTATATGTGTTGTATATGCATTATACCACTGTAACACCAGATGGCGCTGTGGAGTTCCATTTTTGCCAATGCAATTTCTCAAAGTTTAAAACATGTTTAACTGAAACACTTCTTTGATGTGTCTAGATGCAGCCCTGGTCTCCCAGCTCTTAGTCTGACCCCCTAACCACTACACCACACTGGCTCTTCTCTCTCTGTGTGTGTGTGTGTGTGCGTGTGTAATATAGCTCCTGGCTGAATTCTAGAGGGACCTGCCTATACAGGTTACTTCCAGGCAGCACTTTGGTTACTTGTTTATACTACTGACAGTAGCCCTTCACACTTTAAGGAGTGCTGATACAAAAGGCCCATTATCTTCAGGGACAGGGGAGTTATAAGATGCCACCAGGAAGAGAGAGCTGGAAAGCTCCTATCAACATGCTGAAAATCATGCGTAGCGTTTTTTCACTCTAGACCCTACTTTTTTTTATCTGTTTGAAATAAATCCATATTTAAACACAAGAAAGCGTTAGCACCCTCTGAAATTTCTATCAGAGTTTTCAATCAGAACAGCTTTTGATTCAAGTGAGAAATACAGGCAAGCATCTCATATTGGATGATTTTAGAACAACAAACTAAATTGTACAAGTTCGTTAGTTACTTGACGCAATCTGTGCGAACAAGCCACAGGGAGGAGAATTACAATAAGCTTCAAATACTTTACAGCAGAAACAAAATCTGTATGGGTGGATAAGCAAAGGCAAATCTGTTTAAGAAAAATAAAATTACATGCACCAAATTCAGTGGGTTAGTTTTAGGCAATAAAAAAACACCTCAGTATTAAGTAAGGTGGAGGAAATTCCCCCTCCCAAGTTTCAGTCTTTTAAAAAAGAAATCTAGAAAAGTATGCAGAAGAGTTGCAAGACAGAACGGCTTCGCAACAAGATCCAGTATGTGTAAACATCACTTTATTTCCCAAGGAGGGGGGGGAAGGCTACAACTGCCAGTTGCAAACACCGAACAAGATAAATCAATTAGCTTGCTAATTTCTCCCCCCTCTCATTTATTTAGCTCTGCACTGTATTTGTCATAATTGACTATAATTATGTTAATTACTAACTCCAGTATAATTACTGTATTTGTCATTTAGCACACTGTGTACCCAAAGCAAATCTGGCAATTGTCGGGCATCAAAAAGAATGCACCATCCTCCAGGAGGGGTTCACTCTGAAAACTGGCTGGTATACATTCAGCAAATGAAAGGGCAAAGGAGAATTTCATGCAATGCTAGTCTAAAGCGCTGGTTCATTAAGGATATTAATTTTCTGATAACTACACATTTAAGCATGACACATCAGAGAGTACCTACAGGATTTAGCAATTATTAATGCGTGACAGTTTCAAATGCTAAGTGAATCAATTAAACAGCAGCATTCACAATTTGAGAAGAGATAACTGCTTCATAACTGCCTAAGACTACAATTTTCACATGACAAAAAAGGGCCATTCAGGCTCCTTCAAAGCCTGACAGGTCAAAAAAGAAGTTTGAAACAAAAGCACCTTATAACCATCATCTCTCCTCTTTACTTGTCAGATCAAGTTTGCAAGTGTCTCTGCTGAAATGGCATCGCCATGCCAGCTGACACAAGGTGATTTTTCATGTCTTGTCAAAGAAAATCTTTTATTCTATTTGCTCCGCATTAACATGTTACGTTTATTGATCAAGCCCCTTCTGCAGCCGCAGCAGGGCACTGGGCTCTTATGCCTAAGGGGGGCTTTGATGTCCCGGTGACATTCCAGACCGAATAATGCACATACTAAATGGATTTCATGCAGAAATGTGTTTGTGCATGACAGCTACATTAATAACAGCCTCTCACACTGATAAATATGCAATTGCTACTATTAAGATTTACCCAATTACAGTGAAAATATTCCCAGTACCTAATAAATGTACCCATAAAGAAAAGTTTTAACAATAGTGCATTTTTCTCACATATTAAAGTGAATGAAGATTCGTCTTAAGGACTATAATGAGAATGTCGTGCTTTATCTTAAATCTTTCTTTTGTTGCTACAATAATAAGCCACGCAAAGAGATGTAACAGCGATGAAGTAAGTGGTGTCCCAGGCAATTCTTAAAAGCTTGAAGGTACCTGCAAAATGGAATCCAAATGCTGTCTGACACTTCAGCAGAAGTAACATTCACAAGTGCATCCTTGTGAAGAGAGTTTTGAGTTCTTCTGACCTCAACAATGGATTGACTGGCATCACCCTTGGAAAATCATCAACCCTTCTTCCAGCTGTCTTCTAAAATTATTGAGCACACCCTAGAGAAAATTAGGAGTCTCTCTGAACTGTTCAGATATGCAGATCCACCACTGACAGACTTGCATGCATGAATGAGCCATAAAAGATTAACCAGCAGCAGAGATAAGCCACCTCAGACAGAAGTTTCCCATCACCCTATTGTTTATTTAAACTCAGTATTTTCCAAAGCACGCTGTTCACACATTCACCTGAAAGTCACCAATTGTTCTTTTGGCATCCATCTGTCTCGGGAGACAATGGAAGAATGCACCTTTTGGTCAAACCATTGGAGAGTTACAGCACCTGCTATGGCTGTAGAGACCAATATGGGAGATACATGTTTTACTGCAGGTGGGCAGATGAAGGCATCCAAAAAGCATGTGGAAATCAACCCTAAATTCTACTGGTATTGGCAGCAGACAAATAGATTAGGGATTCTCTCTAGAGAATCTCAAGGTAACTAAGTGATATTGTGCCAAACACTCAAATATTTCATTTGAAGATTGGCCATAGCATTGCACCCTACCAACTGCATGACTGTTCACTCTTTGGCAGCTTAAAAGAGGTCTGGCAACCTCATAGCATCATAGTTTCACAGCTGCCTCTTGAAGTTGTATGTTTTAGCTTCCAATTCTCCTTTCTGTTCAAGCAATACTTCCATCTCTCAGTCAGCAATCAGGTCTCATTTACCGAGATCTATGGGACTTAAACTATGGGTAGAACCTAAAGATCTACCTTAAACAATCTCAGATTTTCACTATTTGGGTCTTTGAATTGCAAACTCCCTGAGTCACATCACAAGACATTTTTGTAAAAGCCTCCCGCTTCAAAAATTGTTTGCCACTTCAAAAAGTGTTTGCTCTTGAAACAGCAGCTGCTCTAAGGACACATCCCAAATTTCCTTTGAATCCAATATATTTCTTGAACACAAGACAAAAGCTGCTATGGGCACATAGAGCTACCAGCACATTTTTTTTTATCCTTGGCCTCTGTTCTCATGACCACTTAGTGTCCCCAACCTTCTCTGGGTTGCACCCCTTGTCTCTCAAATATATTTTTTTAATCAAAGCAGAGAATTTCATGCCTTTATCAGCTCAGTTCGTATGCCCCATATAGCTAGTGCAAGATACAAATGAATTTTAGGGTTTTTTTCTTGTTATGCTCATCAAAACATTCAACGTATTCAGCTGCCTTCTCTCCTCCTAATTTTTTAAGTAGGCAAATGTGTCAGAAGATTGTCAACCTAATTCATTTCAGCTACTCAACTGAAAGCAAGGTCTGTTTACTTCCCCTAGAATAATTAGATGGAGGAATCTGCATAGCTGCTGTCAGTAATTTTACCTTACATTTTTCTACTTAAAATTTTCCAGGAACCATGAGAAATCTCTCATTAAAACCAGATTCTCATAATATTTCATACTATTTTAAAAATTACATTTAAAGATTTATATTCACATAGGAATTACCATAAAAAGGAGAGAGAGAGAGATGACAAAAAGTCCTTAATTAATATAATCATTGCTACTCAGAAAAGAACCCAAATTGGAACAATGGGAAATGCAAGCTATTTTAATTTCCATCAGCAGTCAGGCGGATGGAAAGAAGAGTGGGTAGGATTAGGAAGGACCGTGAAGCCACTTGGTCAACAGAAGCTACACAAGCCTATCTCAAGAAATCCACAAGAAACAGTAAGTACAGGCAACAATGACTGCATTTGTCCTGGCCCATCCTAGCAGACACAGTACTCAGCTTACCACTTTCATTTTTGGCAAAGGCTTTAATGTATAGGTCAGTTCGATACACAAGCCAGCGTAAAAAGCATTCAGGTTAACAGCTGACACATCTCTCTTAAGTCCATGGCTAGGCAAAAGCTAAGACATTGTCCCAACATTTGATATGCCCCCCAAAGCTTTCCTTTGGAAAAATGGGGCAGACACAGTCATTTGTGCAGTTGGCGTCCCGAGCCACAGGACGGGGCAAGTAGATAGGCACTCCTCCAAGTAGGCTGTATTTGCGGAGTTTGTTTAGACTGGCACAGTCATCTTCTCACCCTTTTTGACAGGGAAGGAGGCAACAGGCTTGGTTCACTGATTTTTCTACAAGTACTTTGACGAAGATGAGAGACTCTTCACTGGTGAGAGGCAGCACAGGGCACAAGCCAGCTGTGATTATGCTTGGTGTGTTCGGTGACACTGGGGCAGACCTCTCCTCTGACAATCTGCTTGGCCCCTCCCTTGGATCCAAACTAAGATCTCGTAGCATACTGGGCCCCTTCCCAAGATCCTGTTCCTCTAGTTCCCCATTTTCTCCCTATTTGTCATCCCCCTCTGACCAATCCCACCAAAACAATTTCACAAGGCTCATGACAGCATGTATAGCTGAATGGAAATCAGTGAACCTTGGGCTAACATCCTCTCTTCATGTACAGCAATTTATCATAAGTGGTGAACCACAATAAAACCTGTGCTTGATCCTAGTTTGAAGGCAACCTGTGTGTGAGGAAACCATTGTGTGCCAGATTCATATAGAATGTCAAAGTACAGTTTGCCAAGAAACTGGAAGCCAGTTAGAAACAAAATAAATAATTCTAGTTGGTTGTGGAAATGAATAAGTTATATCTCTTTACTTGTTTCTCTTGAACCTGCAGAGCTGCCAGATGAAATGGACAAGGACAATATGATATGGGGTGGCTCTAAGGCACAAAAAGGCACAAAACTGACAAACAGTGTGACAAAGGGATAAGGGAGTTAAAATCTGTAAAGCCCTATTGGTAGACTGGGAGGGCTGTTCTTATGCCTTGAAAACCAATCAAATACAGTGGCTGAAAAATGGTGTCTGAGGACTTGGAATTGAAACTGAAGGACAAAAATTGGGGGGAGGGAGATTTGGCCTGAAGGGGATTCTAGAGAAAGATGAGATGGAGTGTAATGGTGTTTGGCAATCCAAACTTTTTCTATGGTTCATTCAAGCAAATCATGGCATCCATGAAGTTGGTATAGCGTGATATAAAAAAGACTCTCATTATGACCTTGGTACCAGTCCTTGTCTTAAACATTTCCAGGAAGGTATGAGTAAATACGCTGACCTCCCAGGAGTTAATGTACAGGATCAGCACACTAAACTTTTGTTGTACAGCAATAAAACTGCTAGCACATTTGCAAAAACTAGGCAGGGTCTGATGTGGTTACCAGGAAATGTTAATTTTCACCTCCTGTAAGAAAGATTAGGGTTCCACATAGACAAAATAATCTTCTTCCAAAGGTGAATTCATGATTCAATAAATATATAAACTGGGTGTCATTTCTCACTAGAGTCATGTCCTTTCACTTTCAAATTTAACAAGGTAAACAGAATAGTAAACAGATACCAATTTGTAAGAAATAATAATACAAAGGAATAAAGGTGTTGACACTTACTCATCCCAAAGACCTCTCTCTCTTCTCCACAAGGTAACACAGATCCAAAATAATTAAACCCCAGATTAGCTCAAACTCCAACAGGACCTTCCTTTTCACTCTTGTTGGACATGGAACAGATGAGAGGCCAAGACATTTCTGTTGCCTGGCTAATACAGGATTTTAATGGTAGATCCCTGACTTAGAACAGACTGTTTACCTCAGGACAGAAAAACCATCCCCCTCCCATTCTCACTTTACTTTTAGTGTGGCAAATTGTAACACCCACTCTTTAGGCTTTTGGTATGGTTAGGAATACTTTTTACTCTCAGAATCAAGGTGTGTATGCTATATGATTTGCTGCCTGCTTATATTGCAACATTGCTGTCTGAAAGCAGCATCCATTTACTCTGTCATTTTCATTTCAAGTAATAAACTAATCTTTATTTATTTATCTGGTGCATGAACTTCTTGTGAGCATAAGGTCAATTGTAGGAACACACAACCATAACAGTCACATGTTTAACTCCAATAAAAATCCTAAACCTCTTGGGAGTTTGTATGAGTGCTGGACATGTATGTGGATTTAGACACACATCTTGTAAGGGATAGATGTACCTCAGTTTCTTGTGGAATAGCATGGATCTGAGTTCACTCCTCTTTCTGACATACACAGAATGTGTGCATAGAGTATCTGGCATCAACTCTCACTCATCTGACACACCCAGAGACAGAGCAGTGCATTTTTAACACCATTGGGTCAAAGAAGCAACATAACCCAGATCATTTTGACCATTTATAACAGCCCTGAAAGAGGAGGGAAATCCCTACTGCTACGGGTTCCCCTTCAAGTTGGTAATAAAGGTAAATTATTCAGTATGGGTGATGAACAAGCATAGAATTTATAGTAAACCTAAAATCTACATGTGCCAGAGGGCTCTGTGCAGACTAATTGATAACCCCAACAATCAACCCTGCAGCTCCAAGAAGGGGAGAAAGGGCAGGCTGCAACCAAACCCACATTTTGGATATAACAGAAATCTGTTCAAAGCATAAATCAGGATGACAGTGCTAAAGCAGATGCACGATGAGAAGGCATGATCTCAAACAATGGTTAAGCAAGTTGGGGATGTTACATCCAAACCAGCCCAGATTCTCTTAAAATAGCATTCTTTAAAAGGAAACATGAAATACATAGAAACAAGTTGAAGGCTTTACTTATAAGCTCTGAATTGGGACCAATATATACATTAAGTTAAAGGCTTTCTTATCCAAGGCGGGGAGAGAACATGGAGTGGGGAAATATATCTGAGGTTAAATACTGCCAGGATCAGGAACTAACACCATATTCATGCTTTCCTCCCTCCCTGTGTGTGCTCAGTTTAGCTGAACATTTTCTGGTTTGATTAAACCAGTTTGCTGTTACACATCAGCAAGAGATGTTTGAGCAAGAACTCCAAACAGGGATTGCAAGTAGAGTTCAAGCCACAGTTTGTAGAATTAAGAATGTGACATGCAAGTGTAGCCAGTCAGTTACATATAGAATTGATTATAGTGGGTTTTCTACTAGAACCAGGGACTAGAAATTCATCGCAAACACTAGGATCCAGGAGATATCATTCTGTAGGTCACCAAAATAATCCACTGAGCCCATTCAGGTGGACAGCATAGTAATGTATACTCTCCAACTTTAGCTCTACAATGCTGCCTTAAATTATGACTATTTCTGATGACCACTCATTTAATATCCATTCCATGAAAAAAAAACTGATTGCACCATTATCTTGCTCCTAAACACACATTTTACTCAGAAGTAAATAACTGTTTTTATGTCCAAGTATTTGTGCATTGGATTGTAGCCCTAGCCTTCAAGTAAGAGATAGCGCTTTGTATCCTGGCATATGTGCAGAGAAAGGCATACAAAAATGTATCTCTTAGCAAACATAATTCTGCCGTGCAAAAGGCATATAGAATATATGGCTTTAACTTAAGCGCCTGTTGTTAAAAGGCTATATTTGGTTGTAATCCAATACATTCCTATTGCTACAGCAACCAATTAGATAGGTAAATTGGCACGCTTGTTCAAGAAATACATTTCGTATCTGAAAATAGGAAAGTTGAGTTTAAAAATTATTCTAAAGCAATCCCACTCTGGAAGAGACTCAGCAAAGTCTCAGACAGTTCAGAGAACTTAGCAATTCCTGATCTGTTCTGAGAACACATTTTCATTCATCTCTTCTTTCAGCAGAAGCAGATGAAAAATAGTGCAAATTTCTTGTACAATGTAAGCTGCATCCATTACATTGCAAAATGATACTTGCAACTGATAATCTCCTCTTCATTCTTCTTCCAAAGAAATATCCAAAGAAAGTGTTAACCATAAACTCTTTTCTGCATACAGACTAGCTCTATATTAATGCACTATTCGTATAATTGGGTAAACAATACATCAGTACAGAAATTGATGACATGTAGTAAAACAAATACTTTCTTTAAAAAATGCAAAAGGCTTCATTTGTGTTGCTCCATGGTCAAACCCAAAGCATGACCTACCTTAACAAGTTGAAGCTAAGATCCAGTCTTTTTGCAATGCGTCCATAGTTTCTTCCTAGGAATGCTGGGATTTCTTTGCAATCTTGACCGATATAAGATACCTATAAGAATTAAGGGCAAAAGAGTTTAGCAGCTGGGTGATTTGCGATCTTCAGACATCTATTGCCTTGAAAATCTAGATATGCAGGAAACAAAATGAAAGTATTCACCCAATTGTCAGGACAATAAACTGCTAGCACTGTTGAGATTAGTCTAGCTCCACCTGTCACATTATGAATCTGTTTTAACAACTTCCATGGTCAGCTCAAGTTGGATATTTTGCAGTTTCAAGAACAACTTATTTACTAAATTGTAATTAACTTTTCCAGAGTTAACAGCAGAGTATCTAAGAGATAGCATTTTTTAGTATCCTGCTTCGTAACATCATTAGTGTAGTGCCTCAGTTTTATTGTCTAGTTTATTTTGTTCAGATGCCAAGCACCCTAAAATTTGGGAGTAAAGGGAGGGGGTGAAGAGGAGACAGGCAACATTTCTTAGGGCCAATACACATTAAAGTATCTGCAAAACAGTAACAATTTATTTCTATAGTTCGTTTTCATGTGGTCATAGTACTTCACTTAAATTACCTCAGGATATTACAGATGGAAGAGATTGAAACGGACAGATAACAGCCTGCCTAAAGCCACCTTAGTGTGTTCACGGTTGAGAAGATTTGAATCGAGGGCTTCCTGGGTCTCTTAACCACTATGGGCTGGATTGGATATTACAGAGCCAGATCTTTCCCCTACACCTGGTGGAAAGCAGGAGTGTTCCTACCTTGCCTCCAACACCAATGGTTATCCAAGCAATGGAAAAATGTTTCAATGGGGCCTGCATGCAGAAAATCCAGTGAGTGTAAGCTCAGAAGACACTACACAATTTTATATGAGAATCAACTGTGTAAAGTGAATTTGTATGCTTCGAATTTTGCACATGTAGACCATAAGTGAATATTTTATTAAAACATGGATAAACAATGGTATCTGAGGTATATGCATGAGCAGCAAGATAAGGTGCTCTCTCACCCCTTGCCATTACACATAGGAGAGTGATCGGTCTGTATCATCCAATCCAGCCCAAGTTATGTTTGTCTACCAGCTGTTATCTTTGTGTCTGCAAACCTACTGTACAAATGTAAAATGTAGAAACAGTAAAGCAAGGCTCTCACCTGGAAACAAAAATGTGTACTCATTCCACACCCAACCTACCAGTAACAACTCTGCATTAGTACACTGTCATATCTGCAGCTGGACCACGACAATGGGTTGTAGCCAAATAAATTCTACTCAAAGTAGATTCACTGAAATTAATGTACCTAAGCAAGCCATGTCCATCAATTTCAATGTGTTTACTCTGAGTCTGTCTATCACTGGATACAACCTAATGGGTTCTCAAACAGAGGGGAGAAATCAGGCAGCAATCTTCAGGACAGCTCATACCATAATACCCTATCAGTTAAACATGAACCTAACTGGACGAGACATCTGGAGTGTGGCAAAACAAGAATGGGCCTTTTCTGCAGTGGCTCCCTACTTGGGGAATGCTCTCCCTAGGGGGCTCACCTGGCACTTTGTTGCACATCTTTAGGCACCAGGCAAAACCACTCCTCTGTGGTGTGGTGTAGTGGTTAAGAGCGGTAGTCTTGTAATCTGGGGAACCGGGTTTGAGTATCCGCTCCTCCACATGCAGCTGCTGGGTGACCTTGGGCCAGTCACACTTCTTTGAAGTCTCTCAGCCCCACTCACCTCACAGAGTGTTTGTTGCGGGGGAGGAAGGGAAAGGAGAATGTTAGCCGCTTTGAGACTCCTTAAAGGGAGTGAAAGGCGGGATATCAAATCCAAACTCTTCTTCTTCTTCTTCTCTTCTTCCAGGCCTTTGGCTGGTTAAACAATATATGGCCTTTTAAACAGTGGGAGGTATTGCTTTTGTTTCTTACTGTGTTGTATATTTTTGTGCTTTTATATTGCAAACCGCCCTGTGATCCTCAGGTGAAGGGTGGTCTAGAAATTTAATAAATAGTAATAATAGTAATAAATACGAATCACAACTATGTAAGACAGTTGAAAAGAAACTACTATAGTGTTTCGTACCTCCCAGTGTGGAAGGAAGTTCCAGAAGCCATCTTTTAAAGATTTTGTTTCTTGTAAGCAAAGAGTAGTAAGTGGAGCATTTTTCTGTTCATCTACTTTTGTTTTCATCTACATTGTTTTTAAATATACAAAGTGAGTATGGGAAAGCAGGCAGGCACGCTGTAAATGTTTCAAATAAGTATCTGTTCTCCGAAACCAACCTTCGTGTATTTACAGCCTCCCACCCTGCTCCTTTCGCAAATCATCAGGTGCAAAATTCAGGCTTCTGTCACTTTCAACGGCTACATTCCAACTACCAAATTGCTTCTCTTTAACTTCAACCCTAAGCAGGTGTTACATTTCCAGCAGCCCCCCGCCACCAATGCACATTAAAACAAGCTCCTCCTAGCAATCAATGCCTATTAAAGCAAGATTCTTAGTTAACAACATCCAAAAAAAATTTTTTTTAATTCAATCTTTATTGGTTTAAAAATCAACATAGACACACAAAGAAAACTTAGGAAAAGGAATAGGAAAAAAAAGAAAACAGAACAAAAAAGTACATCTCTTACTAATAAAAAATAAAATAGAACAGTACATTGTGAATATACATCAACATCAAAATTTAAAGGAATGCTGATTTCCCATAGATTTCGCACAGATGTTTACAACAAGATGCCAGACTCTTAATAAAGATAATACATTATTGCCATACATAATAACTTACAAGATTAAAGGAAGTCCAATCTTAAGCTCTCACATACAGCAGTTATTAAACAATGAATAGTGTTGCACAAGACACACTGAAATTTTATCTTGCCACACATAAAACAGTTGAAGTTTTAGCGCTTAATCAGAAGCTCCAATGAATCCATATGAGCTCATCCCTCTATAGCAAACCACTTACATAAAGTTTCAGAAAAAGCTGACCGAGTGCTTTTTGAAAATTGATGTATTTGCAAGTTTAATTTGCGATAACTCCCTATTTAGTCCAGAAGAATTTAAGCAGCAAAGCAATGTCTATGCTTGATTCAGAGTGCACTCTTTAAAGAACTTGGTCTTAGGGAGTTCCCATTTGTCTTTTAAGTTTCCATTTCTTCAAATTCCAGATAAGAACAAGAAAATAAGAGTCAGGCAAGTTGTGTTTGGATGATATTTCATGTTCTTCAAAATACAACCTACTCTACATGACAACTTGCCACCGCATCCCCTAACTTTACAAATCACCCTTGTGGTTCAGCTGGTCTTAAAATGATTGCAGTCTGATAATGTAGCACTTCATCCCCTTTAATTCATCCTTGCTCAGTAACTTCATCTGAGAAAGAGATAGTCAACTACAGAGAAAATAGTTTTACTGTGAATACATGAGCTGAAAAAATAAAAAGCTCAGAGTTCATTCTTGCAATTTCCTCTCCCTTCTCAAGGCATCTGTCATCCCTTCCTTTGCAATAAATTCTACTTCAGGACAAAGGCTCGCTTTTAACAGTCTCCAGAAAGCAAAAGGAAGAGAGATTTCAATCTAATTATTTGGAATCCCACTCCAGAATCAGTAAACATTTTCCAATTGTCTGCTGCCATTCACCCTAAAGGATCCCAAAGCTATTTACAAGACACATGTGCATGCAGAAGCATTTAGATTAATACACACAAAAATGTAACCACTTCGGGGCTGGAAAAGACAGCAGCATATTTTTATCATCAGGAGAAAATGCTGCACATAAACTCCCTCTTTTCCAGTGTCAGTTTTCAGATTTCCAGTTGCTTGACATAGAACAATCTCAAAGAGCCAGATGTTAACTCCCCTATGCTTGTGTCAAAGAGGACCTCCCAATTAAGTTATGGTTGAGTAAGGGGTTTGTTTGTTTTCCACATTGTATTTCCTGGGCAAGAACTTACATAGAAAGGGTACAACTGAATGAAATAACATGCTTTTCATAACCAATCCCAAAGCTGAACCTTGAATATCTTATTGTTAACGGATATGCTAGTATGTCTGTGCACACATATGCATATCTTATACACATAATCACTGAAAGCAATAATCTGGGAAATTAGCAATACTGTACAGTGGTACCTCTGGTTGCGTACTTTATTCGTTCCGGAGGTCCGTTCTTAACCTGAAACTGTTCTTAACCTGAAGCACCACTTTCACTAATGGGGCCTCCTGCTGCTGCTGCACCATCGCCACGCAATTTCTGTTCTCATCCTGAAGCAAAGTTCTTAACCCGAGGTACTATTTCTGGATTAGCGGAGTCTGTAACCTGAAGCGTATGTAACCCAAAGTACCACTGTATACTGCTTTGAATCTTTACTGGAGACAACTGTGTGCACATAGATAGGATTGCATTGGCTATGACATGACAGCCATTACATAACAGGAGTTACAGGTGGAGAAGCTTCCTGGGACAGTCTGAGCTGTACCACTTAAGCGTTATCTCAGAGATTAGTCGAATCAAAAGAGCATCTCTATTTTTGATGTTTTTATGGATACTTTTTGCTAATTTTATTCTTATATTTTCATTAAAACTTACATATTTTTATTAAAGTGTTCATAAATACGTAAAAATAAAATAAAAATACATTCCGTTTTTAGCAAGGTGCTCTCACCTTCTCTGGGGAAAAAAGAGTCCAGCTTTGCCCTCTCAGGAAATGCAAAAAGGTGCTTGATTTAATTAAGGCAATATATGATTGCCAGCTGGGAATCATTAACTCAGAAGGATAAATTAATGATGGAATTATAGGCACTGCTTACATTAGATATGGCACTGGACCAAAGTTAACTGGGGTAGGATGCACAGGAGGGGGGGAAATCAGTTCACTTTTAAATAAAAAGGACACCATTACACCTCATTACTCAACAGATGGTGACACCTCTGTTAAACAGCATCCAGTCCTATATTTAGTGGTCATTGGCAACACACCCTTATACATGTTTACTCAGAGGTAACATCACACTGAGTTCATGGGACTTACTCCTTGGTAAGTGGGATTGCAACCTTAATCATCTTCCTTAGAAGTTCGGGCAGGGAGAATGATTCTACTTGCCATCATACATACACAAGACTCTTTGGTTGATACAAGCAGATGAAATGGCTGTTTGGAACAGAGCAGTGCTAGGTAAACTCATTATTTTCTAACAACAACTACTGCTCTTCTTGGCCAGGAAGACATTTCATGATTGAGCTGCCACCATGCAAATGAAGTCCAACAGAAAGTAGTCCCAAGACCTTATGGGGCCAATTCAGTTAGTAGGATTGTACTACTGACAAAATATAGTATTAAAAGGTGAGATTAGGCGCTCATTTTACATTTGTTATAATCAAGAAACTAGTTATGAAGCATAAAGTTAAAGAGTCATAATAAAAAAACTGTGATAATTCATTGTTTGAACACTCTAGAGTACCATAAAAGTGCTATTACAATTTCCCACCACTAAATACATATCCATTTCAGAGTACTTTGTACTTCAAAAGGGATGCATAAAGCCTCCAAGGAACAAACTTGCACTCCTTGCCACATCCAACCACAACTACCACAATTATATATTCAAAAGCACTGGAGTAAACAAACTTTCTGCAAAACCAGCTGTTTCAAAAATACACGGGGTCACCTAATATATAAACCAGGGGAAAATGCAAAAAAGTACAGCCAGCCCCCCAAACCCAATTCAAAGTCAAAAGAAATGTTTATTTCTAGTGTGGATTCAGGCCCTGTAAAAGCACAACCGAGACTGCAATCCTATAAATGTTGGCCTGGAAGTTGAATTTTCTAGGACTTCTGAGCAGACCTGCAGAGGATTGCACAGGGAAGCTCCCGATTCAAGCAACTATTCTATTGTCTGCTCCAGTGAGCTCAAGTTAGTAAATCCAGATAAAGACAATAGCTAGTTAATAGCGGCTGCCACATCATTCTGTTTGCACAACTGAAATTGGCCTGGTGAGGTCCTATTTGAAGAGTGAAGGCTCCACATGGCATAAAAAACACAAATTTATTTCTTTGACCAAACTGTTTTGTTGGACTAACTCCAGTCCAATGAGAGTTTATAAACAGATGTTTTAATCTCAATGGCCCACCAAGGATGTCAGAACTTACACACTAATGATGATATTTCTGGTACTGGGGATTTGTTTATTTTTTATGTCCATGATCTTTAAGCATTTGGTTCATCCTTGGTTGACAGGATGCTACTCTTATGTTTACACTTATAAGCGCCATCTCCAACTCCTCAAAAGATTCCATCAACGGTGTCTCCGAAAAACAATACACATCACTTGGGAAGACAAGCAAACTAATGCCAGTGTATTGGAAGAAGCAAAGATCACCAGTGTCAAAGCAATGATTACTCAACGTCAACTTCGTTGGACTGGTCATGTTGTTCGGATGCCTGATTATTGCCTGCCAAAGCAACTACTCTATTCTGAACTTAAAAATGGAAAGTGTAATGCTGGTGGTCAACAAAAGAGGTTTAAAGACTCTCTCAAGGCAAATCTAAAAACATGTAGTATAAACATTGACAACTGGGAAACACTGGCCTGCGAGCGCTCCAGTTGGAGAACAGCCTTTACCGAAGGTGTCATGCACTTTGAAGATGCTCGAATTCAGGATAAAAGGGAGAAATGTGTTAAGAGGAAGGCATGTTTGGCAAACCCTCATCACAATCAACTCCCACCCAGAAACCTATGTCCCCACTGTGGAAGGACGTCTAGAGGAATTGGCCTCCACAGTCACTTATAGACTCACTGTTAAGACCATGTTCATGGAAGACAATCTTACTCAGCTATGAGTGATCACTAAAGAAGATGATAACGACGACTCAGGGGACAAAGTAAAGGACAATGGTTGCGAGGAAGGTACAGATCTTAAAGCAATGACAAAGTTAGCTGGGCACTGCCATGCCTAAAGACAGCACCGCCACATAACAAAAGCCACCATTTCATATAGCTCTTAAAATAATCTGTTTGAAAATCTGGTGTTATTGGGTGAAGCAATTCTGAATATACTTAAGAATATACTTAAGAACTCCAGTTCATAACATGCATGCTACAAATCAGTGAAATTGCCCCATGAGTCCAAGTAGGGCTTCCATATATGTAGCAACACAAAGGGGAAATGCTAGCATCATATAGAAGTACAGCAACAGAAGTAGTGTGTACAAATGGGACCCTGTACTCTAGCATTAGGGAAAATTCACTGCACACACAAGTACTTACATTCCACTGATACTCGTGGAATGTAGATATGTTTGCATTCCCACCCTGATCATGTTTACTTACATGTCCTAGAAGGACTCACTAGTTTTAGTAGAATTTGTCCTCCATGAGAAAGCACTTAGGTTTGTGATCTAAGTACTTTTATAAAGCCAAAAATCAGACCAAGAAAGAAAGCACAAGAAGAAAGATTAGCAGAGACTTATAACAGCCTGAAACTCTGGGGTGAAGTTTATCTGACAATTCCTTTAAATTAACCCAGTTTAGTTCCAGCAGCTTCTCCACACAACTGCTGTTCCTCTCTTCAGAAGTTGCCTTGACTTACATAGCACAGCTGTGTGGCAGGTTTACTCACAGATTTATTCTTACAATATCCATATGGTTTTGCTTTCAACCATGTGGATATTAGAATATGGGAAAGCTGCCACACAAAGAAGTCTCAGAAATTGCATGGAATGATTGGAGAGCACGTCCAGCCAACCAATTTACAAGGTTCAGTGGGCACCAAGTAGACTGAGACAATCTGTCCCCACCAAACAGGCACTTTGTGCAGGGATAGGCTGAAGATCAGCATGTATTCTAACCTTGTAAGATGCACAAAGGGTTAATGGGTTCTTAAAAATACCAAGTTCCCCTGCAGTCAGAAAGTGTGTCCAACTTCACTATGGCCAAAGTGTGAGGTAGGGGAAGTACGCTAGAAGTTTATTGTCAGTAGGAATTTGGACTCAAAAGAAAATAGGCAGGACCTTAGTGGTGTGCAATTATATGATAGAGGAGCAGACTTTTAAAGCCCTGGAGTGTTTAGTTATGCAGATGAGTAAGCTGCAGCTTTATCAGTATCAGTATCATTATCACAAATCTACAAGTAGGACTATTGACATCTGTTAAGAAAATAGCACCCAAGGCTGCTTCAGAGCAAAACAGTTCAAGGATTTAGAAGTTTGCTCCTTGCCTATATATAAATAATGAAGTCAGAATCTGAAGACGGCAGTCACCCAATGTAGTAAAGAAGCCTTCGCCCACCAGGTACCCTCTCAACTGCTGGACTCCAAATCCCATTAGCTCCAGCCAACATGGCCAATGGGCCAGATTTATAGGAGTTGTAGTTCAATAACAGCTGGAGGACGCCAGGGAAAGCTGCAGTAGATTAACCCCACACTTTAAGTTTGCCCACAATGATGTACATCTCACATAAGTATGGTTTGACCGGAATTTGGGGAGTTTTCACCAAAGTCTAAGAAAAACTCTGCACCATTTCACCAGCTACATTATGCAACTGTGATATGGAGAGTGGCTTACATAATTTGTGCTGGGGTAAGCCCAGCATTCTGTTCTTACAGTGGCCAACCAGATGTCTGTGGGAAATCCACAAGCAGGACCCAAGCACAACAGCTGTCTCCCTTCCTGCAGCAGAGCAGCACTCTCCTCCTCCATCAACTGCTATTTGGAAGCATGACTTCCTCCAACTAGGCAGAGCATAGTCCTCATGGCTAGTAGCCATAGATAGCCCTCTCCTCCATGGATTTGTCTAATCCTCTTTTAAAGCCATCACTGCCACCAGTGAGACAGAGTTTCATAGTGTAACTATGAGCTTCATGAAGAAGTAATAGAGGGTGCTACTCCCAGCACTAAAATGTATTTTGATTCCCACTGAAAAGTCATATCAAAACAACAGCGCAAAACAACCTTGACATCTCTCTGAACATGAAGCTTGTGGGACCACAAGTCCTTCTGGTTTTCTGGAAAGAAGCAGTGCACCCTTTTAGGCAGGCAGGCAGGAATTCATGTTATGTGCACTTAACATCTTCAGGTGATGTCTGGGACCCATGCACATAAATATTGCTTATGTCTGTTACCTCCAAGGAAAGGGAGAAGAGACTTCACTCAAAGTTGCAATCTATCACCTTCTAAGACTATGGGGGAGGGGCTCTTTGTTTATTTAATAAGTTCATAGAGAATACATGAGGCTACAAACATAAGAGATTCTCCCATATGCCCATGGCCTTGTACAGTACTCAGGAAACTTACAGAGGCTCAGGCACACTAAAGAGGTCTGAGGCTCCAGAACCCCATGGCCATGTAGAGCTTCTAAGCTGTATTAAGACAGTTTAATACATGCATTAGAAAGGGAGAATTTTGGCAGGTAAAGCTTCTTAAAACTGCAGTACCTTGATGGGAGAAGTTGCATCTAAATCCCTTTAATGCATTAGGCACAGGAGCCCTGCTTCACACTCAGTCTGACAAACGGCCTCATGGGAGAGTATACCAAGCCTGTACTCCAGAGCTTTCCAAACTTTTCATGTTGGTGACACACTTTTTAGACATGCATCATTTCATGACACAGTAATTCAGTTTTACTAGCAAACCAGAGGTTAAACTAACCCCTTTCCAGCCCTGGGAGGAGCTTTTGCATGACACACCTAAACAGCTGACACACTAACGCAGTGGTCAGCAAGGTTTATCTTGTGTGGGCTGGATCGGTCCCGTGGAGATACCTCTGTGGGCTGGATTGCGGGTGTCCATGAGTGCGCACACATGATTTTCAGCGTCTGCGCAGACACGATTTTCAGTGTCTGTGCATGCGCAGACACGATTTTCGGCGCAGTGAAAGCAAGTCCCCGCACTGTGCTTCGCCGGTTTAGCGCAGCGCACGAGTGGGCATCTCAGTTCAGGGGTGACTCGTGAGCCAGTCAAACAACCTCCGCGTGCCACCTCCGGCCCACGGACCTTAAGTTGCTGACCCCTGCACTAACATGTCCCAACACACAGTTTGGAAAGCTCTGCCGTAATCCTGTGCACACTTACTTGCAGTATAAGAAACTCAGATATATAAGCTAATTGCCAAATGGCACCTTAAACGGAGATTACAGTCACCACAACAGAATGTCTAAGCACCTTTTTTTGCAATGAAATTTATTATTGTTTAGGGTTGCCATATTTTGAAGAACATAAAAAGAGGACACTGTGATGACTCTCGTTTTAAATACCACTACTATATGTAGGCTATAGAAGCTGTGATCTACTGCTGAGGGGGGCAGGAGAAGAGAAGAGGAAAGCAAGTCTTCACCCACCAGTCATGCCTACGTCTCATCCAGAAAGTATAGCCAGAGACATTTTGGCAAATTTTAAAAATCCACCCAGAAAGAAATTTTACCCCTGAAAAGGAGGGCATGTCCTGGAAAAAGAGGACATACGCCAACCCTATCATTGTTATCATTCCTTTCATTTCTTTACCACTTTATATTTTAAAGAAAAAAGTGGTTTACAACACATTAAAACATCAAATAAAACAATCCAGAATAAAAACAATCCAGAATAAAAACCAATTCAATTCATATTCAAGCCCATATTTATTTATTTATTTGCCTACTTAATTTACTGTAGATAACTGTCCCATAGCAGAAGTACTCTAAGAGGTCAGTGTGGTGTAGTGGTTAGTGTATTGGACTAGGACAGGGGTAGGCAACGTAAGGCCCGGGGGCCGGATGCGGCCCAATCGCCTTCTCAAAATGCGGACAGTCTGGGAATCAGGGTGTTTTTACATGAGTAGAATGTGTCCTATTATATAAAATGCATCTCTGGGTTATTTGTGGGGCATAGGAATTCATTCATTATTATTTTTTCCAAAATATAGTCTGGCCCCCCACAAGGTCTGAGGGACAGTGGACCGGCCCATGGCTGAAAAAGGTTGCTGACCCCTGGACTAGGACCTAGGAGATCAGGGTTCTAATCCCCACTCACTCATGAAGCTCATTGGGTGACCTTGGGCCAGTCACAGCCTCTTAACCTACTTTACAAGGTCACTGTAGGGATTAACTGAGGAGGGGTGTGAACCATGTACTTCTTGGAGAAAAAGGCAGGATATAAGTGCAATAAATAAGCTCTTCTGTGCTCACCATCTTAGGAAAGTTGGAGAGGCCAGCCAGATGGAGATGTCAGTCACCAGCCTGGCATCCAGAGATCTCCACATGGTGGCAATTGAACCCACCCCAATTGCAAAACAAAAATTGTGAATTTCAAGCACTGCTTTACTTCTGAATAAATTCACATGGGCTCTGGCTTTTAGACTGTAATCCAAAAATACACTTACCAGGATAAAAATCCCATGGAATGTGTTCGGACTTACTTCCAAATATGTATATAGTCAAACTATGGTAACCGATTCTTCATTTTTTAGGGACCACACCTTTTAAATGTTGTGGCAAGCAAGAGACAGCTCCAGATTTAGTGCTCTAAAATGAATCTTATCCATAATCATGAAAAAATGTTTAGCATGTATACAGTCATACCTCGGAGGTTGAACAGAATCCGTTCCGGAAGTCCTTTCAACTTCCAAAGCGCAGCTTCTGATTGGCTGCAGGAAGTTCCTACAGCCAATCGGAAGCCATGGAAGCCCTGTTGGATGTTCGGCTTCCGAAAGAATGTTCAAGGACCGGAACACTCACTTCCAGTTTTCAATAGTTCGGGAGCCGAAACTTTCAACTCCCAAGGTGTTTGGGAGCAGACGTACGACTGTATAGTGAAGACCATCAAGCCTATCAAGAAAGAAGGATCAGACAGGATTGCTCAACAGCACAACTTATTTAGGACAAGAAAATGGACTTTTCTACACAACAGATCATTATCAAAAGAGACAGTGGTGATCATTAGCATAGGGTGTTAGACAAACCTTGTGGAGAACATAGGTTTTTCAATAGCTATTAGCAAAAATAGAACATCCATGTTCAGAGGCAGTAAAGTTCTTTCGTCTGGTACAGCAGAGCTCTTTTATGGTTGTAATTCATTAGTTGCTATCTCAGTGAAAAGTCTACTGTCTACCCTCAGACGTTTTTGTAATCCGTGCAAAATGTTTTTCAAAAAAAGAAAGAAAATTGATACAAAGTTTGTAGGTATCTTTGCGTACTGTTTACGTATGTTTCTATCTTGCAGAAACAAAGAACAAACACACACACACACACACCTGAAAATGGTTACTTCTATGCTGAAAATGGAAGTTGAGGCATGGGCAGTAAATCCCCTATTTCAAAATAAAAAGAACACACAAACACCATATTTAATTTCATGACAGCTATGTGCAATTTTATTATTTTCTGTTTTGCAAGCAAAACTTCAGTGTAACTATGTCAGCACCCACAACTGATCTGAAACATGTGTCGAACCCTCCCCACAGACACATGGCTTTAAAGTGCAGCATGTTGGAATGAGGACGTTGGTAGCAGCTGCAGCATAATGGCAGGAATACTAATTAGTATTAACACCTGGGCAAAAGTGCGTTTTACAAAACGTGTTAAGAAAGCAAGCCATTCTCAATGGGCTTGCTGGAAGCCCCCTTGGTCCAAATCTTACAACTGTTGTGAACTCAGTAAGTGGCCCTTAGGCAAGCCACTCTTCCTCAGCCTTTTCCCACCTGCAACAGTCAAGATAAAATAGCTGGCCTGTATTACAGGGTTGTTGCATACCAAGCAATGTGTACAAAACTCTACATGTGCTCCTTATCCATATAAGACATGCACAGCCCCTTTAGCAGCAATGGGGGGAGGACCTTAAAAGCATGCTTGGTTTTGATCAGTTTATCTGTGGGTCAGAGAAACTTAAACCCTCTGCTAGTAAGCAGAATATATACTCTGCATCCACAGTGAAGTTTAAAGCAACAGTTAGAGGACATTACCCCTACAGTAAGAGCTTGAGGGCACAGCCCTGTTCCAAAGAGGTGATGTCTGGGAACCCATGCACACAAATATTGCTTATGTCTGTTACCTCCAAGGAAAGGGAGAAGAGACTCCACGCAAAGTTGCAATCTATCACCTTCTAAGACTATTGGGGGGCTGTTTGTTTTTTTAATAAGTTCATAGAGAATACATGAGGCTACAGACATAAGAGATTCTCCCATATGCCCATGGCCTTGTACGGTACTCAGGAAACGTACAGATGTTCAGGCACACTAAAGAGGTCTGAGGCTCCAGAACCCCATGGCCATGTAGAGCTTCTAAGCTGTATTAAGACAGTTTAATACATGCATTGGAAAGGGAGAGTTTTGGTAGGTAAGGCTTCTTATAACTGCAGTACCTTGATGGGAGAAGTTGTATCTAAATCCCTTGAATGCATTAGGCACAGGAGCCCTGCTTCACACTCAGTCTGACAAATAGCCTCAAAGGAGAGTGTACCAAGCCTGTACTCCAGAGCTTTCCAAACTTTCCATGTTGGTGACACACTTTTTAGACATGCATCATTTCGCAATGCAGTAATTCAGTTTTGCATCATTTCATGACACAGTAATTCAGTTTTACTAGCAAACCGGAGGTTAAACTAACCCCTTTCCAGCCCTGGGAGGAGCATGGGGAGCGTTTGTACAACACACCTACACACTGCAGCTGACACACTAACGTGTCCCGACACACAGTTTGGAAAGCTATGCCATAATCCTGTGCACACTTACTTGCAGTGTAAGAAACTCACATAGATAAGCTACTTGCCAAATGGCACCTTAAATGGAGATTATGGTCACCACAACAGAATGTCTGGGCACCTTTTCTAGCAATGAAATTTTTTATTATTATCATTTAGGTTTGCCATATTTTGAAGAGCAAAAAAGGGGACACTGTGATAACTCTCATTTTAAATACCACTACTATATGTAGGCTATAGAAGCTGTGATATATTGCTGAGGGGGGCAGGAGAAGAGAAGAGGAAAGCAAGTCTTCACCCACCAGTCATGTCTATGTCTCATCCTGAAAGTTCAAAACAGCTGTAATGAGCAGGAACTGCTCCCCAATAGGATGTAATAATAATAATAATAATAATAGTCATTTGAGAGAGCTTTTCCATACCCAGCTTGAACCCATGACTTGGGACAAGGGGGCCTGACGCCATGAGGAAAAAAGGGAGGGGAAATTCTTCCCCTTCTTCATCCCCTCCTCGTGGCGTGGGCGGGGGGGAGAAGTCAGGCGTTTTGGGTAATAGGAAGCACGAGAGAGAAGTTTTAAAGGACTCCAAGCAGAGGCTGAGAAAGGAAGGGGGCGGGATAAGAAAGCGAAACTGAGAGACGCTTCAACGAAAGACGCGACCCCCCCAACCAACCGTTTCTGTCAAACAAATAGGGTTAGGTGGGTGAGTGGGGAGGCACTTACTTGAGTTCCATTTACCACGACCCCTGACATCTCTGCCCCAAAAATGTGCTGCCTCTCTCTCCCCACACGCCCCACTCAAGGGAGAGGCAAGCCTCCTGAGGGGACTTTTCGCTTCTCCTAAGGTGGCCGCCCCTGGTGAGCTGAGGGGAAGGAGCGCGACGGGCGGGGGAGGGGGGAGGAAAGAAAAAAAGGCGGGAAGAAGAGCTCCTCAGCTTTCCCCAGCTGCGCCTGCAATTAAATGCCCTCGGAGGAAGCCCAGCTGTCGTCAGCTGATCCCCAGGCGGAAGAGCCCGTGTTGACTGACGCCGCGCGCGACTCCGGGTTCGTCACGTGAGCGAGGCGAGGGGCTTTGTCGACCCAAAACCGTCGGGGGCGGAGGTGGGATGCAACTTCTCCTCCCAGCATGAGCTTACCTGGGAGCAAAGAAGCCCCTCCCAAATACTGCCTTTTTTTTCTTCCAAACTTGGGTCCCCAGATGTTGTTGATAATTTTTATAATATTTCATTAAGTTTTCATTTTGCACTATTTAAATACATCCTTCCTGCATTTTTCATGTTTTTTGGCTCATATAAGCTAATCGGCTTCCTTCCCTCCCTCCTTAAAGCTAAAGGACCCCTGACAGTTAAGTCCAGTCATGAACGACTCTGGGGTTGTTCTCGCTTTACTGGCCAAGGGAGCCGACGTTTGTCCGCAGAGTTTTTCCAGGTCATGTGGCCAGCATGACTAAGCCGCTTCTGGAAAACCAGAGCAGTGCACCAAAATGCTGTTTACCTTCCTGCTGGAGCTGTACCTATTTATCTACTTGCACTTTGACATGCTTTTGAACTGCTAGGTTGGCAGGAGCTGGAACAACGGGAGCTCACCCCATCGTGGGGATTCGAACCACCTACATTCTGATTGGCAAGCCTTAGGCTCAGTGGTTTAGACCACAGCACCACCCGCGTCCCTGCCACCTTATGGTTGCATTAATTATTGTGGTTGCTTCAGTCACACCTCTTCCTGATTACTTTTATATCATTCCAATTAACCAAATTTTATTCATTTTTCAGTTACAATCCAATAATTGTCTCACTATAACAATACCAAATTATAATGCAATTACTAATACCAATCATACAAATACCGAATTATAGAATTCAGGTCCACACACACCCCGCGTGCTATTTTTGATAGTTTGGTGATTTTCTTTATTTCTGCATTCCAAAATCTTACTAATTTCAATTACATTCTGGTCAAAATAATAATCCCTTATGCAACAACTGCAATATTAATAACTTCCATTCGTGCTTGACACATTAAATGATTTATAGAACTACAAGTGAGGCACTCAAACTATATCCTTGTTCTTCCTGTGTGTGGCAATTATTCTGTCCATGGTATTTCTTCCTGTCTATCTTTTCCTGGTTATTGTTGTTCTCCATCAGATGTTGTTGGGCTACAATGCCCATCATCCTGACCACTGGTCCTGGTAGCTAGGGATGATGGGAGAGCCAGTGTGGTGTAGTGGTTAAGGGCAGTAGACTCATAATCTGGTGAACCGGGTTTGCGTCTCCACTCCTCCACATGCAGCTGCTGGGTGACCTTGGGATAGTCACACTTCTTTGAAGTCTCTCAGCCTCACTCACCTCACAGAGTGTTTGTTGTGGGGGAGGAAGCAAAAGGAGATTCTTAGCCGCTTTGAGACTCCTTCGGGTAGTGATAAAGCGGGATATCAAATCCAAACTCTTCTTGTAGTCGAGCAACAGCCGGGGGACCCATGTTTGAGAAACATTTTGGAGTCTAGCCCAGTCCCCCCAAAAAACTTGGGTCTCCAGCTGTGGTTGAGCTGCAACTCCCATGATCTCTAGAGAGCAGGACTCAGTGGTCAGGGATGATGAGAGTTGTAGTCCAAACACAGCTGGAGTCCCAAGTTTGGGAAACAGTAGTCTAGCCCTTGCAGCTGCTTCCATTGACACATTGCTTGCTGTTAGGACACAGGAATAGGTTAAGCCTGAGAGACATGGTCTTGCATCAGGCAGTGACCTTCATAACTGAGTGGGGATTTGAACCCAGGTTCCACTGGCCCAAGTCTAACACACTTCCATACTGTCACATTATCCTCCTGAAACCAAAAGGGGTTGTAGCCAGAGTACCAGCTGGAGCTTGGAAAAGCACTGAAAAAAAGTTGGGGCTGGGAGAGATACTCCTGCCTGAACTCCTGGAGATCCACTGCCAGCCAGTGTAAACAGAACTGAGCTAGAGGGACCGATGGATCTGACTCAGAATAAGTCAGCTTACTACGCTCCTACGGTTACAGAGACAAAAGTAAGGACAGATTGTCTCCAGTCACAGAACAAGCACTACTATAAATGCACCTGCAAGGGAGGAATAGCCTGGATTCAGGCTGGAGTGGAAGATAGGAGTGCCTGGCGTGCTCTGGTCCATGGGGTCACGAAGAGTCGGACACGACTAAACGACTAAACAACAACAAAGCTGGGTTTAAATGCCTCTTAATAACTTGCCTCTAAACTACAACACCATCAACCTAATTTCCTTTTCATGATCCTCCATACATTCGCCTCTTCTTGTGTGTGTAGTCCAGGCATGGGGAACCTGTGGTCCTCCAGATGTTGGACTATAGCTCTCAAAATCCTTGGCCATTGGCGATGCTGATGGGAACTGGAATCCAAGAACCCCTGGAGGGCCACAGGTTCCCCATGCCTGGATTAGCCTATGGTATTGTAAGCTTGCGACCAGGTCTGTGCTTTTTATTTTAGTTGTGCTGTGCCTAGCTATTAACATCATTTTAATATTCAATTCAATGGTGCTTATGCAGAACTTTCTAGTGGCTTGTGTGCCACAGATCATCCTGTCAGCCAACCGGATAAGCAGATAGCTCAGTCGGTAGAGCATGAGACTCTTAAGGTCAGGACTGTAGGTTCAAGCCTCATGTTGGGCAAAAGATTCCTGCATTGCAGGGGGTTGGACTAGATGACCCTCGTGGTCCCTTCCAACTCTACACTTCTATGGTTCTATGGTTCAACCTTAATGGCACCCAACATTCACCAGCTGCAGTGCAGATTTAACCTTGCCTCATGGAATAGTTACTTCTGGTCTGACAGCATTTTGTTACTGTATGTTATTAATACCGAGTCACCTGATTGTGGTGTGATAAAATTGTTAATCCACCCCATGCACTTGTGTGCAGGACCAGCCTGTCCATTGGACAAAGTAGACATTTCACAAGGGGTTTAGGAAGGTGGGGGGTGAGAGAGAGGTGGAGGGAGAGTGGAAACTATTTGCATTTATCATGGATAGCATGCTGTCTAGCCACCCCAGCTAACACAGAGACATACATATAAGAAACTATGATATGGAGCGTTTACATGGATGCAGACCTCTGCCTAGGCCGCAGGCACACTCAGATCTGGTCCTGTGTTTAAGTTTATTCTTGAGTGCTAATGCTATGCCGATCCTTAGAGAGACAAGCAGATAAGGGGATATCTTAAACTGGATCAACTTCTATTGGTGATGTGACATAGTACATGTCATCACCTTATCTAATGTGTGTCCTGCAACATATTCTCAGTTTTGAATGGGTTTTACATTTCCTTCCTTATCTTGGGCAAAGCCCCAATACCTTAATATATAAGGTGGTTGCTGTTTCCTTTTCTACCATTCTTCATTGTTCTTACATAGCTGTCAGGCATAGTAGCACATTCCAATATAAAAATGTGTGATCTCTTGCCTCCCAGAACTGAGCACGTGCCTGGAAGCAAAAGATCCTTTGGAAGGCATTCTCTTAATAGTGTCCTATCTAGAGTTCTGAAAAAGTGTGACAGCCACAAAGGTAAGTATATATGTTCATATTACGAAAGTCGGCATGCATTCTGCAAGTATATACACATGCCCCTGGCTGCTGCAGGGAATTGCTTGTCCATTTCCCTCACAAAAAAGGCTGGAACTTGGGGAAAGAGCTGTTGCTCCAGCAATGAAGTAGCTCAGACTGGGGACTTGCAATGAAGCTGAAGGATCTGCTCCTTCCTAGCACTTGGACAGACCCTGATCCATGAGCTACCACCTCATCCTGAGCCTCAGATGCAGCTAGCCAGGCACCTGGGTGGCAGCGCTGAAGCTCCCATCTGGATCACCATCTCCTCTGCTCCTATGACCCTGAAGAAGATGGGAAGGGGCGGTCAGAGATCCAGCCAGGGGAAGCCATGCAGCAGGTGTGGTGACCTCTAGTCTTTGGCTAGGATATCCAGAGCCAACAGCGCTTCAGAATCATTGGCATTGTGGAGATCTGCTGGACGCTCCTCCTCCTCCAAGGTCTGAGTAGGCTTGAACCTTGAAGAACTGCTCCCAAAGGCCAACCACCATCTATCTTCAATTTGGCTTGCACTGTGCTTGAGTGCTTTTGCATTCTGCCAGGAGGTAAAGCAATCTAGTTGTCCAATATTTATTTATTTTCTGCATTTATTAGATGCCCAATAGCTCTTTGAGCATCATACAAGAAAACAGAGAAACAACATAAAATCATAAAAGCCCAACAAGATACAATAAAAAGCAGCTTTACACAATTATAAATAGGAGCTAAAAACATAACAAGCATCAAAATACATTTTTAAAATACCAGTGAGTGAAAGCACTTAAAAAAACAACAAAAAGCGGGAGCAAATAATTTAAAACAGAAAATTTAAAAATTAAAAACATCAGATTTGAACTTGGTAGGATCCAGGGAAGCTGAATACCAGAAGATTCAGGACACCAGTTTACAAAACACACACACACAAAAACACAACACAACCCACCCAAAAATGGTTGCTGGGGAGCACAAGTGGAAAGTGTGTTGTTGGGTTCAGGCCTTGCTTTCAAGCTTCCCATCTCATTGGCCTTTAGTCAAATCGAGCGGGGTCCATCTTATATTCTTAACAACAACAAAAATTGTTGGAAATACATTCAATTAGGTACCAGGCAGGCCCCTCTGGGTAAGCAATACTATACCATTTTACAGTCATGTCCTCCATTTTGAAGGCGTGACATGCAACCAAATTTAGATTCCCTCACCCCCACCTCAATAAACAGGACATTTTGGACTATATATGTGTACCAAATGTCAGGTTTCTAGCTCATGAAGAAATATCCTGATATTTGATACCACCTTCAGTAAGTCAACCAGCCCATTCAAATTCCCCAAATACAGTGGAACCTTGGGTTGCGAATGTGATCCTTGCGGGAGGCACGTTCGCAACCCGCAGCATTCGCAACCCACAGCGCTGTGTCTGCGCATGTGCAGGTCGCAATTTGGTGCTTCTGCGCATGCGCAAAGCGCAATTTAGCATTTCTGCGCATGTGCAAGTGCCAAAACCCGGAAATAACCCGTTCCGGTACTTCTGGGTTCGGCGCAGTGCGCAACCCGAAAACACATAACCTGAAGGGTTTGTAACTGTACATACAGAATGACTGTTACAGTTACAACTATTGATGGCTTGGGTGCTCTTAATAAACTAAGTATGTTACTTAAACAAACCAAAGGAAACTTGCAGATTGTTTTTTAAAGGCATGATGGGTTTTCACTCACTCATTGAAATATAGAAAGAATATGTACCTGTAAAATTGAGCAGGTTACCTGAAAACGACTTGACAATACAGCGTATGGAAAGATATCAGACTCTGATCTTTCATTTTTTAAAAAAATACCTTGCCCTTTGAGACAGAAAGTTATGAAGCAGCATATGAAAATAGCCTTCTGTGTGATTTATATGAAATGGCAGAAAGGCAAAAAGAGCAAAATCCAGAACCACTGAAGCCAGGCAAGACTACGGTGGTCTTCATGTTCCTCAAACAAAGCAGTGAAGGCTTTCTATGAGCTCCTTTAACAAATTCCTGCCCAATAGTAACAGACGGTATTTCCTCATCTTCTATCATATTCACACTTACATGAGAGGAAGCCCTCTCGAACACAGTGTGACTTCCATATGATATGATTGCAGTACTAGAGGGTTTTTTTGGGGGGGTAGTTTCTTCCCAGAGGGACGCGGGTGGCGCTGTGGGTTAAACCACAGAGCCTAGGGCTTGCCAATCAAAAGGTAGGCAGTTTGAATCCCCGCGACGGGGTGAGCTCCCGTTGCTCAGTCCCTGCTCCTGCCAACCTAGCAGTTCGAAAGCACGTCAAAGTGCAAGTAGATAAATAGATACCACTCCGGTGGGAAGGTAAACGACATTTCCGTGCGCTGCTCTGGTTCACCAGAAGTGGCTTAGTCATGCTGGCCACATGACCCGGAAGCTGTACGCCGGCTCCCTCGGCCAATAAAGCGAGATGAGCACCGCAACCCCAGAGTCGGTCACGACTGAATCTCATGGTCAGGGGTCCCTTTCCCTTTCCCTTTCCCTTACTTTCTTCCCTTCTTGTTACCCTATCACAGATGGTACACATAGAAAGAGGTACTCACTTCTTCAAATGCATTTGTCTTTTCCTGTCCTCCCTATGGTGCATTAACCTCTTCTCTATTTATATTGGCTTTCTTTTATTGTTTCCTCTTTGTCTATATATCTATATGCCTATGAGGTAGTGCATTTGACTGAGGTCATTCTGTCTGCAACATCCATCACCTCAATGGTCACCAGGGTTGATTTGATTGACTTGGTTAGCTAGGCAAGTGTTACCTTCCTCCCTCATGCTCTGTGGAAGAAGGAAACCATCCCAGAAAACAGGAATTTATTGCTTTTCACTTAAGGGTTTGAGACACTGGACATCAGGCATCAGAGGATCCAACCCCCCACAGTAGGTTGTCAGGAATGGATAAAACAAGGAAAGTTCTTACCAATGCTTTTTATTCAATATTCACAGAGAGAGGCTTAGAAATCCAGCCTCTTGGAGTAATGGTGTTGCTTCAAGTGAAACCCCACCCCCTCCGTCTCTCCCACTTCCTCATGAGTCATTGCTATGGGTGCTGGAAAGGGCCTTTTGCCTTTGAGCTCTTTGCTCTCCTAGTTTCAATGCTCACTGGGTTTGGGGGGGGGGTCTGGAATGCTTTCTAAAGACACTTAGTCTCTCAGCTGTGTCTCTCCTGGTGGTGCTTCTTCCTCCTCCTCCTCCTTTCCCATTATTTCCCAGTTTTTCCCCTCATCTGCCTCTGAGCTGTGACCTCCTTCAAACCCGTTGTAATTCTGAACTGTCTCCTTCTTTTCTGGAAGGGTCAGGCCGGGGAGGCAGTCTCCACCATTCCTCCTCTGCCCAGTCCCTGACACTGAAGAACATTCACCCCACATAGGTGAATGTTTCTAGCCCCCTCCCTAGAAACAATGGTGACATCACTGATGACTTCATAAGGAGCCTACTCTTATACTAAGGTCAGACCCACTGCCTACCCCATAAAGTCCCAGACAATGCTATTACCCAAGATCCTCTGACTGGAAATATCAGGCCTTGAACCCGGGGTTTTCTGAATGTGCAGCATGTGTTTTACCACTGAGCACAGCACTTTTCCATCTGCTGTCATAGAATGGGCTTAGACAGCAAGAATACGGTATGTGATGTTGCCATTCCAAGACTTTTTTTGTAACCAAGAAGTTGAACTGTTAGACTGTTAGACCACCATCATGATGACCCCGGTTAATTCTGAACCCTGTTCCCTATTGCATTTCACTTTGCAACCACTTTAACGTTTTCCCGATTCTGTTAGTTTTTATTGAAATAGTCTATGGGTAAAGTGTTCTAATTTATAAGAAACGTAATACAAGTTAATATCAGTGTTTAACAGGCCTTGCTCATTGCTTGGCTTTTTTGAAGACCAGTTTTGAAAATGTGTTCAAAGGAGATGGACGCCACATTGTAGTTATCTTTTACATACTTCTGTCCACGTTCTCCAGGTATGCATAATTTTGCAAACCTCTCACTACGCATGTCTCACTTCACCTGTGTTTATTCTGGGACTGAATCCCTGTTCTTAATAATGCTTCACTCATTGCTGTCATGGAGATATATCTCATTTGTCTTCTCCTGCCCTTTGCAACTGGTGCTTTCTGTCACACTCTCAGAAGGCGAAATTAAATGGTTTCTGGTAATGAAACGGTTTCTGAGTAACAGGCAAAGATCAAGTAACTGAGGAAGTGACTCTGGGGGCCAAGGGAGCGTTTTTTGTTAGACCAGGAAGCTGTTATCGCTTGTTACAATCCCTCTACTGTCGGTTAACTTATGTATCTGAAATAGCTAACCAATTACAGCTGGCGAATAGTGCAGTGTGGTGGAGGAAAGCTGATTCATTTGCAGTCACCATAAAAGTGTGGTCAACATCTTTGCTGTGCAACATCAGGGCACACCTCTGAGAGAAAGCCAGACTTTGAGAGGGTTCTACCATGGAAGGGCCTGAGCTTCTTGCCAGCAGATAATCAGTTAACAACACCCACTACTTCTCTTGTCAAAACTGCTTCCTGACAGTGCTATCAAATTTCAGAACTATACTAGCAATCATGATGGATTACTATTAGGTAGCCAGTGATTTTTTTCTCACCTTCGAAATCCAAAGAACTTCACTTTTCTTTTCATATCTAACTTCACCACTGTAGATACATATAAATAGAAACTGTAAAAAAAAAATTGGAATGGGTAAGAAACAAAGAGGTTAAAAAGGTTAAAAAGCAAACACACTTTTACAGCACATCCTAAACCATGTCGAACTCAGAAGTAAATCTTATTGAATTCAAGGGGGCTTAGTTCTAGGTAAGTGGGGTTAGGATTGTAGGCTTGGTGGTTTCTGTTACACTATAAAAGAAAGGATGGAGAGCATCTGGTCCTCCAGATGCTGAAATGTAGCTCTCAGCATCCCCAGCCAGATGGCCAATGGTCAGGCACAGTTGATGGGAATTGTAGTCCAACAACAACTGAGGGCCACAGTTCCCTCTCCCTGTTTTATACTTCTGTTGCTTGTGCTAGCTTGATCATCCTGCTGCCTCATTAAGTGAGTGCCAGGGGCACTATTTCATGTTTCATTGAGGAGGAGACTATCGACAAGGCTCAAAAGCTTACTCTTGAATGTATTAAAGCCTAATTTACAACACCAGCCGTGTGTTTTAACCCTATGTTGTTACTTTGCAATGTCATATAATAAGCAAAGTCACTGACGCTCCTGTGAGTGTTTCGGGGGTTTTTTTCAATCACCCTTCACAATTGATGGGTATTTTGTACTTTGGTCTTCAAATATGCAATGCCTAATGAGAAGCAGCAGCTTTCAGTGCCATGGCTGCCATGGATTCCTAGGAACTTGTCAAAGGTAGAAGTCTGGAGGCATGCTGAGAAGCAAGCAGGCAGAGAACTCAGTCTTCAGCTCAGACTAATGAGCCAGGCTAGAAGCAGTTTTATAGGACAAGGTGACATCCTTTTGGCCCCTTTTTAGCATATGATCTCTGCTGGTAGCTGCAATACCACCCATCAGCAGCAATAGTGTAGTAGAAAGTAGGCCCTCCCTTCTCTGCCAAGCTACCACGATGGTGTAAAACGTACAAGGGTCCTACTGTGAGAGAGTCCCCAGGGCCTTACAGAATTGTAGCACTATGTGAGAGCTAAGGATTTTTAACAAGAAATCCCTAATCCACTTACAAGGCTGCATTTTTCCCCAAATGTCTTTATGTTACAGTTAAACCAGCATAAAACCCATTAAAAATTATAGTGTCAATCAGGGATCAAGACCAGTGACCCTCCAAAAGTTGTTGGACTCCAACTCCCATCAGCCTAAGCCAGCATGGTGGATGATGGGAGCTGGAGTCCATCAATATGGAAGGCCAGAGGTTCCCAATCCCTGCTGTAGATGTACTTAAAAGAAAACAATCGTAGTTGCACAATATTTGAAAGGGTTTGGAATCCAGCAGAGCAAGTGGTCTCTTTACATATCCCCTGCCCCACACCAAAGAGATGACTGTCTGGAGGAGAAAGCCAGTTCAACACAGAGTGCATTCTTTCCTTGGTCCCTGTCACACAAAGGTGGGAATCCTTTGGCTCTCCAAATGTTCCTGAACTACAACTCCAATTAGTCCCAGCAAGCATGGCCAACGGCCAGGGATTATGGGACTTATAGTTCAGCAAAGGTTCCTCACACCTGCTGTAGTGCAAGGGAGCTGTACATGGAAAGCTGAATTGGGGGCATACCATGCAGGAAAAAGGTCAAAAATAAAAAAGGAAACTCAGAAAACTCTCAGATTTTAGAAATTCGATTTTGTGTTCAATATTACAAGTAAACATTGGCACCTTATGAACCCTTATCCTGAAATTGTAAAAAAAAAAAGCAAAGAAAGGAAAAAGCTGTATCTGCAGGGAAATGGTTATTGGTGTTTCTCTTTTTTCTGCCTTAGTGCAGAAAATGTTCCCTTTTTTTCCCTTAATGTCTTCTGCTTCACTTCTTCCCAAACTTTATCCCCTGTGGTTTTGCTTAAAAAAATTATCTACAAATGAGAGATCACAAACAAATGGGTCCCTACATATAAAGTGGTACTTCCCCCACTTAATGATTGGTTTATTATTGTAATACTGCTTCATTTAAAATACACAAAGGAGTTTTTAAAATTGTACTGCTTCTAAAGGACCTTCCCTGGGAATTTTCAACATATTCTTCACTTCCAGATCATTCTGTCATTGGCTTTATCTGCAGCGGCACAAAATGAGGCTGCAGGTATTACTTGGGCCACACAAGGACTTAGCTCACTAGATTAGCTCCGAAACCTCCTTCCACTCCTGGTCAAGGCCAGACTCAGAGCCCATGTTATGCTGGGCAAAGGAACCAATCCAAATGGGGTGATCACCAGGAGGAGCTAGCAGGGTACAAACACCAACAAACAGGTTAAAGGCTTGATACCTTAGGAATGGGCTGCAAGTGAAGAATGCATGTGAGAACCAACATTTAATTTACTCCACGGCAAGACACAGATGGGCTGGACGGTTCAGGGAACAGACCAAGAAGCAGGAGTTGGGGGCGTATCAGTAGAGGGGTTAGGAGAGGAGCAGGTCACTCTGTTGGCACCATGAAGATTTTTTTTAAGTGTAAGAGCAGGGATAGGCAACCTAAGGCCCATGGGCCACAAGCAGCCCACAGGGATCATTTAACTGGCCCACGAGCCGCCCCTGAACCAAGCCGCCCACTTGGCGAGTTCCCACACGCTGTGCTAAACCGGTGCAGCGCGGCGCGGGGACTCGCTTCCGCGGTGCCAGCAATTGCATCTGCGCATGCTCAGACGCCGAAAATCGCAGCCGCGCGTGATCACACGTGAACGTGAGCCGGCCCACGGAGGGCTCTCTGCTGGAGTGAACAGGCCCAGACGAAGTAAATCTTCCCAACCTCTGGGTTAGAATGACACATAACTTGTAGTAAAAATCAAGTCACAAACGATCCCTGTTCTTTCAGATTCGATTGGAAGCTGGAGTGGAAAACCACTTCAAGTTTAGACCAGATGTGCCAATACTAAGATGTCAACAGTGTGTGACTTGTTGTATTTTTCTATTGCTAGTACTGTATAGATGGGCAGCCTGAGAGAGCACAGCTGGCCTTGAAGCAGGAAGTGGTGTGCTATTGGCTCTCCTGGATCACCTGACTCCCAAGCAAAGAAGGAATCTGGCTGGCTGTTGTGTCTGTTTCCTAGCTTGAAATTAATAAGGAGTAGGTAATGGGCATATGGCCAGATAGCTGTCCCACTATGGTTTTTAATCACAATCACAATAATAAATTCATACTAAATGCAGCATAAAGGATAAAACTTGACAGTTTCCTGACAGATGCAATACATGATGCAGACTCCATTTTAAAAACCTGAGCAGGAGCTTGATAGCAAGAGCACAAGTTGAGTTAACATTCCAAGAAAAGAAGAAAAGAAGAAGCGAATAAACGTTTGGTCTAAAAACCTGGTGCTTTATTATGTCTCTAAAAGAGATAGCTTTACATTTTCACATGATGAATAAAAGCTTTTAATTTAGACACTCAATCAGCTTATGTAAAGTGGTATAGATTAAGATGAAAATCATTTGTAAATGTATTTGTCAGTGTTTCAAACTACCACCCTTTTCCTAGAAGAAATATTAATCAGAGAGAGCAACCCTGGTTCCCCCTATTGCTTGCAAAAACTACATAAAGCTATTTCTCATTCTAAGAAAGGACTTGTGCAATGCATTGAGTATTTATACATTTTTCTACTTATTCAAATCCATTTACACGAAATAGCAATGGCAGCCAACCTTAAGTTTACATTTACAAATCTTTAGTCATCTGTCATGTAAGGAGAATAGCTATCTCAAGATAGTACATCAGATCTCCTGAAATTTTTCCTTTTCAAAATGAGAGAGGAAGAGGTTTTATCATTTTAAGTCCTCGAAGGAACTAGAAAATTAAAAGTAATACTGTACATGAATTAAAGCTCTCGAATGGCCAAGATACAATAGCAGCCTTCTCTGAAGGTGTATATCTCTGCATAAGTAACATCTCTGACCTAGCTTGTTCCATTCAGACACTGCAAGTAGCAGAGTGGTCTCTATGCCACATGTAATTTGATAATTAAGTAATTCCTCACAGAGAGACAATGCAGAAGTGCCCACTGACGAGCCTCACCATTGTATCTCTGTATGAGCCAGAATGCTGACTCATGCAGAAAAATAGAGGGGGCGGCGTTCCATTTAGGGTAGATAAATTAATAGTGTTACAGGCATAGGAGTAAGGCTGCCTTCAGTTTTAATTCAGAAAAAAAGATGTCTCAGCTATCAGATATTTGGTAAGCACTGCTCTGAAAGCTGCTTCCCATGTTAATTGCTCATCGTAGGTGAATTGAGAAACGTTGGCTGTAAAAATGGCCCCAACAACTACACAGCACACCTAAAGAAGGGGGGGAGTTAATAAGCAACATGCATTGCCCCCCTCAAAGCAAAACACTGAGATTTTAGCCTTTGGCTGCCTTAATCTATTTGGCATTGGGTGAGGAATGACTGAAACCTGGCACTGCAGACAGCCACCTGTATGAAATACAATGGGCAGAGTTAATCCACTGCCTAGTGGGCAGCTGCATCCATGAGAACATTTACACTGTGCATCTGGTGTCATTGAAAGCTGCTTTGGAGGCTTAACCGCCCTTCTCTCTCCACCTGATTTAAAGTTACAAAACATGCATGTATACTCAGGATCTCATGTACAGTATATCTTATCTGTGTTATGTACTCCAGTATGTACAAAAAATGAGAAGTGCCTTCCAGCATCAGACCAACATTGATCTCGTCTAGCATTCTTGAAAGAATCCCAGGAACCAGGTAGGAGACCACAGCCTAACATCTGCACAGCTGTTTCTGCTGCTGTCTGGTAAGTTTCGATGGAAAAGGGAAGTGAATGGGATGGGATGGTTTTGGCAACAGCAGAGAGAGATGTCACCAGATAATAGCACCAGATTATCCCATTTTGAATCAAAACCTCGTTTCAAGGCAGGGGACTGGACAAGCTTCAAAACGAGCCTTAGAGAACAGAATAAAGTTGTGTTCCAAGCCCCCACCCTTAATAAGTCAGCATTGCACATACAGTTTAAGGAGAAATCTATTGTTTGTGTAGGACATCTCTCGCTTACCAGTGAAAACTCTCCCCCACTTTCCTTACAGTAAGATTATTTACCACACCTTGATCCAAATATAGTTATAGCCAGATGAAGTATAATTATGGGCCAGAGAACATTGCTCCAGTGACCACGCAGTGCCAGTTGGTTATCCCTGCTGAATAATAAAAGCAACATGCTCATCAGCTATAGTCTTATCTTTCATGTTAATGAAAATTGCTTTCAGACATTCTTCCAACAACTCAGGTTAAAAGCAATCCTGCCATCTTGTCATCATTTACAGATTTATCTTTCTTATTTCCCACTAATGGAGTTGCAAAGGCTCACTTGCTTATATGCTTCAGTTGCTTCTTCTCACCTCACTGCCGTCCACAAGTTGTTTCACAATATTCACTCTGTTTCAGTCTGAAGTTTTTGCAAGCGATCCCTTTTTATTTGTTTTTACTTAACGAGATTTATATACTGCTTAGTCAAAAAAATCAACAGAATTTAAAAAGAAGTAGGCATAATAAAATTCAGATTCAAAGACCAATATACACAGTAAGATTAAATGCGTTTAGATGTGTAAATCAAAGGGGTTTGTGACTTTGACATGCATAGGAAGTACACAATCTCATTTTAATTATTTATAATAATCTTGATGTGTGTCAAAGAGTGAGCCAGCAGTAAATCACACTGTTCAAGGTTGGAGTTAACTATTAGCAAAAACACAATCTTCACAGACTTGGCTGAGTATTAGGCCTAATGAGCACAGCAGCTCATCTCTGGTGGGTTTTCTCCCATGAATCAGTTGCCGAGACTGAAAATCCCCTCCTCTCCAGGACTTTTTCCAAGCAATCAGAGACTGTGCCTGCATGCAGCCTGCTGATGCTCTGCCCATTTCATCCCTCTTCTGGTTCTGGGAGACAAGGAGGGAGGAGAGCTTGTCACAGCAGGAGGGGAAGACACCTGTGACTCTTCACCAGCCTGATTCATCTCTGCGTCTTGGCCTCCCTCATCTCCTGCTTCAGCTTCTGCCTCTGATTCTCAACTTCTCTCTGGCACAGACTCTCCCTGCTCACAAAGTCCTGTTAACTCTTCAGCTTCTGACATCTTCTCTTCCCAGTCTTCCCCCTCTTCACACTCATCATTGTTCCACCACTACTCCCTGGGCTCTCAGCCTTCTTCCTTTGGTGGTTCCCCAACTGGGTCCTCTCCTCCCACCATTCCTCTGTGCCAAACCAGTCCATGGCAATGTGGTGTGTAGAACCTGTGTCTGTGTTGGCCAGAGTTCAGGGGTGGAGAACCTCAGGCCTGGGCCCCAAATGTGACTATGTATCTCTGTCTGACACTTGGGACATCCCCAGCCCATGCTCCTCACCATCTCTGACTTGTACCCTCCTTGAGTGTTTTTGCCTGGTTCAAACCTGTTCAGATAATGCCTCTGGCTCCCCTCAGCCTAAAAAAGTTCCCTACCCCTGATACAGGTCATTTTGAGGCATCTTTACATGTGGTGTGAAAATGGGAAGCTCTGCCAGGAAACCAGGATGACCTTGTAAAATAGGTTAATATTATTGTTCTCATATGGACACGGGTGGCGCTGTGGGTTAAACCACAGAGCCTCTTGGGCTTGCCGATCAGAAGGTCGGCGGTTCGAATCCCCACAATGAGGTGAGCTCCCGTTGCTCGTTCCCTGCTCCTGCCAACCTAGCAGTTCGAAAGCACGTCAAAGTGCAAGTAGATAAATAGGTACTGCTCCAGCAGGAAGGTAAACAGTGTTTCCATGAGCTGCTCTGGTTCGCCAGAAGCGGCTTAGCCATGCTGGCCACATGACCCGGAAGCTATACGCCAGCTCCCTCGGCCAATAAAGCAAGATGAGCACCGCAACCCCAGAGTCGGCCACGACTAGACCTAATGGTCAGGGGTCCCTTTACCTATTGTTCTCATATGAGGTCTACTCCATGCACGGCACACAGGCAAGATCTGAACTGAGAATTTGCAGGTTAACAGCTCAAATATTTTGTACTAGCCTTATTGCATTCTTGGTTTTATTTTTCTATATTGCCCTTTCTATAGGAGACCAGAGCGGTGAACAAGGAGAAAAGTGCAATCCTGTGCATCTCATTTGTGCCAGAACCAGAATACATCTCTGCTTGAGGGCTTCCCAAGAGGCCCCTGGTGAACAGGATACTGAACTAGGTGGGCTTTTTTGCTCTGATCCAGCAACGTTACAGGGGTAAGAACCCCCCCCACACACACAAAAAGCAACAATGTAATGAACGGTTTAGGGACATGGGTGGCGCTGCGGGTTAAACCACTGTGCCGCTTGGGCTTGCCAATCAAATGGTTGGCAGGTGAACTCCTGTTGTTTGGTCCCAGCTCCTGCCAACCTAGCAGTTCGAAAGCATGCAGTGCAAGTAGATAAATAGGTACCGCTCTGGCAGGAAGGCAAACAGCGGTTCCGTGTACTGCTCTGGTTTCGCCAGAAGCGCCTTAGTCATGCTGGCCACATGGCCCGGGAAAAAATGAGCCCTCAAATCATTGCCTTTGTCATTGTCATTGCCTTTGAAATGGTGTGCATGTGCCGTATCTTGTGATCGATTATGCAGGATGGGGCTTACCTCCCCCCCCCAAAAAAAAATATTTTATTGAAGTTGGCACCCCAGTGAGGGACAAAGGCCTGGCGTGGTGCCCACAGTACTCCTTTTCTACTTGCAGGTAGGGCTGCCGGAGATGGCTCTGAAGCGGGAGGCTATTCCAAAACACACCCTGCGCCTTTCGTCTAAAGCGCTACAGTGCATTCTAGCAACGCCTTATTCTGCCCATTTCCATTCCTGAAGCTGTAGCCTCCCAGCCATTGCAGAAACGCAACCCGGCGGAATTTAGGGCCTGGGAAAGGCGTCCCTAAGAAACCCCACCCTTGGCGGAAGTGTCGCCAACTGCTGCGGCGGCTGCGCCTCTCGGCTCCCCCTCCCCTTTCCGGACCAGCTTCGCCTGCCTTTCGCTTTCACGGTTGTCCCTTTGCGCCGCGCGGAGAGAAGGCTGGGGCGGTGTTGGGGTGGGGCGGGGGGGTGTCTGGTGCCTACTCAATCCCTTCCCATTCGTTTGCAAACCCTCCCAGCCACATTTTTATTTTTATTTTTATTTAATGCAACACCAACATCTCCAAAAAAATCAGAACTGAATGTCCACGAAAGCATATACTGTACATTCTCCTGGTTCACTTTGGAGAGCAGTGTTTGGAAACAGACGCGCGGTAGGAAGGTGCAGGTAACGTCAGATCGGTGCCTAGGAGTGGGGGATGGCGGGGCAACGGACCGCGCGGCAGCGGCAGGATCTTAAGGGACGATTTGTTGCTGGGGCCTTGCTTGTGTTTTGCAGAGCAAGGGATGTGGCTCCGGCGCTCCGGCTGTTCACTCAGTTAGTTGCGGTGGGGTGCCTGCGCTGGGAATCCAGGTGGCGGGGTGGAAGAGGAGTCGCTGGCCCTCTTCAGACTCCCGAAAAGCTCCTTATGCAAGGTCTTCTATTTAGCAAGATTCAGATCTTTTTAATTTTACGTTATTAAAATGTGACTGGCCAACTGATCTCCCTCTTGGATCTCTGCAGATCTGCCTGAAGCGGAGGGATGAGGGAAGCGGGCGTCAGAGGGGAAATAAACAGATGCGCGTAAAGTGAAACGCTGCTCAGCATTGAGGGGGAAACGCTGAACTGGTTTGCAAACACATAATGCAGCAACCGTGGGCAAGTAGAGATGTTTGTCCCTTGCACGTCAGACGATATACCTTTTTTCACCCTCTTCTTTCTTCCCCGTTTATAAAGCACCTAAATAAATAAAGCGGATGTGTTTTAACTACGATTTATAAAAGAGTCCTTTGTATATTTTCCCCCTGGTAGGTCAAGAGGTTGAGGCGAAATTAGGAACCTACATTTTGCAGAACAATATATGTACCCTGTGAGCAACAAACGCCTACCTTGGTTCTTATTTCCTTTTTTTTTTTTTTAATGGGGAAGCAATGCATCTGGGACAAAGATTAGTGTATCTTTCATTAACCTAATAGTAACTTGGCTCAGAAGTCTCCTTTTTGTCAGATCTACCTAATCAAGCCAGAATCTCATTCTCTCTCCGAGACAAAATTAGCAAAAACTTTACCTTTGACTTTATTGACAGGTAGCCAGTCCTCTCCCCTTCCCGCTCCCCACCTCTCTTCCCCTAGCCAGGCTATTCAATTTAGAGGATTAAAAGAAAGTCACTCCACTAACAGCATTTGGTCCATTGCTAACCCATATGTCAGCCTCGGTGCTTTAAATAATTATATTTGCATGCAGGGAGTGATTCATAAATATGTCAGGCCCGTGAAATATAGGCAAGCATTTCAAACTTTCTATTTAAAAAACATGAATTATGGCCGCGAAAAATGTGTTCCCATTTAAGGGTGATACGAAGTATTTGGTGTCTAGTACGGAGGCCCATCCATCATACAGACAATAAAGAGAGTTTTTGCCTGACGCTGGAAATTTATGGTTGCCCTTCTCTGCCCTAATAATTCAAGCATTGTGTCAGCCCGTGACAGCCCTTGCAGAAAAACAGCAACCCCTGTTATCAATCAAAAAGCCCTTTTACATTTTTAGCAAAACTCTGATCATCCAGACACCCTTTTAATGTATATATTACATCATTATAGATCATTCCGCACTCTCCTTCCATTCCACCCCCCCTTACTGCAACTCAACAAAATGATCCATCATTCCTGGGACAGTCCTGATGAACGCGGATGTAAATTATTCTGCACGTCACTAAAGTACAGTCCCAAGTGACAAATGTACTTTAGGTGGAATTAATTTTTAGGGTGCACGATGAAAGCACACGGGATCTGGGGTTTGAGGAGGGAGAGGAGCAGGTAGATGTATCATCTTGGAAGAGGACTGCAAAACTGGATAAATTCCCCAGTCTAAATTATTTTCGAAAGATCAAGGAGCTGTTTTGGACCCTCACACGCGCGCAATAATTTTTATGTGTGCGTATGTGTATGCATATGTGTAACAGCTCCCTGAGTAATATGCCTCATTTAGCATTTTAACCTTGGAAACAACTTTTCTCCAAGGGGAAGTATCTTGTCGGGCTCTCGAGTTTCAAACATCGGGGAGAACTGCGGAGTTTCCATAGCAAACATATTCATAAGGCCAGGGCACGCAGCTCAGGGCGCAGTTCTTCTGATCCCATCCTGCGGTCCTGACTGGGAACGGGGCAAGGAGCGCGTCACCCTGCGGAGCCCGCGTTCATGTCCGCGGGGCTTGCGCCGGAGAGCTTCCCGCTAGATTGTGCGCCTTATGTGGATCTGCAAGATCATCTCCCTTGCGTGCGGCATAATCGTAGGACATGCTCCTCTCTCTGTAACCAAATATGCGTTTAGCCGTCTTTTGCCTCACTCTGCCCTTAGGCTTGGAGCGGAAAATACACAGTGCTCCTTTGGAGAGATGTGCGCCATTAGCTCAAACGCTCCCTGAAACCGATAAGTCTTGCCTTGCCTTCCCTGGTTTCAACTCTCTGGGCAGAAAATCTTCATTTGTGTGGCTGAGAGCAGGCGTTGGGCATGCTTTAATTACAAATCAGCATTCCCGACGAATATTTTTGGTGCGAACGTTAAACGCCACTTGGGTTAGCAAACTGAGAGGCGTCACATACAGCTCTGAACTCACTTTCCTCCTGCTGCCAATAAGGTGCCTACTTTTTTTTTTAGGTAGCAACCCAAGATCTCCCCAAAATGACGTTCTGCGCCTAAAGGAACAGGGTGCTGTTGGGGTGGGAGACGCACAGCCGGGTCCGATTAGTGAAAGGTTTCCAAAACATTGGCGCATAAATCCCGCGCTCAGGCCACCAAAGAAAAGGGACGGATATTAGCTGAATAAGCAGCTCGTCGAGAGGGTTTTAAACAGAAAAGTTTCATTTTGTTAAGCGGCGCTACTAAGGGGCTTTCGGATTCCACCCCACCCCCACCCCCACCTCGCGGGAAACAAAGCGAAAGGAGATTAAGCAAACCACCTTGGAACAGATTTCGACAGGAACGAAGAACGCGCCCTTGAAAGAGGGGAACCAAAGACGTGGTTCTCAGTTGCTCGGTTCAAAAGACCACAGCCGAGGATGCAATTTACCTTGCACACTGATTACTATCTAGCTGATAGGTCTCTAAAAAATAAAAAAAGGGGGGGGGGATCGTGCAATGTTATCCTGTAGGTCTTTGCGTCTACGTGCATTTTAAATGCCCCTGTAAACCTTTACACTTTTTTTTTTTTGGTCCCTCAGAGAAACTAGTTTGCATATCTAGCACGACGGCTGTCCACATGATTTCGCGATCAACGCGCGCCGCTTTAAAAACCAGAAAAGCAAAAGAAAGAGGCGGCGGCGCAGGAGTGATCCAGCTCTCTTTTGAACGCACGGCCAGGCTGCGGTGGCTCCGTGTGTGTCTGCCTGCGCGTCCCCCCCCCGCCCCCGTTCGGTGGGGAGTTTCTTCCTCTTACTGTAGTACTGTATTGCATTCTTCCCGGATCTCAGATATGCTGAAGTTTTATCCCCCCCCCTCTCCCCACCCTACTCCCGCCACCATGCCAATATATTTATGCATTTCCACATGTACTGAGTATAGAACATTTGTGAAAGTCACAGCAACGCGGGCATATTTGGTGGTCGATAGAGAAGAAGCGAGACATAAGCATAATAAACGCCGTTAAACACAAGCAGGTAGGGAATGTTTGTTACATCTGGCTACTCCAGTGAGACCAGCCGCCTTTCCCCCTCTCCCTCTCGGTTTAAAAAGGTCTAGGAAATAAGAGAGATGCAGAGGCCCGGTTTGATGCTGGTCTACAGTGATTCGAGCTTTTACTCAAAGACTGCCTACAAAATCTGACACTTAAGTGTCAAGATAGGAGAGAGCAAGATTGGAGGCAGGGTTTGCACTGTAATCGAAGGGTTTGCACTGTCTTTTCCCGAAGGGTGGAAAAACCAGAAGTCAGTCCGGGTTGGGCTGGGGTACATATCTTATTTTGTTTTTTGGGTGGTGGTGATCCTGGCCAGGTTTTGCAGCTCACCAGCCTGACCTGTCAAGCGGATTATTTTAGAAGGAGATTAATAGGGGAGGCGGGCCGCAATAATAATCGTTTTGTTTGATGTGACAACTTTGATAGGCGTTGATTTACTTACAAACTGATAGGGTTTTAATTGAGCGCCTCCATCCAGCTTGAGATGAAAGGAAAACCGCATTGAAAAGCTGCCCGATTGCCCTCCAGCCTCAATACTGATTAGCCATCTCGACAGTGAATAGTTCAAGGCATTTTCAAACTTTTCCACCACCTCCTCCTCCTCTCCTCTCCGCCCCACTCTCTCTCTCCTTCTCCTCCTCAAATATCTGCCAGCCCACTCCCTCCGCCCCCCTTCTTCTTCAGTGAAAATAAATCATTTCCATTGTGTGCAAATAAAATCGACTTGACATCTTTGCCAATAGCTGGTAGGTAAACGAAAGTGTGGACTGGCACTTGCTAATTAATCCCTTCACTCTTCTCCCCCCCCCCAGTAAAAGAATAGCAGCTCCCCCCTTCCCTTTTGTCGAAGGTTTAGCTGCTGCCCCCAACTCTTAAACTGGGGGGGGGGGAGGGAGAGAACAAAAAGCATCCCGCGAAAAAACACACACCCCAAAACGCCCCCACTCCAACAGCGACCGAAAGAAACATTAACTTTGAGCAAGACTGTTCAAGTAATAATTGCCAAACACCAAACGGGCTATCTGAGTTTTTGTCAGCGTTTTTTGCCAGTGTTTCGGTGGTGGTGTTGGGAACTGGCGCTCTAGGATTCTTTTTTTATTTTTATTTTTATTAATTTTGAAAGCCGTCTCGCAGCCCGTCTTGGATGCGATCCTGTGAGGTGGAGCAGAATTTAAGGAAAGAATTTAAGGATCTGAGATTGACCCTTCTGGAGCTTATTCTTTGATTTTATTTATTTATTTATTTATTTACGCAATATTTTTTTTAAAAACAACAACAACAGCAGCAGCAGCAGCAACAACAACAAACTGGCTTTTGCAGACCGGGGTGGGGTTTGAAATCGCACATCAAAGGCTCTCTGCCCTTCTGAAGTTATTAATTGTCCTCGTGGAGCTGAGAATCGTCCTCCCTACAAATCCAAGGCAGCCCACAGATATATTCTCTCTCTCTCTCTCTCTCTCTCTCTCTCTCTCTCACACACACACACACACACACGTGTCAATACGCCGCTTGTTTTACACATGTCCGGAGAATCACCTTTGATTCCCCCGGTTTAGAACTGTAACAAGGCCCCTTTTCCCGACCCCCACCTCCACTCCCAGCTCCCGAGGGGGAGGAGAGAGGGGAGGAAAAAAACCCTTTCCCACATCTAACTCTACCTTAAGACAATTAATCTTTTAGTCTTTTCACCCTGGGAGGCCGGACAAATAACAACGAGAAAACAGATAGAAGTCTCTCCGGTTTTGTAAGGAAAACAGCTGTTCCAAGCACTTTAATGCAAATGAACACACATGAAGAAGCGGTTGGACGGGGCTTTCTGCTTCCCTTTCTTCCCTTTCTTTCTCAATTTTACTGCTCTCCATCCATTTATCAATTGGTCTCGACAACAAAAGAAAGGACAGGGCGTGTGGGGGCTGGGGGCACCCCCTAGGACTCATTTTCAAGGCATTTCCACGCGATCCACAAATGGAAATATCCACGGAGGGTGGGTGTCCTTGGGAGCAAGTGATGGACTCTTGCCCTGACTCCTTACGCTTTTCTAGATCATGTTGTATTATATCTGCCTATCCTTTTCAAAGGCATCTACCGTAAGTTCCCCCTCCCTGCAGCACTTTACGTCTCCCAAGAGATCAGACTACTGATTTCAATACCTTATACAGTGGACAATGAGTACGAAGAAGGTCGTTCTGGAATATTTTACTCCCGGACACACCTAGAGGGGGAAATACTCGTGTTGTTGTTGTTATTGTTGTTTTCTTTTTAAACCTGGGGAGGCGGGGATCCTGAGCGCAATTCCCTGGGAATTCCTGCGCAAGCCACATTGAAAGCATGCTCCCAGCAGGAACTCCCTGTGCCCCAAAGGAGCCTGAGATCTTAGGAACACTTATTTGGAAGTCAAGTCAGTTGAACAAAGTCGGCTTACTTCCAAGTATACGCGGATAGCCCTAGATTCCATAGTGGTCCTTGCCCAGAATCCTATAGGTGGTCTTTGGTAGGCCACTCACACTCCCATCTGAAATTTTGGGAATAGTAGTAAGTCAGTGCTGTTGTAGCGGTAGTTGAGACAAGGCATATGAAGAGCTTGAGCAACAATAAGATATGCACTGTATTGTTGTTGTTGTTGTTATTATTATTTCAATTTTCAAAAGGAAAACACACAAGACTGGCAAGTCTGAACAGAAATCAGAAAGGGGGAACATTCCTGGGTGAAGGCGCTGGATCCCTGATGCCTCCCCCAAAATATTCCAAGCTTGCTTTCTTGGCTGCTAGCCCGCCCTGGCAAGTGAGCCAAGGGAAGGGCGCCTTTCCGGCCTCGGCCTCTGGATCTAAGGAGGATTCCAGCTCAGAAATTGGCCGCGACCCCTGAAAGCCCTCCTGCCTTGTTCTTCCCTTGTCAAACGTGTTTTATATCTCCCACTGACCTTTTTTCCCTATCGTTGCAATGTGCGCAAGGCCACCCGGGCAGATCCGGAAACAAAAGGGGACACATTTCTCTTTCGATCTTTTTATTTGGGGCCTGTGGAGATACATACTTATTTACATTATTCCTTCGAAGGGCAGCTTAAGGTAAATGAGGAAGTTTGAGAAGAAAATCAGAGCAGCTATTTTATTACGATGATTTTACTGCAAACTGGAAAAAAGCACTACGAAATAGTCGACCCGGAATCTTTGAAGACAGAGCGAAAGTGGGAGACTCTTTTGATGTTCAGTCGCCTGGGCATCATCCTTAAAGCTAGCCGAGGGTAAAACGGCCAAGAAAGAAGCGCTGCCTTGCCTACAAGCGCGCAACTGACGTCTCCCCAAACGTCTGGTTTTGCAGCCCAGCCAGACTAACGTTTTACTCCGAAGTAAGCGCGCGCGGGGATCGCGCTGGTTGGACTCTGTTACAAATGAGCGGCTCTTGGCCATTTGTTTCGCTAGGGTGTTGTTGTTTTTTTGCCGCAGGAGAACTTCCCCGCTGGACCTGCGCCGATTATTATTTCTGTTTTAAGAAATCGTCTTGGTGCGAGCAAGGTGTCGAGATACACACACCGCTCACGGAACCACGTGGTAGATCAATAGGGCAGCGCGGGGGCAAAACGTGAGGGGTGAGTTAGCGGGGGGCGGGTGAGTGGTGAATCCAGTAATTGTGGACAAATACTTCGAAGGCTGCAATGAATCGCCTCCGCCGAGCCTTTGATCCCGGGCCTTTCCGCCTCTTCTCCCCCGCCCCTGGCTCCTTCGTCTTCTTCTCCTTCTCCCTGCGAGCTCTTGTCAGTATTGGCATTCCGCGGGCTGCTCAAGATGTCAATCTTAATCTCATTTTAAACATTCCGCCGTGCCAGCCGATTGAGAGACGGATTGGCGATAAAATTTCAATAATGCGCCTGCCTCCTCTCTCTCTCTCTCTCTCTCTCTCTCTCTCTCTCCCGCCTCCAAATCCGGCACCAACTCGCATCTCCCTCCCTCCTGCGCCACCAGGGTCAGTCAAAGTCACCTCTCCACAACCTGAGCTCGGTACGTTTACTCGGAAGTAAACCCTGCACAGTTCCGCAAGGCTTACTCCCAAGTTTGGCGAGCGCGCTTACTCCAAAGTAAGCCCCACGGAGTCCAGTAGGGACTTCAAAGGGGACTCGCGCCAGGGCGAGTGGATTGCCTCTGCAACGTGACGGCCTCATCCTGTTCGTGTTTACTAGGAGGTAAGTGCCCCTGAGTTCAAGGGGACTGAGTCCCTGGGTTGCAATCTTGATTAGTCAAGTGAAAATATGAAACAACAACAACAACAATAATAATAGTGACGCAGCGATAGCCGTGGGGGAAAAAAAATCTGCCCGGTCACTCGGCTCTTTCTCCCCAAGGTGCGTCCGCCAAAAGAGAAGTGAGAGTCGCTCCTTGTTTTGTTGGCATACAAATTGCATTTACTCGGAGAGCGATTTACTCTTTAAATTGAATGGCTCTTTTTTCCAGGGAGCTCGTCTGCCTGTCTGCCTGTCTCTCCTTGCTCCCCTCTCCCTCTCTTCCTTCCTTCAAGTCGCACTAGGCTTGTAATCAGCAACAAAACCTGACATAAATCAAGGGAGGATTGACAGGGGCTGACAAATAACTGATTGATTGCGGTTGGGGAGCATTGACAACTGATGAAGGGGAAGAGAGAGAGAGAGAGAGGGAGGGAGGCTCCCCACCCCAAAAAAGCGGGGAGAAAGGGAGACGAGAGCGGCTTAAGGAAGGGCGGAGTGTTGCGAGCATGTGACGCTCGCCTCTCCCAATCTCCGTCCAGAGCCTCCAAGAGTCACCGAAGACCCGATTGGGCGGTTTTTGACTCGTACTTCAGGAGGCAAGAAGCCTATTAGTTCTTTAGTTTCGCGCTCCCGAAAAAGAACAAAAATGCTGCGCGATGGGCAAAGATTTAGAAAAAGGAAAGAAACCCACGAAATAATTTTCCGGTGTGCGGAAGAAGGGGGGCCATGGGAAGTGCGGCGTCATTAATAAGAGGGGATCAGTGTGGGTAGTGGGGGGACCCTAAAAATAATTTCCCTGCCTTTTTGTTTTTACGGAAGGCGAGGGCACTGCGGAGGCCTCTAAGGCACGGCACAAAGCGCGCAATTGCGCAAACCTACCTCGGGAACTTGACCACCTTGTCGTTTTTCTAGAGGTATTTACAAGCCTCTTCCCGCTCCCCCCCCCAAAAAAAAAAAGATCTAGCGCGGTGCGGAGGAAATACTGGAGGGGAGCGAGTGAGAAAATCAATAGCGAGTGGCTTACGTGAAACACAAAATTGATGCCCATCCACCCTGTCCTCAGGAGCAAAAACAAGAGAGGCGGGGAAGGCGAAGGGGAGGAAGGAAGAAAGAAAGAGACCATTAGAAAAAAAGCCAAAGAAAAGCGATCGCGGAGGGGGGGGGAGTGGTGGAAAAGCCCCTGAAGAGGGAAGGTGACGTCACATCCCCTTGACCCTCCAATCACCTCGGGGTCCCATTTGATTGGAAGGCGGCAAAGGCTTTAATCTCCGACTAATTCAGCTGCTTTTGAAGTGAGTTCCTCTGCCAGATCCGACGCTGGATGGGCAGCGGCTCGCATCGCAGCTGAACAGGGAGGCGGAGGAAAAAAAGGAGGCGGCCGGCCGGGGAAGAGCCCGCAGCCAGCCAGCCAGCCAAGCAGCCCAGGGAAAGAAGAGGGACTGGGACAGACAGGGGGAAGCAGAGCTCCAGATCCCCCCCCCCCACCTCTCCACCCCCGTCGTCAGCAGCAGCAGCAAAAAAACACACACGAGGATTATTTCTGTTTTGTAGCATTCTTCCGTTTTGAATTCTCACGCACCCCTCCATCAAAGGACTTTCTTTTAAAAAATATTATTATTTTGGACGAGTCTTCCATTATTATTTTTTAAATTAAATAAAGTGCGCGCATCTATGTGTGATCCCTCCTTCCCGTAGAGATTGGAAGCAGACGCCCTGTTGGGGCTCCTGATCCGCGCGCCGGGCGCCCCCCCACCCCGCCAGTTTTCATGCGAGGCTTTGGGTCATGATTACATCCCCCTTGCTTTCTGCCGTAAGAAGTAGTCAGCACGGAGGAGGAGGAGGAGGTGGTGGTGGAGCAGCGGCGGCGGCGGCGGGAGGAGGAGGCGCGAGAGATCTCGGAAGCAGCAACAGCAACAGCAGCAGCTCCGGCTCTGATCTTCCCTGGCAAAGCGGACACACTGGGATTTCTACCAGCGGTGGCAACTGCAGCAGCGGCAGCAACAGCAGCAGCAAACCTTTCTTCCACTCTGTCCCACCCTCGGACCCTTTGCGCCAGGCGAACCGGCTCCCCATCAAAGTCCTGAAAATGCTTACGGCACGGACTGGACACATTTTGCATCCCGAATACCTTCAGCCTTTGCCTTCCACCCCAGTCAGCCCCATCGAGGTAAGGGCGCCGCGATGTTGGGCGGACGGGTGTCTGTGTTGAGTGAGCGTGTGTGTGTGTGTGTGTGAGTGAGTGAGTGAGAGAGAGAGAGAGAGAGAGAGAGAGAGGCAGAGGAGCACCGCGAGAGACTGACCACCTTCCCGGACGGGAATCCTTTGTAAAAAGGCGCTTTCCGATTTCCAGCCGGCGCACCAGCCCAGCCCCCACCCCAACCGCGGGCTTCCCCCGCGTCCGGGCAGCGGAATTCTGCGCGCGTTTACTCGGAAGTAAGCCCCGCTTCGTGTTTAATGGAGGTTGCATGCTCCTAGAAAAGTGCTCCCCAGTTCTGAGAGGTTTGCAAATTTAAACAACCCTCGTAATGGTTATGTGCCCATTGGTTTGGTGGCCTCCCCCATAAAGGTGATTCTGCTGCAATTATTGGGCTCCACTTTTCTCCAGAGGAACGTGCAATGTAATGCAGAGTCGCGCCCACTCTCGGGTCCTGTCTCATCGCCCCCCCCCCACCTCAATCGCCCTCGTCTCCCCGCTTCATTTCGTGTGCCTTATCATTGGAGCAAAAAGCGTCTGTAATGTAGATCTAGCGAGCATTTCGCTTGTTCCCAACGCGCTGCAGTTTGAAAGAAGCAGTTTACCGATCATTTATTTGTGTGTGTGTGTGTGTGTGTGTGTGTGTGTGTGAAAAGGAAAAAACAAGACATGCTGGCGTGACTTGTAGGTTGGGAGGAGAATTGCAAGGGAAGCAGATCAGATCTTCGGGATGATAACGTTGTGGGGTGATACTGAGGAGCACTGCAGTGGGGCGGCGGCAAAGGGAAGCGGGTGGAAAGCGGAATGTACGGAAGGAATAGGATTTCTTGGCTATTTCACCGAAACGGCTTCAATCTCTTTGACTTGGGATCTGTTTATAAATAGTATCACTGAGGGCTCCACTCAGCTGGATAAGCGTTGCTTGGGGAGAGCGAAAAAGCTTGACTTCTTACCAACAACGGCGCGGGGAGGAGGTTGCAGCGTTGGGGGAAGGACTGTGGGGAAGCGGGGGGCAAAGTTACTCCCGTGTGACCAGCCTGAAGACTTTCACATTTTTAGAAATGCAAAAGTATTGCCATAAGTACTATGCAATTATAAAGTAATTTGCCTTGATAAAACAAAGAAAGCATGCTTGTGTGAGCCCAGAAAAAGTGTCCGGGCTGCTGATTGCGCCTCTCGGTAATTGCCAGGGGCTTCCGGATACTTTTGCAACTTTTTTTGTTTCCTTTAAACTGGCACTCCGCCTTTTATCTCTCTCCCCTCACCCCACCTCCCAGCAAGACCCCCATACTAAACGTTTGCGTTTCTCCCTCTTTCTCCCCTCGCCCCCACCCCTGGCCTTCTGCAGTTAGACGCGAAGAAGAGCCCGCTGGCTCTCCTGGCTCAGACTTGCTCGCAGATCGGCAAGCCCGACCCGTCGCCGTCGTCCAAGCTTTCGTCTGTCACGTCGAACGGCAGTGACAAGGACTCTTCCAAGTCGGGCCCGCTGAAGCTCAGCGACATCGGCGTAGAGGACAAGTCCAGCTTCAAGCCTTACTCCAAGCCCGGCGCGGACAAGAAAGAGGCGTCGGCGGGCGTCGGGGGCTCGGCGGCCGCCTCGGGGGGAGGCTCGGGCGGCGGCGGCGGCGGCGGCAACGAGAAGTCGGGCTTCCGTGTGCCGAGCGCCACCTGCCAGCCGTTCACGCCAAGGACAGGCAGCCCCACGTCCAGCGCCTCGGCCTGCTCGCCCGGCCTGCTGCCCGGCGCCGACGGCAAGGCCGGCGACGCGGACAAGAAGGACTCTTCCGACGGCTGCGGCGCCAAGGCGGGCTCGGAGACGTCCGGGGGCCACGGCCGGCTGGGCGCAGGCTGTGGCGGGATTACGGCGGAGCTGAGCCAAGCGGCCCACGAGAGCGCCAAGGGCCTCCTGGCGTCGTCGTCGTCGTCCTCCTCGTCGTCGTCCGCGTCGTCGGACTCGTCCTCCTGCGGCGGCAGCATCACGGTCACGTCCTCCTCGTCGGCCGCGGCGGTGCTGAGTTCGGGCCTGGTGGCCCCGGTGTCCCCCTACAAGCCCGGCCAGACGGTGTTTCCGCTGCCGCCAGCCGGCATGAGCTACCCGGGCTCCCTCGCCGGCGCGTACGCGGGCTACCCGCCGCAGTTCCTGCCGCACGGCGTGGCGCTCGACCCCACAAAGTCGGGCAGCCTGCAGCTGGCCGGTAGCCTGGGCTGCAGCAAAGCGGCGGGCTCCAGCCCGCTGGCCGGCGCGTCCCCGCCGTCGGTGATGACGGCCAGCCTGTGCCGAGACCCCTATTGCCTGAGCTACCACTGCGCCAGCCACTTGGCCGGCGCCGCCAGCGCTTCGTGCGCGCACGACCAGGCGCTCAAGTCCGGCTACCCGCTGATGTACCCGACGCACCCGCTGCACACGGTGCACTCCTCGCTGAGCGGAGCCACGCCGCCCTCGCTGGCCGGCCACCCCTTGTACCCTTACGGCTTCATGCTCCCCAACGACCCCCAGCCGCACATCTGCAACTGGGTGTCGGCCAACGGACCGTGCGACAAGCGCTTCGCCACCTCCGAAGAGCTGCTCAGCCACTTGCGGACTCACACGGCCTTCCCGGGCACGGACAAGCTGCTGTCCAGCTACCCGAGCTCCACCTCCTTAGCCAGCGCGGCGGCAGCGGCCATGGCTTGCCACATGCACATCCCCACCACTGTTGCCCCCGGAAGCCCCGGCACCCTGGCTTTGCGCAGCCCGCACCACGCCTTGGGACTCAGCAGCCGCTACCACCCTTATTCAAAGAGCCCCTTGCCCACCCCGGGCGCCCCCGTGCCTGTCCCGGCGGCCACGGGACCGTATTACTCCCCTTACGCACTCTATGGGCAAAGACTGACGACAGCGTCCGCTTTGGGATATCAGTGAGTTTTTTGGGGGCTTCTTTTGAATTTTTTTGTTTTTGTTTTGGTGGTCGAAAGGGTGTGGGGTGGGGCGCGAGGAATTTCAAGCAACGGTTCTCGTTGGGCGGGGGAGAGACGGGGAGAAGAACACAAAGCAAACCTTCAAAACTTTCTTTAAAAAAAAATCCCACAAAAGAACAGAAAATTGAAATTTGACTTTTTTTTATATATATATAAAGATAGTGTTCATCTTGAGGACTGGATCCATGGGCACTGTATTTATTTATGTTAGCTTCAAGCGGGACAATGAATCAATAAAAGTGCATTACATAACTTCAGCTCGATAGGCTTAAAGGAGAAAAAAAAAGAGAAAAAATTAAAGTGGAAACACCCGTTGTAGAATATAAATAAATAAAACGAAAACGAAAATAGAGGTCTTCTCTTTAATGTTACTTTAAAATTGCTATGATTGTATTGTACCTTCTTATTTAATGTCTCATTGGGGGTGGGGGTGGGAAAAAAAACCCTAAATGCATGTCTCTTTTTAAAAATCAAAATCAAACAAACAGAAAACCCCTTTACCACTTAACTTGCAATTTGTCGACTCGAATTTCAAATTGCATTTATTTTTTAAGATGTATGCCATCGCAGAAAGAGAATTGGTATTTTTTTGTACTTATTCTGGAAGAAAGGAAACCCAACAACGATTCCAAAAACCTCCATTTGCCTTATTTTTGTTCTTTAAAAGGAACACTGGACTATTTTTTAATTTTTAAGTCCACCCTGTAGAAGGGGCAGAAGCAAGGATGACGTCATGTATTTAAAATAATAGACAATGTATCGCTTTAAAAGATTAAAATTCCGTATATTTGATGTATTAAAAAGGTTTTACTTTTCTTTTGCAATTACCTTCTGGAGTCTGTTATAAATACACCTAAGTGTGCGGTGGACGGAAAGTGACTAGGGGAGAAAAACTAACAAACCTCTAAGCGTTGATTTAAGTTAATAATAATTATATAAAGTTTTATTTGTTAACTAACGTTTTTTCTCTTCTAACTCAGAACAGTGTGTTCCTAAGAGTTCTCCCCCGCTATACCACAACTGGCAATTAAATTAGAAAACCCAGGAGTCAATTTAAACCGCTCCCCGCTTCTTCCCAAGGAAAAGCAAGGCTTTTGATTCTAACTAGGAAACTGCTAGCCAGGCTTACAATGTTGGCAACCGTGGGGCGGGGGGAAGCGAACCTCTGTGGCTGGGAAGAGGGAGGATGAGAACGGCAGTTTCTCGTCTGTAGTAACTTTCTGTGACTTTACCAAAAAGTTTAAACCAATAAATGGGGCGCGCGGTGGGGGGGGGGGGGAAATATCCAGGAAAACTTCGGGCATAATTCGAGGAGGAGTTCTCCTGTCGAAGCCCAGTAAAAGTCGGGGGAATTGCGTAAAGGCGCTTAGTTCTCCTGCGTTTCAGTAGGGCTGGCGGAGGAGAACCTCCAGCTAGATTGTTTCCTTTACGACTTAGACCTCAATCCACCATTCGACGAGTGGGACAATTCTCTGTGGAAGAACCCCTGTTTCAGTCGCTTCTCAAGCCTCCTAAAGGGGTCCGTGTTATTTCTTTCTCGGTTTTCCGAACTAACACTCTGTGCCCAAACTGGCTTGCGGCAGTTAAAAAAAGCAGCGCCATTCAGTCGACTTCAGTTGGACTGGCGCAGACTTCTCGCTTCCCTTTCTAAACCCCGTTTAGTTTTTTTTGGGGGGTGGGGGCACTATTTATGGATTTCAGTTGTCTGAAACACAAGCATTTTGGTTTCTCCGGGCTCCGTCGCCGGAACCCAGCTGTGAATCTGGCTCCTCTACCCACTCTTTCCGCGTTTCCTCGACGGCAGAGATAGCAAAAGGGTGACAAACGGGTTTTTAGCTTAAGAAAACAGTCTGCAGTCATCGCTGTTTACCTGTGCCTCTGAAGGCGGAGGGTCCCGCTTCCTGCATTGAGTTCAATGGGACTTGCTCTCGGGGAAGGTTGCCCAGGACTGCACACCTCCTCCGGATCTGCAAGGGACGGACTTCGCTTTCATTTAAGGGGCGTCTAAAAACAAAAAAACAAAATTGCCACATACAATGAAACAGTCCTCCTTGTATTCAGCTGCCTCTTACCCCCAAGTTCCCGTGGGGAGGGTGGCCTAGACCAGGCACGCTCTCATCCAAGCAGGCGGTGCATAGGATGGCTGTTCAAGGGTGCGATCCTAAGGACATTGGCTATGGAAAACGGGGGGGCTTTGTGTGAGTAAAAATGGGCTGTCAGTGTTTGGAAACAGCTATTCCACCCCAAGAGGGTGGTGTGGAGGCGTGAAGTCTTATCCCCTTTATCTTCTTTTAAGCAGCAGGGGGTGAGAGCCGAGAGCCACATAGGCCGAAAACCAGCCCAATGGCAGCTACGGCGGAGGGGGAAAAGCAACTTCGTAACGCGGTGGCCTCTAGGTAACCTGCTTGGTTTGTGCAGGCGTTCTTCTGATTATGCTTTCGCCCATAACGCATAGATTGCCTCCAGTAATTAGAAGTTAGCTTCGCCGTAACCCCCCAACCCCCCCCCCCAAAAAAAAGGAGGGAGAGAAAAAAGAGAGAGGAGCTATGTCAAAGAAGCGACGCCAGCAAATGCCCAGTTCTTGCCCAGGCATTTATGCCAAGCAAGCAATTAGGAACAGTAAATGTGCAGAGGGTAGAAAACGAGAGACCCCGTGGTTGGAGTTTCCGGCGCTGCAGAACGTCAGGCTGTTTTTCCTGCTGCGGGGGAGGGGGGGCTGACAGTGACTTGACTCTACGCGGCGCCTTGAGACGCACCGACGGGCAAGGGCGATCTCCCTCTTTCTCGACCTTTGTTGTTGTTAATATTTATTCGTTTTATTTCGCCATCAAGGAATTTTAACTGGGCTCTTTTGGTAATGGGAGGCAAGGAAGGAACTGAAGGTCTTTTTCAAGCCAAGAACAATTACCAAACGCAGGAGTAGGAGATCGAGAGATGCGTACAAGTAACTAGAAGTACGGGCACATTTGGAAACGAGGAGTCGTGTTTCTCTAACTATGGAGGAACCCAAACTGCTCGTTGCGTGTTGCAATTTATTTGTAGTGTAATGAGGTTGTTGTTTTTTTTGCCTTTGTTTTGGTTTTAGAAAACGGAATGAACCCAAATCTCCCTGGTGTGGCGATTTCCTATTTTCAGAGAGGGGAAAATCCGCCTTGGAAGAATTAAAAGGGAGCGTTAAGTTAAAAGCAGCAACAGTCAAGCAAACAGGGGCGCATGAGATGAAAGGTGACCTTTCTTACAAAAGAAGCGCCCGCCCTGCCCGCAACAAAGGACCCGCTCCGGCGGAAAGTTCTCCTGCGCAAGCCTTACTGAAATGAATGGGAGCCAGGAAAGACAGTCTGATTGAGGGCGCCCCATTCATTTCAATGGAGCTGGCGCAGAATAACTTCCCGCCGGAGAGGTTCCTTTGTTATTGCTGCGTTAGATAAATATAAATATATATACACATTCACCCGGCTCCATTGTACTTAAAAGAACTTCTGCATGGGCATATATAGGATGCCGGAGTGTGATCCTGGAGCGTGTTTACTCAGCAGTCTGTCCCATTGTGCGCCATTGGGCTCAGCCTCTACTAAGCCTGCGTGAAAATGGCAAGAAAGCTGGAAGTTAGTGATCTGTCTGTCTCACAGCTCGACTAAGCCCAAATACCTTGGCTAAAGCCAATTAAACTAATGTTAATTTTTCGATGCAGCGTCTTTGAAGTCAACGGCTCTCCTAATCGCGTCGAAATCTAAGTAAATCGGCTTAACAGAGTTGTGGATGAGGCTGGAGACCGAGCGCTGCCGGCTCTGTTCACGCTAGCCTGTATAACTCAAACTTTCAGTCGCTTTTTATAAACTTCCTGAGCTGTTCAAACATTTGCTCTGGCCCAGTGTCGCCTACATTTTTTTTTTAATATTAAAAGCCAATAAATGGGCGGAGGAGACAAGTGGGCGACAGAGCTGACACACTCACACACAAGCAATATGCGGATAAGGTCCCGAGTCCATTTCTGTCTTGCTAAACTGGCTGTATTGTGGAGTTGATAGCAAGCCGCTAGTCCCTGCGACGTACGTCGGAGAATTTCAACGTCAAAACCGCCTTCAAGAGGACAGGCAACAGAAGGGCAGCCCCCTCGCCCTCCCCAAATCAAGAGCTCAGCCTCATCTGCATCAGACAGACGCTCAAGTCTCTCGGCTTCTCTCTGGGTGTGGAGCGCGGGGAGAACACGGACCTACCTCTTTGTATTTATTTCCGTATATATTTTGTATTTGCATTTCCATCTCAAAAAGATCCGCCTAAAACCATTATTTTGTACCTTTCTATGGCAAAGGTGCACAGACGGCAATGCCTTTAGTAGGCCCAGCAAAACATGTCGCGAAAATAGAGAGGGAGCTTTGGAGGGAACTGTGTATCTGGCCATTTGTGAACTAAAGTTAGGGTGCGCTCGGAGAGAGAAAAAGGTGGTTTGATATTGGTTAGCTTCTTCTCTAAGCTCTTCGGGCAGAGAATTTGCCTTTCTCTGTAAACTGTACGCTGGTTCCTGTAGCAGTCCTAACAGCATGACTACTACTAATTATTTAGTTGTCCTTTCTGGTTTGCAAGGGGTTGGTCTGGATGACCCTGGGGTCCCTTTCAGCTCAACAATGCTATGGTTCTGATTCGAATACTGAGGGCACAGGATGGCTGGGGGAAAAATGTGCGTAGGTATCTTCCCCCCTGTTTATTTTCTCCACGGGGAAACGTAATGGAACCTGGTTTTGGTGAAGCACAGCAACCCATAGAGAGGCCAAGACTGCGCGCTGCCTTTTGCGCGCTGCCTTCTTTCAGGAGAATGAGGTCAACCCCCTTACCAGTGCACGGCGCAAATGGGCAGGTGAGGTCAGGGGCTCTCTCCCAGGAGAGGAGGACTTGGGTGCTGGTGGTGAGGATGACCGCGCGCGTGTGTGTGCAGGATGTCGTCGAAAGCCTGGTGTGGACACCAGGATTGGAGGTCTTCAGCTTGGACTGTGTCTCCTGACTCTGGGGGAACGTGGAAGATTGGGAGAAGGTCCGACGAAACGCGCACGGGATCGGTTGCGTGTTGTTCATAAGCCCCAAATGAGACCCAAGGAACAGATGTGTTGCGTGTTGGGTGGGGCAGCGTGGGAGCAGAGGGCTGGACAAAGGGCACGAATGATCGCCTGGAGAAATGCATGTAGTTTCATACAAAAGCGGTTTTTAATATTTCCCTTCAATATGGGAAGCCGGGGAGCATTCTATTTAATAATAATAAACAACCCAACGTGGGTCCCGTCCCCCCGCAATGTCACGAGTCTGGAATTTAAAATTCCCTTCCCACACAGTGGAGAGAAAGAAAAAAACCTTAATTATATATAGAGGGTAGTAGTCGTAGTACTAGGTGTGGGGTGTCGCAATAATGCCTTTTATTCGACGCCTGGCGTGCCACCTGTTAACTCAGTAACGTCTCAGCCTTCACCGCGCCTGTTGCGTTTTCCAGTCCGAAGCAACTTTAAGTGGTCTTTAGCGATTAGATCAGGATTGCTTTATTATTATTATTATTATTATTATTATTATTATTATTATTATTATTATTATTATTATGCCACATCCCTCCAGGGCATGGCGGTCTCTCCCTCTGCGCATTTTGATGGATAAAGAGACAAGTGGCGCTGATGGGAAGCTCTTTAATCCCTGTGAAAGCAGGTATTTGCAGTTTATGTCCCAGAAAGGTAAGCTTACATGGTCCAGGAGGAGCAGTTTATTCCTCATGTAATTGTGAATTAAGGAACGGTGATCAAGGAAGAGGCACAAATTCATCAGGAAACCCCACCACCCCAAGTTGACAGACCGTGTGTGTGTGTGGGGGGGGGGGAGACTGAGAGACTTTATGGTTTAGAATATTACATAGCCCAGAATATTTTCCAGAATTTCCCGGGTCCTCGCTACAAAGCTGTAGCGGAGCCGAAGAAAGGTCTCGTTTCTAGAGTTAAATACTTGGTGGGCTGCATGTGTCTTGGTGCTTAAAATGCAGCTATTTTTGCGTGTCTTTAGTTATGTTCAGCTCTTTCTGCGTACCTTTAGCCGCTCTTGTGGAAAAAAGAAAAAGGGTAAATCCATTTTGGCTGGCTGGGAGATCACCCTGAAAACCTGGCGTGTACCCCCCTCCCCCCTTCCCCAAATGAATCAAAGACAACCAGGCAATACTGGCCTCTGCCTTCAGCGTCACGTCGAGGCACGCAAGAATGGTAACCCAGCAGCAGGAAGAGGCCCATTGGAACCTGGAAGATCGCGAAGGTTGCGCAGAGGAACGGCTGGAGAGGTCGCACGTCGAGGCCAAGCCTCCTAGGCCTGCGCACCACCAGCCTTGGCAGGTTTGCTCAGAAATCCGTCCCCCTCAGTCCAAATGGGGCTTCCTTTTAGATAAGAGGTCACAGGAGCTCTCTCCTTCCTTGTCCTGTCCTCCTGGATTGCACCGCAACCGTGGTCCCTCACCCCCACCGCCCTTGTTTCTTTGCCGCAAACTTTTCGAAGGACGAGGAAGAAGCCAATGATTTGGCCAAATAAAATAAAATATAATTAAAAACTATTAAACGCAGTGACTCCGCTTAGATGCTATCCTGTGCGTCCCAATCGGTTCATGTTCCACTTTTATGCCGTACTGGGATGCTATACAAAGGTGCCCGAAGATGGGGGGAAATGAGACAGTCCCTTAATTCTCTTATTATTTTGCTTAATTCTCCGGCTTTGTTTTCCCTGGGTGCCCCCGCCCGGCGGAGTTCAAGCCGCTGAACACCGCCAGGCGGCGCTGTCCATTCCCTCCATAGCAAGGCAGTGAAAGCAAAAGAAGGAACTGCCACCTCTATCCAAATGTGGACTTTTGCTCTTTTTTTGTTGCGCGCGGGGGCGGGGGAAATTGAGAACTAGTTGTTTCTGTCTCCTATGTTTCTCCTTCCTTCTTTCCTTCTTTCCTTCCTTCCTTCCTTCTGTGTTTTGCGTTGCTTTAGTTCCGTTTAAAGGGAGATGCAACGGCATGACCTCTCACACTTCGGAAACAAGAGAAGTCTGGAACCAGATAAAAATCACATTTTGTTATTTTTAAATGGAGGGTAGGAATAGGAGTAATCCTTGATGTAATCGGAAGGGAACGAGTGCAGTATCAAAGGAGGGGAGGAAGATAAGAGTAGATAAGACTGGGACGGGGAGGAGGAAGAGGGGGTCCCTCCCCTTCTTTCTATTCGAAATCTTCCTGGGAATCTCACTCCGAGGGGGCAGATAAAGCTGAATTTTCTATCCGAAGCAATTTAGGACTACAGGTGTTTAGAACAGATGGCATCTTATCAGAGATTCCTTGTAATAGATTTCCTTTCCACCACTTTTTGGAGATAGTGGATTTTTGTCTCGCCTTTTCAAAACAAGTCGCAAAAGTTTTGCAAATCCTAGTGATGCAATGCAACGGAACCTAGAATTATTTTTTTATTTTTTTATATTTGGAGGGTGTGGTGTTGCGAAAATTCAGGCCAGAAAGGCGAAGATTGACATGAAATTACATAATTCCCCTCCTGGGGTGGGGGGGGGGGCCCGCCACCATAAACACTATAAACTAAGCAGCTACTTGTAGCAAGCTGAATTTGAGCAAAACTTCCAGAGGAAAAACGCTTCCTAATTTTTGTCTCACTCCACCCCTCCGCCAAAGAATAAAAGAATCCAGCCAGCCAATGGAGAAGCCCAGAGTGAGATCAACCCGGCTGCGCGCCAGATCTCCTAACTAAAACAATAGAAGTAAACCACTGAAAGATTCAATACGTTTCCTGCGTGTGCCCACCCAGGTCGTTGGGGCTGATTTGCTCCACATTTTACCTCTCTCCCTTCAAACTGTGCGGTCATATTCTCGAGATAAATAATTGCAAAGGTATTCCATTTCCACGCAGCAGCTCACCCTCGCTCCCCAGACTCAATCTTCGTTCAGTGCTTTTGAGAGCTTTCATTTAATCCAATGGTCTCAGCGGTGAAGCGCGTTTCTAGAGCGGAAGAAGTCGGCGAAACCGAGCGGACCTGCTTGCGTTTCACTTCGCCCCTAAATTTCGCCATGTAACGTAACACCTTTCTAGTGACCTATAAATGCTTTTTTTAAAAAAAGGGAGGTTGGAATTAAAACCAAATTAGGAGTTTAGGCGGGGGTTTAAAAAGTTATACAAGTCGATTCTCCGGCACCGACGTACCAGTAAAATACAGAAGAGTTGTATCCATTTTAAGGCAAGCTCATTTAATGTACCGGGCTGTAATTTTAGTGTTTTTAGAGAGCTGCGGAAGAGCGAGGAAGGCGGAACGAAATGAGACTAGGAAGCGTAGCTGTGTGGATGTTCTGTAATTGTTGCAGGATCCGCTCAACGCAAACCCACTTTTTAATCCCCTTTGCAGGCAAGAACTAAGCGCAGGTTTAATCGTCCCATTGAAACGAATGGTGCAGGATCGTGCCCTTCCTAGTAAGTTTATTTGCTCAGCGATTCAGGCCTTGGCCTGTCGATACTTCCTTGGGGTGAATGGGTACCGAATCAAGTTAGTAGCCCTCCTCCATCCATAGTAATGGTGCTGTCCAGACTTACCGCACCAGCTTCACTATGTCTACTTAGAAGTAAGTCCTGTTGACTTCAGCGGGGCTTACTCCCAGGTAACTGGGGTTAGGAGTGCAGCCCAAGTAGTTAGCCCACCGAGCAGCTAAAATAGCCACTGAGATTCAAAGCAAACCTGGGGTGGTCATTTTAAAAACCATGGGCGTAAAAGAGAGCTCAGCTATGGTGATGTTGCTTTGAGGTTAAAAACCTTTTTGGGTTTTTAAATCTGACTGTTGATTTCTCTAGCTGTAAACGTAGAGGCGCTATGCACCAGGAAGTTCTCCAGCGCGAAAGAAGATGCAAGTGAACGAAAGCCGTGCGTCCACACCCTTCTCCTCCAACTCAGGCCCCATACATCTAAATGGAGTTTGGAGACGTTCCCGTTGGACAGAGTCCTTCAGGCCCCCGACCCCCCAATGGAAAAGCCGGCTCTGAGACCACCTTTCTTAGGCATTTTTCGCAGGGAAGAAAGGTCGTGGCTCAGAGGTAGCGAGCAGACTTTCCATACAGATGGTTCAATCCTAGACGCCACCAGGAAGGACTGGCATGCTGGGAATGCCTCCGGATTGAAATCTTGGAGATTTCTGCTACTGGTCAGTGTAGACAATCTGAACGGGACGGACCAATGGTCTGACGCGGAACAAAGCCGCTTCTTCTGTGTGTGTACACCTGTCCTTTCCAAGCAGTTTAGCTCCGTTCTGACGCGAGCGTGCCAATACGTTTCGTTCGAGTCATCCCTGACGCGTCAAATCATTCCTAGCTCGGCAGGTCTGACAGCCTTGAACAGGCCGACCATTGCGCTATGGAGAGCAAAAAAAGAATCCCTGATCTGAGGTCTGAGGATCCCTCTCATATCTGAGGGGTAGGTAAAAGAAGGGAGCTTTTCCTAGCACCAGAAGTCCGAATCCTCAGTGTGTATTCAACGACAGACCCGCCAAATCTCCAGGGAGGGACAGTCCCGGATTTACAGAAGGCGTCCTGGTTTCTGATTTGATCCCGGAATGTCCACTTTACCAGGGTGCCCCTATTTACATAGCAGAAATGCTGGAGGCGGGTATGATAGGATGTCCCTCTTTTCATCAGAGAAATGTTGGAGGGTTTGGAGTTATGCGACTCCAGAGCTATGAAGATAAATAACTATATATACAAACTTTAGAAGACATCTGAAGGTAACCCTGCATAGGGAAGTTTTTAAAAATGTCAAATATTTTATTATGTTTTTATAGATGTTTGAAGCTGCCCAGAGGGGTTGGGACAACCCAGTCAGATGGGTGGAGTATAAATAATAATAATAATAACAATAATAATAATAATAATAATAGATTAGGACGTCCCTATTTTCATTGGAGAAATGTTGGAGGGTATCTCATTTTTCCAGGTCAATGTGCTGGGAATGGCAGCCTTAAGACTGAAGGGCATGATCTAACAGGAAGTTCTCCTGCTCATGTCTCACTTTGCCAAGAGCCAGCTCTCTCTTGTGACTCCCATTTATTTCATTGGGGAGATGTCTAGGCAACATGCACTCCAGCTTGAGAAACAGTGCAATGAAATTGCAACTGGCAATTCTGCAAGGTAGTTTTTTTTTTTAACACGGAAATGACACACTTTCCACAAAATGCACCATTTTTTCTCACCTGCTGCCCAGAGTCCCACTGACTTTCCCCAAGGAACCCTCTGTTGCGAGGGATCCCATTTTTCCCATCTGCAATATTTTGTGCTGGAAAATGCTCTCTCTTTCCCTCCTCCAGCTAGCGGCACATACAGCTGAGTGAGCGTTAAACATTTATTCATCCATTTATTCATTCATTTAAAACATTTGTAGCTAAGTGCTGGGAAACGGTTATTTTTCTCACCATGGAAGTGCTACTTTGAGGAGGGTGTGTGTGTGGATCACTTGGCAATAATCGTGCAAGTAGTGGTGAATTATGCTGTACGCATCATCTGGAAACACCCTTAGGGTCTTTCTCTGCACAATGACCGCCTTCCCTTTTGAAAGCACGTTTATCAGTTTGTACCACTCAGCTTTCATGCCTTCCCTCAGGAAAGCCCTATTGCTTGAGGGGTATTGAATCTGCCTGTCAGGAATTCCAGGAACTGAACCAGTAAGCTCAGGGGAGGGCCCAGCTTGCTGAGGCACCAGGGTTTGCATCTGTGGTCAGTCCCTGCAATTGTCAGGCAGTATAATGCCTCTGGCTTGGCTGGGCCTAGTGCTGAGGTAGCCCCTGCCCTGCCCAGCAAAAACCTACCATAATTGGTTTAGCAAATGGTGAAAATGCAGGCAATTAGAGCTGGCCCAAGACATTTTGGCACCCGAGACGAACCACAAAATGGCAATGTCCCTCCCTACCAGGGAAGAAGGAGCGAGTGACGATCTACATCGGGAACAAGGGGAGGATGAAGATCTACATCAGGATGTGCTGGCCCTGGAGATCCTGCCACCTGAGGGAGTCACCTCATTTTGCCTCAAGGTTGGGCTGACCCTGGGGAGGATTTTGTGCATTGTGTGTGTGTAGGGAGGGGAAGCAAAATTTTCTGCATGTATCAAGCTTCCCCTTTGGCAGTGGCGATTGTAGCAGTCCCTCTTATCCTTTCTTAAAACTTCTGTGGCAATGGTAGTGGCTGATGGTCCTTGGCTACCATTGTTTCCTTCCAGAATGCCCCTGGAGTATGATATAGCATCATAACATAGCATTAGTCTGAAAGGGTGGAAAATGGAATCCCCAGACATGAATGTGTGGTTCAGCTAGAGGCTGGTCCATTAGGACAAGCAGCCCCCACCTACCTGTCTTCTTATTTACAACCAATCAAGGGGCTCTGCCTGCCATTGGCTCTAGCTGTACCTACTGTGGGTCTCCCTGGCTTTTGCCCAACCAGTCCCACTCCTGCTCAGCTTTAATAAATTCTAGCAGCCTGACTTTCTGCCTTGCCCTCTTCAATGACACTGTCTTTTCTGCACTTCATTGTCCAGCTTCCTGACAAAATAATCCATTCGGGTAAGGCTTGCTATTGCCCCTACACTGCCACTATTGCACACTTAAAGACAAAAAGGACAACTCTTCCAGAATTCACATTTGCTTATATTGTGATTAAAAGGGGAAATTTAGCATCATAGATATGGCTTTTGTACAGCTGGTGCCAAGGGTGGCAGGATGGGTAAACAACTACCCCCAAAACTGCTGGCTCACTCTGTCTGAATTAGAAATACAGAAAGGTTTGTGTCTGCGAAGGTTGGAACAGCATAAGAACATGAGCCAACCACAGCACTGCCATGAGAATCTGCCTCAACCCTTCCTTGCCCTTTTCTTTTCTTTCTAGACCTTTTTCTTTGTAGAGCTTCCTCTGAGATTGAGATGCAATTGGAGGCCACAGGCAGAATTCCTCCACCCTTGCTCCATCACATTCAGTTAGCAACCAGCAGCACAGAGGCCTAGAGACACTGGCATGTGCCAATGACACCATCATTGCTAGTCAGGGCCTAGGGGCCTCTCGGCATCGACAGGGATGCCCAGAATCAGACAGACCCGACAGGGGAATCCAGTCACATTAAAAAAAAGAAGAAGCTAAGAATTCATGAAATGGTCCTTGTTTCCTGAATGGTAGCAACCTTGTTTGTTCCAGCTCTGATGACCACCTGTAACTTATAGCCGCAGGCATATTTGAGGGTGCACTCCTGCTGAAAGCCCTATCGGAGTCCGAAACCTTGTCATTTCTATAGATTTCCCTAGATTGCCAGAATTTGACGATGACCAGGAAGACCTTCCACCAGCTCCATCTGTCGAGGACTGCAGCCTTTTCACTCAGATTCTAATGTGATCGAATCACTCTGTAATTTGTAATGTGAGGAGCTCTCCGTGGGATTGTCCAGAAGGTGTGGCTGTTGTAGAACTTTGCAGTATTGGTGGGCATGGCCCCTGCTTAAGTTGAAATGAGATAAACAGTGCCGCTGTACATGCACAATGTTGGGGTCCTCAGTGGGTCGCCTTGGGCCAGTCATGGTTGTGGTCTCTCACCTTAGAGGGTTGTTTTTGAGGATAGAACGGGGAGGCGGAAAACCATGCACACCTTGAGCTCCTTGGAGGAAAGTTGGGCTATAAATTTATAGGGACAATGAAAGTGGATTTCAGATAAGCTGGGTTCTGATCCCTCTCTTGTTCAAAGGCTTTGGTTTTGCAAACCGTGTTGCTCACACTGCAGTCACTTGCATGCTTGCTGAGATACATGTCTCACTAAATTCAGTGCGACTTTTTTACCCCTTAGTAAGTATGTTTAGGATTGCAGTCTTTCTTCAAAGACTTTGAATGACAGCTTTCTGCAGGGTTTCCTTTGCCCTGGAAAGGGCTCTCTGCAAGTGGACTGTGTGAAAACCACTGTTCTGAACAAAACATGCACAGATTGCCTTGGTACCTTTGCCCTTGCTATGTTCTCTGTGACTCAGATAGAACCCGTTTCCCACCTTTGAAATCCCCAATGTCTGTTCTCTGATTATGTATATGGAGAATGGGAGCTGTCGGATCCTGGCCCCTCTAGAAAACTTGCTCTCAGTAATGTTCTGAGGCAGGGAGCCATGTGCTCTCTTTTTGTGCAAGCTCCTGCATTTCACTCTTACAATAGCTGCCTTTCAATGATGGGTGAAGTGATTCATATGTATTTTTGTGTGTGTGAGTGAGTAAGTAACCGAGCACTTAGAGCACTGCTGAGTGATTTATCATCAATATAAACCACCATTTAGGAAGTCACTAGGAAGATTGGGGTGGGTGGGAGGTGGGCAGAGAGAAGACCTTCCAACTTGAAACCATGAAAGTAAAACAAACAGGAGAGAAGGAAGGGGAGAAAATATTTGGGCACATGTAGCTCCTCTGAGATGAAAAGCAAAAATGACTTTGAAACAAATAAATATTTCCAACATCAAATACCAGTCCATTTGAATAAAACACCTAAAAGCTAATAGATAGGGCTCTATCATACAACTTGCATCACACAAAGGAACAGAACCCAGAATGGAGCTGTGTAGATCAGAGGTTCCCAAGCAAGGCAATAAACTTGTACTGTAAGTTAACTATACAGAGGATTCTTAAAAATTGCCTGGTCTTTCCAACTGAACACAAGGAGACATGCCCAAGCCTCTTTCCCAAGTTTTCACATTTTGCAATTTCCATTTGGTGGTGGTGGTGGATACTTCAACATCTGTCCACAGTTGGTCGTAGTTGCAGAAAAATAACTTCCAGCGACTACCTGATATCAGATGAATCCATGATGAGTAAGATGCATCCTGGTTGCTATGGGGGTAAGGAAGGGCAAACTAGAGATTCCAAGGACTCATTATCAAGGTGGAAGCAGGAAAAGGGGACAACACCTGCCCTTTAAGACCCCAGGGATTCCTATTGCCTGGTGTCCCAACAATTAACTCCTCTATCTCAGTTCTGATTTCACTCTTTGGCTAAAAACACTGTCAGGCAGGATACGTAATTGCTTAGAAGGTGCCTGCACACTTTGTTTCATAATTTCCTTTCTAGGAGGGATAGATTCTATTTTATAGCAAAAGTCAGAGGCCCCTGTTGGCTGTGGCTCTGGTACCCTCTTTTTCCACTGAAAGTGGCAGCCTTCTGCAGCTGCTATTCTTTTTTCTAAACAACAACAACAACAACAACGGGACTTCCGGGTTAGCGCCATCGCCGAATGGCGGACTCCCTCCGAGCTCCGGAGGGAGTCTGCTCGGCAGGGGCTGGGTCCTACCGCGCCGGCGACGCGGGGACCCTTAAAAACCACGGGCACGGAGTCCGTGGACATGGGTGACTCGGCTTGCACCATTAGCGCCCTCCCGACTCGTGAAGGAGCCTTTTAAAGGCTCGGATCGGGTGCCGGGGAGTGGCGTGGTGCTTTGAGTCCACTGCTTTCCCTGCCGGGCGCAGCCGCATGCCATTCGACGGAGAGCGCTGACTTCTTCTATTGAAAATTTGGACTATTAACAACAACCCGTGAGTAATTGGGAAACCGGGTTCAAAATTCTGGATTTGGCACGAGCGGGGCGATTTAAAAGGAAGTCAATCCCCCCCCCTATTGTAAGCATTCCAAAACAAGGACTGGGTAACCAAGGTCCAAAGGGAAGTATGTCTCTGATAAAAATCATTAATTTCACGATGGGAAATTATAAGAAATGTGCTGGAGGAGAAGAGTGGAGGGTGAGAAGAAAAATGCAGCCCCCCTGGGAACCGGGGCGATTCGTGGAGCCTGGTGAAGAGACGGAGACTTTGACAGCTGTCAAAGTGGCTGTCAAAGCTGGAGAATATAAAGAGGACTTTATGAGGACCTTGCTGGTTAATTTTGCTACAATTTGCTATAATATGGATATAAACTGTTGGAAAATAAGCAACAATTTGACTTTTGGATTAGAGGATACAAAGTTATTACAATCCCCCTAGAGGGGTTTCAGGATACTACAAGAACGGTCGTAAGTGGAAAAATACCCTGGGATTCGCACAGGATTTGTTATCTTCTGGGAAAGCTGCAAAACTGAAAGAGTATTTTGTCTACAGAGGAAGACAATGGAATTTTTTATTGAAGAAAGAAAGGGACTGGACGTAAGTTTTTGTTCCTGAATAACAAACCTCTGCAGAGACACTAGATTTCTGAATTAGAAAGTTTTAGCAGCTGAACAGGACAAGAAACCTGAGAAAGTGAGGAATAAGAAGAATAAAGGACTGATTACGACACGGAAAGAACAACGGGAGGAGTGGTAAAGATTAAGGAAATTAAAGGCTTTTGTTAGATTGGACATTTGAAGTCAAATATTATTTAAATTAATAAACTAAAAGAAAACCGGCAAGATGGAATCGGGGAGAAATCTGGTCATGAAATGAGACCTCCAAGCTGATAATATATAGACTGATGGACATGGGGAATTCAAACCGGGGAAGGGGGGGGGGGAGATTTGAAATCCAAAGGCTGTGTAACCATTTTTTGAATTTTTCTATATCTCTTATTTTCTATTTCTTTACATAACTTACGCATGTTATTTTACTTTGATTGGACGTGTTTAAAAAAAGGGAATTTGTGGAAGGAACTGGGGTGGATCTTGGGGAAAATCTTTTTTCTTTTCTGTTAATGATGTGGGACGGTGGTAAGATTTGTACAATTCAATTTGGATAGTGGGTTAAATAAATTAAGCTTTAAATTTGGGAGTGAGAGCTTGTAGAACCAAATTAAGGAAAGGGGAATACAATTGGGGCGGGGGGGGAGTCCCAGAAAGTAGGGAATGAAAGTAAGGTTTTTAAATATCTTCTTTCTTTTGTCTTTTTTCTTTGTATTTTTATATTTTTGGAAACTTTAATAAATATGATTTAAAAAAAACAACAACAACAACAACAACGTGGTAGACTAGTCTTCAGCATATTGCTTAGTTTGGCCTTACAGTGCAGGGATCTGCAGACTGAGGTTGCTGGTTTAGGCACTTAAATGAAGCCCAGGCTGCAGACAGGCTAAAAAAAGAGATGTGGTGTTATGCTGATGGGGACCTGCTGAGCTTAATGGAACAAGGTAAAAAGGTAAAGGTAAAGGACCCCTGACCGTTAAGTCCAGTTGTGAACGACGACTCTGGGGTTGCGGCGTTCATCTTGCTTTACTGGCCGAGGGAGCCGTCATACAGCTTCTGGGTCATGTGGCCAGCATGACTAAGCTGCTTCTGGCGAACCAGAGCAGTGCACAGAAACGCTGTTTACCTTCCCGCCGGAGTGGTACCTATTTATGTACTTGCATTTTGACATGCTTTCAAACTGCTAGGTTGGCAGGAGCTGGGACTGAGCAACGGGAGCTCACCCTGTCATTGGAATTCGAACCGCTGACCTTCCGATCGGCAAGCCCTAGGCTCAGTGGTTTAGACCACAGCGCCACATGGGCTATTAGCTGCAAAGAACATGATAAAGGGGAAAATATGCTTCTTGCTCTGGGAACATCATGATCAGGGGACAGGTTGGGTCCCAAAGGGCTCCTTTATTTTCTTCCACATGGCTGCCACCATTGGCATGGGTTCAAATCCAGGCACTATAATCCCTCATACTGGGCTGAGTGATCTCCACAAAAAGAGTGTGCTAGGCAAAGAGACAAACTGCACCTCCACGTCTGTGCAAGCAACAGGTCCTAATGACGGGCGTTTTGCTAGTTCTTGTGAAACTAGAACTAGCATTATGGTATAATAACTCAGTCTCTGGTGTATGTGCACACAATTCAGGATAGACCAAAAATGAGAACAATCGTCATACAAAATCAAACTGAAAGGAGGGACCTGTGCTACTTGCAAGATGGGAAACAATTACTGCATCACAACATTAAAGTCTATTGTTTTATTGTCTCTTAAATGCTATAGTCATTTGTCTAACATTATCCAAGCCTTATTGTAGCACTCATCTTTGATGAGGGACTTCTCTCTTCTTTTCAAATGTGTAATTCTCTAATATGTTCCCCTCCCCCAGCCCTTGTTGCTGTCTGTTAAATTTGTAAATCAGAAGGAGGAAAGAGGGATTAAATTGCTGAGGTGTACAAAAACAGAGGAAGAAAAATGTATTTTTCACATGACAGAAACTGGCTCCAAGGCCCGTTGAAATGACTGGTAGCTGCACCAATGGCCCATTCATTTCAGCGGTTTGGGTTTGTGCAGGAGAACTTATTGGAGGATTGTGCCCTCATTAATCCATGCTTTTGTGTCCATGCAGCAGGGCAGGACCTTCTCTGGAATAATGAGATGGTATTCTTCTTTCATCTGCAACAGAAAAGGATGGCATTTGGAGTTTAACTGCATCAGCAGAAGTTTGAACCGAACACTGAATTCCTGCTGGAGAAGCACACTCTATTTCTGGATGTAATCACATTGAGTTTAGGGGGAAATAATAATAATAATAATAATAATAATAATAATAATAATAATAATAATTGTATACCGCTCTATATCCATAGATCTTAGGGTGGTTCACAACATAAAATTACAGCATAAAAACAAAATATGTACATAATAAGAACAAAAACAAGTCAATAATTCCCCCTTCCACAACACATTTAAAAGGCCACCAGATGTCAATCAGCCAAAGGCTAAGTTTATTAAAAGAAATACAGTGGTACCTTGGGTTAAGAACTTAATTCGTTCTGGAGGTCCGTTCTTAACCTGAATCTGTTCTTAACCTGAGGTACCACTTTAGCTAATGGGGCCTCCCGCTGCCACTGCACGATTTCTGTTCTCATCCTGAAGTAAAGTTCTTAACCCAAGGTACTATTTCCGGGTTAGCGGAGTTTGTAACCTGAAGCCTCTGTAACCCGAGGTACCACTATACATGCTTGACAGAACAGATCCTAGTTCTAACTACGTTGGAGAGACAAAGTTCTGTGCTCTCAGCAGCAGACATACAAACATGTCCCCAAGGTAAGGATGAAGGAGGAGCAGGAAATGAGGTCAGCAAGAGTATAAATCTTACCTTAGGGAAGGTTAGCACAGAAAGGGCAGTCTGGGAAACTTGGAGGTTCCTCTCTCTATCTACTCTTTCCCATTGCAAGTAGAGTTGCATCCCAACACTTCCATAAGAAACAGGGGAAGGAGGATATTTATTTATTAGTTAGTTAGTTAGACTTATACCCCACCTTTCTTATAAGATGGAGCTTAAGGAAGTTTATGAAAAACAGAAACAGGTATGTGTGACACACCCACATGCCCCACCATAGCAAAATATCCTGTTAGAATATGCCCCATCTTAGAGGAAAAGCCAACACAAAAATGGGTAACTCAAAGGCAACACGATATATAAAAATGTATGAAATATCAGCTGAACGATAACAGCACCACTCTGGAATTCCAAAAAGACAGAGATGAAATCCAATACAAGACGGAGATGAAAATCCAATACCAAACCGAAACAGTGAACTTCAAAAGTCATGTTGGAAAATGTCAATACGAAAGATGCCCAAAGGAGAATATAATCTACTTCAGCGATTGTGGCCGGCTCTTTGGGCTTTCACCCTCTTCCTTCTCCTACACCATTGCCCTGTGGCCTTTCCTGGCCATTCCCACTTGGGACATGGGTGACACTGTTGTGTTCATTTCTTTTTTCTCTCTCTTCCTTATTTTATTTTCCTTCTACCCGACTGTCCTGCTCCTTTGATGTTCTCTTTTGTTGTGTGCGTACATGTGTGTGGCTGGATGGATAAAGGACTCAACTAGAGACAATGTGCATTTTTTTCCTCTAAAGCAGGGGGTCAATTTTGGAGTAGGACAAAATTGTTGTGGCAATACTGGAAGGGAAGAGTGTGGGATCAAGGAAGATTTTTTTTTTAAATAATACAATGAAACTGTTTAAAGCAACTTTTATGGATCAATACTGTCAGGGAACTGCCATCGGAGCTAGAGGCGGAGGGAAGGCTCCAGAGGGATGGCGGAGAGGGTCCCAGTAGGGAGAGAGGCAGCCCGTCCGCTGGGGAAGGAAATCAGCGTAACACCAGTAGAGAAGGGGGGCAGATGGGGGAATCCAAGAGAGGAGGCTCCAAGACTCCTCGCCAGAGACCAGCGGAGAGAGTACGGGTCCTCCGCTGCCCACACCCTCCCTGCGCAGAAGGCTTCCGCGCAGGGAGTCTAGGCGGAGTCTAGGCGTCAAGGAACTTTTGTGCTGGAAGAAGTTTAAGAAACGCCCACTGACGGATTCTGCCAGCGACTGAGACAGTCACGATGCTGGAGGCTGTTCAGTCAGAAAGGGTTTAACCAGGTAACCTCGCCAGGAGTGGCGGCAACTTACGCACAAGCAACCCCTAAATCCATTACAAATACATTTGCATTTAAATTTAATTCTGAGGGACTTTCTCTTTGCCACATCTGGTGGTCCCGCGGAGAACCTAGCTGACTTCTGAAATGGAGCAAAGATCTAGGTGGTCGAAATGGTCTAGCCTACACTTCCTCCCCTGTCTGCAAGAGCCTGATCAGCAACCTGTTTTGTTGTTGTCGTTTGAGAGCTTGAAGCAATGCAATAGCAAGGATGGTTGATGGAACATCAATGGAGAAAGACTAGCGATGAATCTACTGGCTGGACTTCAGCAGTGCGGAAGAAGACAAGATAAGATGTACCGAAAAATCTTTAATTAAATCCTGAAAAAGCTTTAATTAAAGTTTGTCCTAGTATGAACTGATTCTTTCTGTTTCTGCTAGTTGGTATGCCTCCCACTTTTGATTTTTGTTTAGCAGTTTTTAAAAAAAGATAGTGAATTATCATTCTGTGTGGGTGGAAAGGTGGGCTAAACACATTACAAATAATCATTTAATATTATTTAACTGTTCCTTCTTCACCTTCTATTCCTACAGCTCAACCATGCCACCCTGCTGCCTTTTGGGAGGTTCATAGACCTAAGCCAACACAAACAACTGTACACACTGAGGAATGCTGTTTTTCCAGAGTTTCCAAACGCTAGGAGAGGAGTTGTGTAGACATCCATGCAACTGTATGTGCAGGGGTCTTTTCAGACAGTGCAATGAATGTATACTGCCAATGTGATGGCTCCCTGCATTCATAGTAAAGGTAAAGGTAAAGGGACCCTGACTGTTAGGTCCAGTTGTGAATGACTCTGGGGTTACGGCGCTCATCTCGCTTTATTGGCCGTGGGAGCCAGCGTACAGCTTCCGGGTCATGTGGCCAGGATGACTAAGCCGCTTCTGGCGAAACAGAGCAGCGCACGGAAATGCCATTTACCTTCCCGCCAGAGCGGTACCTATTTATCTACTTGCACTTTGACGTGCTTTTGAACTGCTAGGTTGGCAGGAGCGGGGACCGAGCAACAGGAGCTCACCCCGTCACGGGGATTCGAACTGCCGACCTTCTGATCAGCAAGTCCTAGGCTCTGTGGTTTAACCCACAGCGCCACCCGCGTCCCTCCAGGACACAGACTGCCAATGTGATGGCTCCCTGCATTCATAGTATATTCAGTAAAAATGTCCGGAAAGGACTTAGCCTTGCCTGTTGGCCCCCACGTAGCTGAGAGGCCAGCCTCTTCACCCAACCCCAGTTGAATTGGCAAAGCTAGGATTGCTGTTTCTCTTTAACAATCTGAGGGATGGTACATGGATGTTTTGCTTTTATTTATATAGGGGTCTCACATATAAAGTACAAAGCAGCTGCTTTGCTTTGCTTTATTTATTTTTCAAAAGAATCACAGTGACTGAAACTAGCCAAAAAGGATTGAATGATGGAAATGTAACAGCTGCAACCTCACCACCTTAGGAGCATAAGGTTTATTAAGGTTTCTGCGGCACGGACAGGAAAATACAAATGGCAAGCCAAGGTGGTTAAGCTGGGAGGGGAGAAACAAGCCTTTATGTTTAAAAGACCTCCGTTTTGTCTTTCTTGTATGAAAAATGAAGAACTAGAAAGAGATTCTTCTTTCCTTCTTTTTGAAATGGCAGGCTCTTTTTCTCCTGTGGACTTGCCCGCCCCCCCTTTTTGCAGACTGTGCTGGAGTGCATGATGGAGTGCTGTCAAACCAAACAACTATCTGTCTTGTCTGTTCAGTGCTTTTTCCTGTCTCTAATATTGAACCTGCCAGTGATCCTGAACGCACAACATATCAAAGACACTGCTTTTTATTTTTTTAGAGCTCATCTTCCTCCAAGGTATAGGAAGCTCTGAGCAGTCTGTACAGGGTCACTTTCACCCGGAGGTGAGGAAGCTTGGGAGATCTATTGCATGGAAATCTGTTTACATGAGGCTAAGCCTGGTCCCTGTGATGCTGAAGACTCTCCTCCAGACTGCCAGGCGGAAGAAGCTTTTGCCAAACCAGGAGAGAGAGAGCGGGGGGTGGGGAGAGACAGTTCTTTCCTTTTCCTTTCACATTATGAATGTGGCCACAGAGAGGTTAGGCTGGCCTCAACCAGAGCCAGGGCTTTTTCGGCTGCGGCTCCGATCTGGTGGAACGCTCTGCCACAAGAGATTAGGGCCCTGCGGGACTTGACATCTTTCCGCAGGGCCTGCAAGACAGAGCTGTTCCGCCAAGCCTTTGGCCATGGCACAGCCTGACTCCCTTCTTTGGCAATCTTCACAGAACTCTAGCCCAATGGTTGCCATCAATTTGATTTGAAGTAATTTTTTAATGAAATGATTGTATTATTTTATTGTTGTTAGCCTCCCTGAGCCCGGACTCAGCTGGGGAGGGCGGGATATAAATAAAAATTTATTATGATGATGATAATGAATGTGGGCACAAAAAGGCAACGTTGAGCAAATAGACCCAACTCTGTGATCTGCTCAATTACTGTCGATCATGCAGATGTGGATGGTTGGTGGGAACAGAAAGTCAAGGCAGTTATACCTGAAAAGGAGCACTGTTCAAATTCCAAAACCTGCCCACTATTAGAACTAGAAAAGCATGGACCAAGACATCAGATTATCCATGACAGGAAGTAGAATGAGGGCGGAGGAAGGCATATGGCCTGTGGGGACAACTTTGCTGAATTGACCAGCCATTATGAGTGACAGGTGGATTGATAAAAGGAAGCTACTGCAGGCCTGGACTAGAAGCATTGCAAGTGGCTTGTTCTATAAAACTTATTGGAAGCCAAATGTTCCTTCTGTGCATTTGAAGCAAATGATATTTCCTAATCCACTTCGAGTGTGCTTTGTCCTGAAAGGAGGCACATAAGCCTTATAAGCAAACAAAACATTTTAATGGACTAGAAACTTCTGTTGATTGGTATGCAGGAAACTCTTCCAGAATACATTTTTCCTTTTGTTAAAATGAAACTGATGTGACTCAGCCTGGCTGTCTGAAACCCACTTCGTTTGTACATTTCTTGACATGGTTGTGGCAGTCTCTGCTTTGGATAGGCACGAAAACATCTGCCCATGTGGTTTCACTTCCTGACATATGCATCATCTTGTAAGCTTTCTAGGAAACCAAACTGTGTGGGTAGAAGCCTCTCTCTCTCTCTCTCTCTCTCTCTCTCTCTCTCTCTCTCTCTCTCTCTGCAAAGGTGCTATCCTTGTGCGCACACACTCATAACACCAAAATCTACTGGTGGGAGGAACATGAGGGTATGTTGGGGGTGTGACTACAGCCAAGGTCAGGCTGGATTCTAATATAGTGGTACCTCGGGTTAAGTACTTAATTTGTTCCGGAGGTCCGTACTTAACCTGAAACTGTTCTTAACCTGAAGCACCACTTTAGCTAATGGGGCCTCCTGCTGCTGCCGCTGCGTCGCCAGAGCACAATTTCTGTTCTCATCCTGAAGCAAAGTTCTTAACCTGAACCACTATTTCTGGGTTAGCGGAGTCTGTAACCTGAAGCGTATGTAACCTGAAGCGTATGTAACATGAGGTACCACTGTACGTACCTCAAAAAGTCATGCTATATTTTAGAAACCAAGATGGGCTTTTCGGTGAGCTCTTGGGGGTAGTGGTGGAGCTTCATGCTCTGGCACCGGGGGGGTGGGGGGTGGAGAGCAGGCGGTGGCGGGGCTGGCGTGCATCCTGGGGGCGGGGTGCCCAGCATGGGCAGGGGGGCAGCCGCGATGGCAACCTGGGGATCGCACTGCCAGGGGTGGTGCTCTCCCCCCTCACTCCTCTTCCTCCACCAGTGCTTGGGGGCAGTGTAAAAGGTGTGATTCCATCCACTGTGCTATAATACAGTTGCCATTCATTTTATCGAGGCCTGACAAGTAACTCTCTGTTGCACTGCGGTCTCCATTTCTGCTAGGGAAGGAACTGGCCTTGCACTGACTGTTGCCTTATTATATAAAAGATATATATATGAGAGAAACTACTTCAGTTCCCAAGAAAACATCCCACTTAACAGGGAATCCATAATGCTAAACATGTTTGTTTAAAGAACTACATTACTGCTACATATTATAAGTGAGCGGCTTGAGTCACACATTGCAATTAGCAGATTGGTCATAAGTAATCTATCGAGCACGTTGGAATGCCAACAATTGATCGCTTACTGGTATTTCCTTTAATCATTAGTTTGTATTGAGTACCGTAAATAGAATTTTAACATCATAAAGAAGGCCAAAATTTACCCCTCTCTATGTATTGCAGTAATATGTGGCGGTAACAAATATCCATGTAATCAACTGCTTTCAGTTCCAAAAATGGAAGCACACAAATGTTTTCCTGAAATGCAGGCAGACTCAGTGAGGTGAACTGCTTGCTAATCAGCTACAAAGAAGCATTTTATTTACTTTTTTTAAACTTCCACCATTCTTCCTAGGGAACTCCAGATCGAGAATATCCAATGTTTTTTTTTGCATTTAGTCTTCACGGCATACCTGGGAGGTAGGTTAGACAGTGACTTACCAAAGGCCATTGGGTAATTTCATGGCTGAGCAAGGAAGTAACTCCCCAGTCCAACCAAGAACGGATAACTCTTTAGACCAGTGGACATTCTTACGGCACACTTAATATTGCAAATCCAGGTTCTTTTTTATGGATTATCTTGAGAGATGTCACCAGAACTACGTACTTCTGTATTATCACCCATCCTAAACATTTAGGATAGAATGAAGAAACAAATAAAATGAAATAAATATTGGAAGAATTTATGTTAGGCTGGCTTCTTGCTTAGGTGTTGTTTTATTTATTTATTTATTTATTATTATTAAAGTTTTCTTGGTTGACAAAGGTATGTGCAATGTCTCTTTTTTCTATGGAAAAGTTACATTTTCCACAGGTCAGTTTCATTTGTTGAGACATTAGGGATACATTAGGAAGAAAAGGGGGGAAGAGGTGGAGGGGGGAAAGGTGAGTGGGGGTGGGGTCAGGTGGCAATGTTTCTATTTTACTTAATATATGTGGGGTTTTGTGTCAGCGTTGTTTGTGCGGGTTCTCTTTGCTATTCGCTTGTGTTCCTTTGGTGGTGAGAGAGGTTGGGGTTGGCCTAGGGTGTGGTTGTTTGTTTGTGATTGGCTGTGTTGAACTTTGTTTTCGTGTGTGAGTGGGGTGGGTGGGTGTTTTTGAATCAGGTTAGCCATATTGATTCATATGTTGTTGGTGGATTCTTGTCATTGTCTTGTTGGGCTGTGTATATGATAAAGGGGAGCCATACCAGGGTGAAGGCATCTTCTTCTATTTATCCCCGTGTCAGTTTCAGTTTATTGGTTAATTTTTCTAGTAAGGCTGTTTCCCATACTATTTGGTACCATTGGTCCATGCCTACTCCTGACAGGTCTCTCCAGTGTCTGGCTATGATGTTTCTGGTTGCTGAGAGGAGGTGGGTTATGAGTTCTTTGTGTTGTTCTAGAATGTTGGCACTGAGTTGAAAGCAATTTCTCTCCCCCACATGTGGTTTTGGCAATGTCAAAAGCTCTCTCCTTTTCTTAGGAACTTTTTGGCATGCCTTGTAAAAATGGTTCCCCAAACACCAGAATTGCCCTCGCTTGCCACCACTCTCAATAATCTTCACTTGCTGTCTGTAGCATCATCACACACATAGTATTAAAACACAATCTCCAATTGTGTGGAACTATCACATGTGACTAATCCAAGAAGCAAAAAGGAGTGTCAGCCAAAGGAAAAACCAGTTGCAGCAGCAGTAGTTTGGGAAAACAACAGCACTGAACAGGATTGAAAATAAAGGTGAGCATTCTCACATTCTAGATAGTTCGGGGAGAAAGTGCTAGTGTTGACCCCAAAATTAAAAATGGCAAATAGTCAGTGCTGCGCTAGTAGTTATATACCTTTAATTATATCCATCTAAGTACTGACCTCAATAAAATATCAGGGAGATGTTTGTCCTTAGTTGAAATTCACTTAAAAATTGCCCAAGCCCTAATCTTTCACTCTGGATCTCTGCTTTTCTTTCATATAGGATCCAACTCTTGACTGATGTGTCTGGGCAATTATCTGAAAATAGTGATGAATGTTACTGCGAGAGTGTGCAAATGACTGTTTGGAGAGTTTAAGCTTGGATCTATATTAAAGGTCAGTTATCAAAGGAAAAAGGAGGCAAGAATGGATTATTTGCTGCTTGCAGTGAGTAGAATTTTAATGTCACTAATGTTGGTTATTAAGCGTAAATACACAAAGGTTTAAGGAAATCAAAGGATGAATGCAGTCCAGGCTTCTGGCAGTGTCCCCAAGGAGTGCTTGTGCTCAGGGAAGAGCTAAAAATACAAAATGAAGCTTTTTAAGGCAATTGGGTTTTAAAATATACCCTCTTTGTGAATGGCCCAATTCATTTTGCAAAGCATTCTCCTAGGGTTCAGAGACCCCTGGCGCACAGGAAGCCAGGCCAAATCTATCCTCCCGGGTTCCTAAGAATCAAGAGCTCGACAGGTTTTATGTTTAAAGAAAACCACTTATAAGTCAATTAGCTTTTAAAAAGACTTTGGAACACCCTTGTGAGCTTGACCAATGATTCAGAAGATAAAAGACAAAGCAAGCCTCTCAGCAGAGTTCAGTTCTTCTGTTTCAAATTTCTGATGTGTAAACTTAAAGAGAAAGAGAGAAATTGTTTATAAAGCAAAGCATTCATTGTCCAGTAGCCAATGATACTGGGTGACTCTTGTATTAACAAATGTAACACATTACAATTGCAGACTCTGGAATCCTCAAAAGACAAAACCAAAGTCAATGTCTCGATATGCTTTTATATATTGAGTGGACAACTAGCAGAAAATTCCAGTTTTAAAAGAGAGAAAGAATCACCAGTTTGTCTGAAAATTAGGTCTCACTGCAGCGGTTAACCAGTATCAAGGCCACACCACTTCAGACTGCAGATGGGGAAAGTGGTCAAAAAATGCATAACCTATCATGAAAACTAGGTATTGTGGAAACGAGTTTTAGCCTTGTCTTCTCCCTGACTTGCTAGTTTCCTATGTGCAGGGAGGGCTTGCCTGGAGGAACAATCAATTATCTGATTCTGCCCCGCTACAGTTTGAACTGGTACATGCCAGACAGAGGTTTACCAACTCTGTCAAAATGAAGCCATTTCTGCTCATTACCAGGTGAGTTTCCTTTATAGAAAGGTACTGTGATAATATGGGACGCGGGTGTCGCTGAGGGTTAAACCACAGAGCCTAGTAATAATAATAATAATAATAATAATAATAATAAATTTTATTTATATCCCACCCTCCCCAGCCAAAGGCGGGCTCAGAGTGGCTAACATCAAATGTATAATACATTAACATAAAATCAGACAATCAATTAAAATACATCCTCAAATCAGATCAGGATCAGAATAAAATCCAATCGGATGGCAACCCACAGATTAGGGTTGGGGACCTTAAATGCTCACCAGGCCCAACTGTTTGTGCTGAACTTATATGGGCCTGTGAGAAAAATTGGGAGGCCACTTTCATGCAAGGACTTGCCGATTGGAAGGTCGACGGTTCGAATCCCCGCGACGGGGTGAGCTCCCGATGCTCGGTCCCTGCTCCTGCCAACCTAGCAGTTCGAAAGCACGTCAAAGTGCAAGTAGATAAATAGGTACTGCTCTGGCGGGAAGGTAAACGGCGTTTCCGTGTGCTGCTCTGGTTCGCCAGAAGCGGCTTAGTCATACTGGCCACATGACCCGGAAGCTGTACGCCGGCTCCCTCGGCCAATAAAGCGAGATGAGTGCCGCAACCCCAGAGTCGGCCACGACTGGACCTAATGGTCATGGGTCCCTTTACCTTTACCTTGTTGCTAAACAATGAAGTCCCATACCTCCATCTATGGCTGCAATGCTTTCACTATTCTCTGGTTCTTTGTTTAGGGCAGGGTATTTCAACCAGAGGTCCATTGATTCTTGAGTTCCGTATTCCCCCAGAGGTTCTGTGAAATGTTACAAACTCTTACCTTAAGCACTTCGCTTTCTTCTCTTGCCAGTTCCCCCACCTCTGAGAGTCAGAGTGCCCACAATTAACATGTCGTCTCATGGCATAGTTTGCCAAAGTAACCATGTTGGGAACTCTCAGAATAGTGTTGCTTCAAAGAGGTCAATAACAGATTTCCTCATCTTTCCGGAGTTGTCCTCCCACCCACATCCTCTTAGGGGGGTAAAAAAGGCTTTTAAATTTTGAGCTTGTGAAGCCATCTATTGCATGTAATTTCACACTTTCAAATCAAGAATTAAACACGTACAACCCCACCCAGCCCTTTCGGTATACAACACACCCAAAACTGTAACTTGAGAGATATGGCAATCTCATCAACAAACAGACAGTTTGCTTAATCTGAAATAAAGCACATATGAATGTACTGTTTTTAACACTTGATTGGGAGCCGCCCAGAGTGGCTGGGGAAACTCAGCCAGATGGGCGGGGTATAAATAAATTATTATTATTATTATTATTATTATTATTATTATTATTATTATTTAAAGATGTATTAATATAACAAGGTGTTCCTCTCAAGTCAAGCCAAACCTTAACAGAATATTAAAAATAAATCACAAAAATAAATATTTCACGATATACAGGACCGGCTCTTCCATTAGGTAAGTAGAGATCCCTGCCTCAGGTGGCAGATCAAAAGGGTGGTAGACAAGTGATCCTGACACATTTGCTGCTGCCTTTAGCCACTTGCAGGGCTGCTCACCACCATTTTGCTAGCTTACGTTTCAAGTTGCTGCCTCCTTCCTTACTCAGGCTCAGCTGCTGCTGCCTAAACCCCTTGGAATCCATTTTCACTGCATTTCCATGACACTTTCCAAACTTGCAAAAGTCTGTTGTTATTAAGTGGTTTTGTTGTGCTAGGGCGATGGGGCACTTTAATCTGCTTCAGTTAGGTAAAGGTAAAGGGACCCCTGACCATTAGGTCCAGTCGTGACCGACTCTGGGGTTGTGGCGCTCATCTCGCTTTACTGGCCGAGGAAGCCGGCGTACAGCTTCTGGGTCATGTGACCAGCATGACTAAGCCGCTTCTGGCAAACCAGAGCAGCACACAGAAACGCCATTTACCTTCCCGCCGGAGCGGTACCTATTTATCTACTTGCACTTTGACGTGCTTTCAAACTGCTAGGTTGGCAGGAGCAGGAGTGAGAGTGAGGTTGCAGAGCAGGATGGCGTGGGACAAGCAAGGGAGGGAAGGGCGAAGAGGGGCAGCAGGGGCACCTGAGCTGACCTCAGGTCCCACCATACCTTGTTCTGAACATGAAAACAAATAAACAGCACTTGGAACAGGAACCTTGAACTTAAAATCTGAAAACTATGATGTAGAGGCATGGAAGACAACATATCCTCCAACATTTCTCCGATAAAAACAGGGACTTTCCATTCCATAAGGATAATTTTACTACAGTGTAATTCGCAGACGACAGAAGACGGAAACCCGCTAGACGAAAGGGTTTCATTTTGAGGCGCCAGAAACGACTTCTAAGGGCCTTACAGCCTCAGGAAACGTAGCCAGCGGGGAAGCAGTGCCCTCTCACTGTCCTCGGACCTCCCTCCGCCTGGCGGCGGGGCGGGGACACCTCCTTCCCGCCGCCGCCGGGCCGGAAGGCTCCTCCGCCGGGCGGGGAGGGAACACCTGCCGCCCGGCTTCGGGAACGGTGCCCGGGCCGGGCGGGGGAGGGAACACTGCTGGCCACCCGGGCTTCGAACGGTGCCCGGCCGGGCGGTGGGGAGGGGAAGACCCTCTGCCGCCCGGCCGGGAACGCAGCCCGGCCGGGCGGGGAGGGAACACTGCCAAAGCGCCCGGCTTCGGGAACGGTGCCCGGCCGGGCGGGGGGGAGGGAAGACCGCCTCCCGGCTTCTGAACGGTGCCCGGCCGGGCATGGGGAGGTGGAAGACCTTCTGAGGCGGGCGGGGGCGAGCCTGCTCCCCTGCCCGCCCGTCCCGAGGGTTAGGCTGCGGGGAGCATTGGCCGCCGCCTTCAGAAGAGGGTCCAGACCTCTTCTGAAGGCTGGGCGGGGCAAAGCTTGTTCCCCTGCCTGCCTTCCCAGGGCTTTAATTCCTGACAGCGGAGAAGTCCTCCGCCATGTCCCGGGGTGATTTTTTAAATGCCGCCCAATGCCAGCATTTAATGCTGACAGTGAGAAGTCCCCGCTGTCCCGGGTTTTTAAAATGCTGGGGGTGGGAAGAAAGCCCATGCTCCCCAGCTTTCAGAGAGGTCCGGGACAGACTGTCCCTGACCTGTCTGAAGGTTTCCCAAGGACCGCATTAATTGATTTTCAATGCATTCCTATGGGCAACCGTGCATCAGATCAAAACCTTCGTAAGAAGAGATCTCCAAGTGGAACTACCTGAGGCACCATCAGGCTGATAACTGCCCATCTGACTGGGTTGCCCCAGCCACTCTGGGTAGCTTCCAAGATATATAAAACACAATAAAACATTAAACATTTTTTTAAAAAAACTTCCCTATACAAGACTGCCTTCAGTTGGCAGATAACACCATATACCCTCCAACATTTTCCCAATGAAAATAGGGACATTCTACCAAACCCTCCAATGAAAATAGGGACTTACTAAGGAAAAGTGGGACATTCTGGGATCAAATCGGAAACTGGGACAGCTTGTAGACATTAGGGATGTCCCTGGAAAATAGGGGCACTTGGAGGGTCTGAGACAAGCTGCTCCTTAAAAAGCAGCTCTAGCTGCAAGGATTTTCCTATTGGAGGTCACCTGCCACAGATTATTTCATACAGATGGTGAACTTGCCAAGTGGTTAAGGCAGAAAAGACTTAGCACTCAATAACATAGGAAAAAGGATATATTGTTTTGCCTGCAGCACATAAGTTGCTGAGAGAGAAATTCCTCTTCATACTATAACCTGCATTACATAAGATCTGTTCCATTACAGAAAACAATCACATTTCCTTCCTTTGGTCATTTAATTATTACAATATTTATTCTGCCCACCCTCCAAGCTGCTCAGGGTTGTTTATGAGGTGTTTCCTGCCCTCCTGTCCCCTTAGAGTTTCATAATGTGTCCTCAAAATAACTGTGAGGTGAATTTGGCTGAGGGAAACTGACTGGGCCAAAGTCACCTCAGCTGAGCTTCATGGCTGAGAAGATACTTGAATCTCTGGGTCTCTGTAGGTCTAGTGCAGCTTTCTATTGACTTGAATTAACCACACTGACTTCCATGTCAACCATTTTATTGGTGTACAAAAGAAACAAAGCTTTCATTTGCTATTCTCTGCTCTTTTGTTTCCTCTCTTTGGATCCCACAAACAAGGAAATATAGCTATCCATTTCACATGTTTTTGCAGAAAAGCATCTTGAACTCATCAAGGAAGCAGCAGCAAATAACGACTCTTTAAGGTGTGGAATCTGTATAAAGCCCATGTTTTTGTCATACTCACTTTTTAAAGAAGTATGCTTATGTTTTAAGGTGTGCGCCAAAAACATAATGCATGAAGCGACTCTCAGTCTCTTGCTCTGTTTTCACCAAGAAAGAGGGGCGGACAATCGTTACTGCTTCTCTATAGCTATTTCTTTCAGCTGTATTGAAAACTGCATTAAAAAACTATCGTATTTTTTGCACCGTAACACTCACTTTTTTCGTCCTAGAAAGTAAGGGGAAATGTCTGTGCGTGTTATGGAGGGAATGCCTACGGGTGGCGGGGGGGGATCTGCTGCAGTCGTGAGCAGAGGATCCATGGTTCCCCTTCCTTCCCTCCTCTGTGGCTCGCTTTGAAACGGCAAAGCGGGAGAAGAGCCGGGAGAAGAGCCGCTGAGTGGGGAGGAGAGGGGGACAGAGAGCCTGCTTCTTTAAAGGAGCAAAGTGGGAGAGGAGAGGAGCCTTCTCCTCTTATACCCCTCTTCTGCATTATTAGCAGCATCCTTCTCCACACACCCCACGCGTGCTCCTTGTCCCTTGAGTGCTTTTCCTTCCCTCCCCACTTAAAACGTGGTTACAAAGCATGGATCCACATGGATCCTCAGGATTTTTGCACTGGGTCACCCCAAATTCACCATCAGATCACATAGCATGTCCATGGCTACATCTTGCACCAAAAAAATCATGCACCAACTGTTGCCTGGGGCCTCAGTGGTACAAAACGTGTTTACAAAGCATGGATCCACATGGATCCTCAGGATTTTTGCATTGGGCTACTCCAAACTCCCTGTCAGATCACATGTCTGTGGCCACAGCATGAACTACAAAAATCATACATCCACTGTTTCGTTTAGAATATTTTTTTTCTTGTTTTCCTCCTCTAAAAACTACGTGCGTGTTATGGTCGGATGCGTGTTATAGTGTGAAAAATACGGTAGTTAAAATGAAGCCTAAGATGTCGAGGTGATTTTTTCCTTGCTCTCGTTTTTAGCAGTGATTTCAATGACTGTGATTAAAACCAGAGAGACTGAGTGTGGTTCTGGTCCTTTGCATGCAAATTTTCTTCATGTGAACAACAACCAATATTTATCTCCAGTCTTTTCATTTCCGACGAAAAAGGGGGTAGGCATTATAATGAAAATATTCAAACAGTCTTAACTACAGTGTCATTAGCATGGGCTAATTACCAGCGCCTTGTGATTTACGTGGTTTTGGATTCATCGAAAGCATTTGGAGCTGTTTCCCCCCTTTGTTAAAAAAACTTTAAACAATGGAGGGCATAAGAGAGGCTGAGAGAATCATGAATGCTGTGGAGAAAATGAGCAGAGATCCCCCCCCCACATCCATTTCTCATTTAATAATAGAAAGGGGTCCTCTAGTGAAATTGATTGGGAGAAGGATCAGCACAGATAAAAAGAAGTACTATTCGACACAATGCAAGGATATACAATGATGTTTTCCACTGCCACAATGGCAGTTGAGTTCTCTCCCCTCTGCTCACAGTGTTCAGGCACAGTTACTTGTACTGCAATGACATCCTGTCCCATGTTTCCTTGCCTTTGCTCCTCATCGATGGCTGTCACCAGAGAACTGCTCAGTGCGATGACATCACAATACTGGGAAGAATATGCAAATGTTGCAATGGGGTGGGGAGGGTGGGGAACAACCTGACATGCAAGTATAACATCCAGTGGCATTTGTAAGTAGCTTGGAGAACAGGCCTAACCGTAGGTAACAGCCATCATAGCAAAATGAAAATCTCTCTATATGAATATATCTCTGAACATCAGCAGGTCAGGGGCAAATAGCAAGAGATGGACAAGGGACTTGTCAGATCATTGGTCCATCTATGGTCCACATGGACTGGTAGAGGCTCTCCAGGGATTCAGGCAGGAATCCCCCCCACACTTTATTAAGGATTGGATCTGGGATCTTCTGCATGCAAAACATTTGCTCTAGCACTGAGCTATGGGCTTATTCCAACATCTTCAGATATCCTCCTCATAAGCTCCTGAACACTGAGTGCGAGAACTGACCTGTGGTTTGAGTCCGTCTGATAGGTTTTCAAACGTTTATGTCGTTTTCACTGTGTGTATTTATTTAATTGTTGTTAACCGCTTTGATACTTTTTTATGAAATTGTAGTATGTGAGTCCTTTCCCCCCCAGCAAATCCATAAATTGGGGCTGTTCTCATACTGCAATGCTCTTATATATATTACTCTTATTGACCCAGTGGTTTCCAGTGGCACTGTGGGCATTCCCACAACCTCCAGCCTCTGGGGAGAAAGGACTCTACTCTTTTTAAAGTGGGCTTCTGATACTTTTTACTGAAATGCAAAAAGTAAGTAGGCAGAAAATATACTTTGCTTGCAAGCCTCCTTCATCGTAGTTCGGCTGTCACTTTTGCATTGATTTATGATAATAATTCTTGCCACACATGGAATTTTTTTTTAATAAAAAAAACAAAACCGTTTATTTTGCTGTCTAAATAATAAGGCAATTTGTTACAGCTAATTACTCAAATGCTTCCTTAATCTCAATTAAAAGATAGAGGGCTGATTCCCCACAGCCCCCGCAATGCTACTACCTTTCTAAAGCCGTATGCTCCCCAAAAATCTTTTTTTAATGTGTTCCAAATTACATATTCATTAAGGAATGTGCGGCCTATGGAAAACTGAACTGCTAAATACATAGCTGCAATCTTAAACAATGATTTATTGTGACATGGGATGTGGGACATTTCCACAGCTTTTGTGATTGCCGTGATGAAGCTGTAAAGCAAATAGCATGAAATGAAGCAAGGCCTCACAATTTAATCAGCTCGTAAACAGATCTACCGCATCAAGCAAATGACATTATTATCCATCTGAAGTAAATCTTGCTAATCTCAGGAGATAAAATCAACATCATTAATGGTCACATGTCATATTCATCAACACTAAACCATCCCTTTTGACAGATTAATCCTAACTACAGCTCCCACGATGTATGGTAATCGAGCCTGGAGCCTGCAATTCATTCCGCGGCAAGGCTAACCAGTACTCTTAGCGCAGCTATTACAAATAATTTTTTTATTGATTTACATATTTTAAAATGCATTTAAGGTGAGGCGCCATTAAAAATCCTGTCACTATTGCAGATTTCTCCCCCGCCCTGTGTACAGTCTGCGTTCACAGAAAAAGGGAAGCGAAATGCACTTTTGGGTACAGCCCAGCACAAACCCCATTGAAAGGAACACAAGCCGTGCTACAACAGCTCTTGCATGGTTCCTATTCATTTCAATGTAGCTTTTAAAACATCTCAGTTATTAGAAGTTACGTCTCCATCCTGCCCCTCCTCCAAGGAGATCAGGGCAGCATACAAGGTTCTCGCCACCTCTTCATTGTATTCACACAACAACCCTGTGAGGTAGTTTAGACTGAAAGCTTGTGAGTGGCCCAATGTCAACCAGTGAGCTTCTTTGCTGAGTGGGGATTAAACTGGCATGATCAATCTGCTCCTAGTCCAAAGTTTTGGAGGTTTTTAAGCAGAGGTTGGGTGGCCAACCTGTCATGGATGCCTTAGCTGAGATTCCTCCATTTCAGGGGGTTGGACTTTATGACCCACAGGGGCCTCTTCCTTCTCTATGATTCTAAGATTCTATATGGGTTGGGGAGCCTTCCGGACACCCCCCCCCGTGATGTTGCTGGACTACAACTCCCATCATTCTAAAACCATTGGCTAGGCTGACTGGGGATGATGGCAGTTGGAGGCCAGCCATAACTGGAGGGGCACAGGCTCTAACCACTATGCAACCACTTTTTGCTCTATAAGACTCACTTTTTCCCTCCTAAAAAGTAAGGGGAAATGTGTGTGCATCTTATGGAGCAAATGCAGGCTGCGCAGCTATCCCAGAACCCAGAACAGCAAGAGGGATGGCTGTGCAGCTATCCCTCTTGTTCTGGCTTCTGAGATTCAGAATATTTTTTTTCTTGTTTTCCTCCTCCAAAAACTAGGTGCATCTTATGGTGTGGTGCGTCTTATAGAGCGAAAAATACGGTACTTTGCTGTCTTCTGCAGAATAACTTTCTGCTTGACTGTGCTCCCACTGTCTTTTGCTTATCATGCTGATGAGCTGGAGGGTAGTTAAAGGAAGTATTTGGCACACGGTATCCTATTTGCAGATTTAGGGTGCTTCCAGACCAGACAACCTGTTTATTGGCCATTTGTCCTGATTTGTGTGCAGGGAGATTAGATGACATTGGCTACTTAATGAGCACTTGTTCTGATTTACTTGCGGGAAGTGAGGGAGATGTTGCACCAAACCAAGTGTTATCCCAGTGCATTTACCCATGACTTTCCTTATAGCAAAAACTCAGATCTTTTGAGGATGTGGGCTTGTTCTGCAGGAGGACCTCCCAGGCAACTTTAACTGCACAGCCAGAATTTGCTGGCATGTGATCGAATCTCCCCCCCAAAATAGCAACAGTCTGGAAGCACCTTTAGATTGCAACCCTACATGCACTTACCTGGAAGTAAGCCTTATTGAAGTCAACAGGAATTTCTTCTGTATAGACACATGCAGGATTGTACTGTTAGTTATTCTGAGGCGGGGGAGTCAACTCACTCAATGCGTTGAGTGCTGAGCTATAGAGTTAGACTATAGTTCCATCTAGCCCAGTTTTGTCCACTTTGACTAACAGTGTGGCTCTCTAAGGCCAAAAGCAGAGAGATCTTTCCCAACTCCAGTGTCTGAGTGGCTGCCTGATGGGCCTGGAGATACAATGATCGCAAATCAGAGCATTTGAAGTAGCTGACACAAAACAGCCCAGTGATCAGCATGCCACTGAAGCATATTTTCAGGAAAACGTAGATTTTCAGCCACTTGGCAAAGAGCCACCTCCCCGCCTTAGTTTCCCCTGATGAAAATGACCATAGGATTGTTAAGAGGCTAGGCTAAACAAATTCTTGTAGAACTACAATCTTGTACAAAATGAGCAACAAGAGCTGCATAGTCCTTCTGCCGCTTTGCTCTTCTCCTGGCTGTCTACAACAGTTCTGTCTCTGTTGACCAACCAGGACTTCCAAAGTTGAATGCAGAGGAGCAACAGACTCTCTGGCAGCCTTTGGGAATAAGTTTTCCATGAAGGCACAAAGGTTGCCATATTCCTGGGCTTACCGCTCACTGCACAAAGAAGTGGACAACGGAATAAGCAAGGTGGATATGCACCCTATAGCCAAGGGACGAATACAGTTACTGCTTGAGCACATGAAAGAATGATCAAGCTCAGAAATAGACAAACGCTGCATTGCTTCAGGCAGCTGATCAACAATGGGTAGCCAAGCAAGAGACAGTAGGCTCACCTCGGACTGGCAATTACTTAAAATTAATCTGTGAGTCCTCTTTCTAGAGTCTGGGCTGGAACACACACAACTATCTTCCTGGGGAGGCCACTGAAAATGACAGCCTTCAATTATTTGATATGCCTTGCACACTACCTTTCTACCAGTTGGTTCTCAGGGCAGAAAGAGAAAGAGCAAAGGAAACATGTGCTTACATTGTGACTTGTTTCCATTATGCATTGTGCTAAGTAGAATGCCCTTTTGCCTGCCCTTAAAGGTGGCTATCAGCAGGGCTGCAAAATTGGAACTGCAACGCACAAACTACAGAAGCCTCAGCAAAAAAAGGCTTGACTGCTGATAAGGTGGGGGGTGACAAGATGAGTGTGCTGATGCAGGAAAAGGCTCTCAATTCACCAGACAAATCCCTTAAATGCTGACCTTGTTTGCATGGCCTGTTACCGCGTAACATCTTTGTAGATCTGGTTGAGTAGTCAGAAGAAACTCTGTAGTTCTAACAAATACGTATCACTTGTTGGTGCACACAAATCACTAGATTGGTTCAGGTTGTGATGATTTAATCCTGGTGGTTTCTTCAAGCCCCCCCCCCATCCTGTCAAACAATCTGGGTTTGGTTGAGGATGTTTTTTCTTGCAGAATGTCATGGGCCCACAGCATCCCACCACTGTAGTCTTCCCACCTTCAGGTCTCCCTCCATCTTTTCTTTCATAGCAAGGCTTTGCCTGTGATGTCAGCATGATGCAACAATGGCACTCATTGTGAAACGACTCTATCCTCACCTGCTGTTATGCTAAAGAGACTGGCGTATACAGTTCCTGGTTATGGATATGCTGTTTCATGATGATTTCTGCTTCTCTGGGCAGGTAGGACCAGCTTGAAGCCATTCCATTTCTACGTTCATTGGTCTGTGGTCTAGAAATATATCTGTTAAGCCAACTGCCAGGCTCTGTAACAGCATCCCACATGACCTGATGCCCTGCAGATACTTTGGACCCCACCCCCCAATTTCCCTGGCTAAATACTGGCTAAAGCCAATGGGAGATATAGTCTGAAACACCTGCAGTAGTGGGTAGAGTGCTAGACTAGGATTTGGGAGACCAGGGTTCAAATCCCCATTCAGCCATTAAACCTACAGGGAGATTACAGGATTGATGTGGGGTTTAAATGTGGAGGAGAAAGAACCATGTATGCCACCATGAGCTCCTTGAAGAAAAAGGTGAGATATAGATGCAGTAAATAAAATAATACTCTAGAGTTTGCCACTTACAGCATATATGTGTTAAGGCACAGAATGCATACCAAACCCCAAGAGCTAAATTAAAAGGTGTTTTCTTTAAAAATAATAATTCTGAAATGTGAAGTATTCTATATTACAATGAGACATGATGAGCTATAATGAGATTATGATGAGATATTGTAATTAATTAGACCCACCCTTGCCAGGTGTGAAAATAGATTGCTGGAGTGGGTCAAACCAGTTGGACAAGTTTAGCCTGGCTTTCATTAGGAGGCTTGAACTCCACATAGGATTTATTCTTTCCAGCGTGTGAAGCTATGGGCTAACTTTTTAATTGGCCGTGCTGTTGGGGGACAGATAAAATTGCTTTGTGGGCTGGATCCAGCATGCGGCCTGCCAGTTGGCTATCCTTGTGCGAGAAGATTGTGAACTTGATTGCTGTTAAATGTAGTAGCTGCTTTGAGTGTTTACTCATATGCACAAAGCCCTAATGTAAGTGCTGCATGATTGGGATTCCGTCCCATATATATATATATATATATATATATATATATATATATGCATTGATTTCTTAGAATTATGTTTATTTATTAAATTTGTACCCCACCCTTCCTCCCAAGGAGCCAAGAGCAGCAAACAACAAATGATACAACACAAAAAAAAGTCTTAAAAACAATTCCAGGACAATTGCAGACTGGGTAAGATCTCAAGGCTTGTTGAAAGAGGAAGGCTTTCAGCAGGAGTCCAGAAGACAACAGATTTGGACAGAATAACTTTGGAATAACATTTTTTTAAAAACACAGAAGCATTTCTGCTAAGTATTGTTGGTAAAGATATCCCGAAAAACTTAAGAGAAATATTTTTATATGCCACGGCGGCGGTCCGAACACTAGTAGCAAAAAATTGGAAAGGGGGAAATGTTCCGACTTTAATGGAGTGGCAGAATAAGCTATAAGAATATGTGGAAACGGCACAACTGACCAACAGTTTAAGGGGTTATTCAAGACAAGAATTTGGAAAAAAAATGGGACAAATATAAGAGATATGTGCAAAAATATGCCAATGGTTTATTGTCTATGGCAGCACTGACCTTGGATAAAGAAACATATGAGAAATAAGATCAATGGTACAAATTGTTGTAAGAATGTATTAGAGATTATATAAAGAATAGAGTAATAATGGTAGGTACATTCACTATCAAAATAAAATTATACAACGGGAATTGACAGTCCAAAGTCCTTAGGATATTTTTTGTTAATAATTTTTGATAAGGATTTTTGTTAATAATTGCATAAAAGGTAACATAAGTACAGCAGAAGTTCAAGGTTTACATATACCGTATTTTTCGCTCTATAACACGCACCCGACCATAACACGCATATAGTTTTTAGAGGAGGAAAAGAAGAAAAAAAATATTCTAAACGAAACAGCGGATGTATGATTTTTGTGGTTCATGCTGTGGCCACAGACATGTGATCTGACTGTGAGTTTGGGGTGACCCAGTGCAAAAATCCTGAGGATCCATGTGGATCCGTGCTTTGTAACCATGTTTTAAGTGGGGAGGGAAGGAAAAGCACCCAAGGGACAAGGAACACATGTGGGGTGGGTGGAGAAGGATGCTGTTAATAATGCAGAAGAGGGGTATAAGAGGAGAAGGCTCCTCTCCTTTCCCGCTTTGCTGTTTCAAAGCAAGCCACGGAGGAGGGAAGGAAGGGGAACCATGGATCCTCTGCTCACGACTGCAGCAGATCCCCCCGCCATCCGTAGGCATTCGCTCCATAACACGCACAGACATTTCCCCTTACTTTCTAGGAGGAAAAAAGTGAGTGTTATGGTGCAAAAAATACGGTAGGTAAGAAAAGATAAAGTATATGTTTTTCTTTTCTTTTTTTGTGTATATGATTGAAACTTCAATTTACTTTATGAGATGTATCATATATTTATGCTATGTATTGTAAGACTATTAATAAAGGAAAAGAAGAAGACAACAACTTGGCAGTGGTCTAATATTCAAGGGAACGGAACTGCAAAAGTGCCACAACACTAAAGACCTCATTCCTACATTGTGCAGAATGCAGCTCCTGTTATGATGGCATCTGCAGGAGGCCCTCTCAGGCAGAATGAACCTTTTCTACAGTTTCTCCAGTCCAAGGAAGTGTACATGGTCTCCTTCATTTTGTCATCACAACAACCTGTACGGTAGGTTAGGCTGAAAGGAGGTGTGTGGTTTAAGGTCGCTTTTGAACTTCACAACTGAGTGGGGATTTGAACCTGAGTTTTCCCAGCTCTAATCACTTTATCACGCTGGGTCTGTATGTATTTGCAGAGATACCTGGCCAGTTGTCTAAGGAGAAGGATGTTTAGCCTGATCACAGCATCATTCATTGTACTAAATTTAAAGAAAAGCTGGATAAACCACATTTGTATGTTACATAGTGTGCTGTCCATACAACCACCTTCTGTGTATGTCTGTATGCATATAGATAGATTCACTCACACGCAAGCCACTTTGAGACCATGGGCCAGAAAAGTGTAAATTTCTGCAGCAATAAAGCATTAGGGTGCGATAGGACTTGCACAGAGAACTTCTTTAATTAGTTGGCAGCCATAACGTATGTTGGTTCGGGTATTGCCTTGTTGCTGCACAATGAAAAACTTATTTATCAGAAAGCTGACCTTATTGGGGGCAGGGAGGGTCTATTATCTGGAACACTACATCCTCTAAACAAGCACAGAATTTCATTGGCAAGCACATTAACAAGGGCTTCTGAATGACAACGTGAATGACTGCAGCGGCCACAGTTGTGTTGCCAGTCATTGACTAAGTGTGTGCAAAAAAGAGAGAGAAAAAGTCTACAACCTTTGCAGATTGCAAGTGGTCTGAGCCGAGACAAGGAAAGATAGATCGAAGTGATTTATGGAGACAGCATTTATCAACTTAGTGCAAACATTACCCTTGCTAATGTACTAATTCATTAATGGCTTATTCTTCTCTCCTGAGACTTAGTGATTTTTTATTTTAATTTATTTTTTTAAAAAAACCTTTCCTTTATAGAAACAATAGCCATTGTTAATATTGCATCTATCATAATCTATATTTCTGTTTTGGTGGGGGAATAGGTGATACACACATGAAACAGGAGGGGGTGGGGAGAACAGACATAATGCTTCTAAGAACGAGAGCATTTGGTTAAATTCCTCCCTGCCATGATGTGCAAAGGTAGATGACTACATGGCTCATGTGAGAACCAGGCTCTGCATTTGGCAAGGGGGCATTTTCAGGGGTGGAGGCAAAGATATTTGTGTGTGTGCAACTTGCGGTAGAGGGATGGCTAGGCCGTCTTGCGCAATCACCCCTTCCAATCATGTGCTGGTTCTGGCAGAAATGATGCACAGAGTGTGAGTTTCTAGCTGTGGATTCTGGGACCAGTAGTCCTAGTCACTGGGAAGAAAATATGTTCCACCCGGACTCTGGGAGTACTAGCACATGCTTTGCCACTATTGGAGATGGAGGCCAACCATACCTGGAGGGGCGCAGGCTCTAACCACTATACATTGCTGTCTTTTGCAGGAGAACTTTCTTCTTGACTGTGCTCCCACTGTCTTTTGCCTTTTGCTTATCATGCTGATGAGCTGAAGGGTAGTTAAAGGAGGTATTTGGCACACTGTATTTCCTCCTATTTGCAGATTTAGGGTGCTTCCAGACCAGACAATCTGTTTATTGGCCATTTGTCCTGATTTGTGTGCAGGGAGATTAGATGACACTGGCTACTCAATGAGCACTTGTTCTGGTCTGCTTTCAGGAAGTGCAGACGATGTTGCACTAAACCAAGTGTTATCCCTGTGCATTTACCCATCACTTTCCTTATAGGAAAAACTCAGCTCTTTTGAGGAAGTGGGCTTGTTCTGCAGGAGGACCTCCCAGTCAACTATAACTGCACTTACCTGGGAGTAAGCCTTTTTGAAGTCAACGGGAATTTCTTCTGTATAGACACATATGCACATTGGAAGGGGCTGCCTCTCCCCCCCCCCAAGTGGCACTCAGACGTTACCCTGACATGAAAGTGTGGGCAGGCTGTTTTGGGCTCATGGCTGCCGCTCCCCTGGCAGCTGTGTTCATGAAGGTCATTGCCAGCTTTTCATGTTTGCGGCACTGTTCATGCTAAGCATTCTCCATATGATCATGCACTCGCATGACTGAGTAGAGTGATTTGATACAACAGTGTGAATTAACCCTAAGGCTGTGGAGAGAGAAAAATGGGATGCTGTTGTTGTCATCTGGAAAGACCATCAGATGCCATTTCTGAATTCTGTAGGGCTGAGGCCTATTTCTCATGAAGGTGATGTTCATGTGACGGTGTTGTACCACTGAAGATGGTGGCACAATTGATTCAATGCTCTCCTGCACATAGAAAGCTGGGAGAAGGATTCCATTCCATTCCATTCCACTCCACTCCACTCCTTCTATTCTATTCTATTCTATTCTATTCTATTCTATTCTATTCTATTCTATTCTATTCTAACCTTCTTCCTAACATAGTAGGGAACTGTTTGAAGCCTGAACGATGAACTTTCAGTGGTTCATAAGAGCAGAAGAATTGCCTTGGATCAGACCAAAGCCTTTCCAATCCTGCACTCTGCCAGCCATATGCCTCTTCATGCTCATATGCAAAGGATGAAGATGGTGGCCAACCCACTGGACTTTATGTATTCTGCCAACACAAGGATTTATGCTTTTGCAATGGAGCTCCCCCCCAACTCTCCACTCCCCATGTGCACCTTCCCAAAATTTAATGGGTTAATGGAAATCTCAGAATAGATAATGGGGGGGGGGAGCAGGAGAGGGAAAAGTTCTGTTGCACAAGCAGAAATCCTTGCACTGACAGAATGTGTTACCCGATGCTACATTGGCTACAACCCATTGATTGTCTACCAGCATTGGATATTCAAAGATATCTGCTCCTGGACATAGAGGATCCAATTAACTGTTATAGTAAATGGTCATTGAAAGACACAACCTCTTTCAATTTGTTTTATTGTCCTAAGCTAGTAACCATCACCAAACCACATGGTCGTGAATTCCATATGTTAATTCACAATAATTTCTTATTAGTTTTCAATTACAGTCCTATAATAGCCTCATTATAACAATACCAGTTTATAATACAATTATTAATACTAATCGTTCAAATATCAGATTATATAATTTAGATAAAGTGGCATGCTAGATTTGATGCTTTGATGCTTTTCTTTATTTCTGCATTCCAAAATATTATTAATTCCCATTACATTCTGGTCACAATAATAATCCCTTATACAACAACTGCAATATTAATAACTTCTGTTCTTGTTGACACATTAAATGGTTTATAAAACTACAAGTGAGGAACTCAAATTATATCCTTGTTCTTCCTGTGTGGGGCAATTATTCTGTCTATGGTATTTCTTCCTGTCCTTGTGAGATATTATGTCTTTCTTTACCCCGGTTGTTGCTGTTATCTGTCATGCCTTGGGTGGAGCTCATATCCCATTGTTGTTCCAGAATTTTTTCCATTGCTGCGTCCCGTGTTTCATTGCTTTGCAACTTTAACAACAGCTGCAAAAGTCACTCAAAATTCCATACGTTAATTCGGTGCTGTGTTGTGTACAACTTCCTGTTGTCTGTCCTGAGCCACTGGCCAATCAGCTACATTAGATGAACTCTTGCCTATTATGATGAGAGAGGGAAAGGAGAAAATTCTCCTCTTTCGACACCTTTCATATCCTCTATCATGCCTTCCTTCCTTGAACTATAAAGCAGTTTAATTCAGTTTAAAGGTGTTTCAGCTTCTTCTCATTGGGGAAGCTTCTCCAAACCCTTAATCATGTCGCCTGCCCTTTTCTGCAACTTTCCTGGCTCTTTTATATCCTTTCCAAGATGAGATGACCTGAACTATATGTCATGTACCAAATGTGGCTGCGCCATAGACTTAAATGCAGCACGACGATGCTTGCTATATCCTCAGTCCCTTTCCTAATAATTCCCATTGTTAACTTTCCTCCTTTCCCTGCTCCAACGCACTGGTTTTATATGTCCAGTGAGCTGTTTGCCACAACCAAAAATTTATTCTGGGGTAGTCATACCTCCCTATCTGCTCCCAGCAGGCAACATACCTCATGCAAAAGCTCTTAAACAGTAAAAGGTACAAGGGGTGAGGAACTGCAGGCTCAGGAGTGAAATGTGGCCCTCCATACATCTCTATCTGGCCCTTCGGTATTTCCCAAAGCCACACCCCTCACTGGTCCTGCCTTGCAACCTTTCAGAGTATATCTGTCTGTCTAGAATGTTTCCTTGAGCTCTGATAATGGGCAACTGCACTATACATTAATGGCAGTACCATGCCACTTTAAACAATCATGGCACCCCCCAAGTTATCATGGGAAGTGAAGTTT